AAAAGAAGAACACGCGAACGAGAGATCTCTTCGTAACGACTTTTCGTCGAAATGAGTCGCAATTAGCGCGCTCACCCGTGACTGACACCAAAGCTTCGATGAGCGATGCTATCGTCGAAACGAAGAATATTTCGGACATGCCGCTCTAAGCTCGCGCGAAGTGGCGGGAGCGCCTCGCCTCATCCTCGTAAGCGTCCTTCCGCGAATCGCCGTCGTTTTTCCTTCATTCATGCTCGAACGAGCCGCTCACCGCAGGATGCAACCGGGACGAATTCCCAAGACCGAGGGGATACTCTTGAGAGTCTTTTCTCGTAAGGACATCGTTCATTTTATACCTCGCTAAAACCGCGCCCATTAGCGGTCACGCTCCTTACCTCTCTTTGCGGGTAAAATGACTTCTCGTTTTTCTGCGGAATATATGACGATGAAGATTTGAAACATCCTTGTTACTTCGAAGAGAACATCCTACAGCTAGTTTGAAAAGTGTACAAAAAAAAAAAAAAGGATGCAAGATTGAAGAGCTACGAGAAAGTTAGTTTTTCTCGATGCGAACACTCTTATTAATGTTGGCTCCTGTAAACGCGCATTAATAAAAACAAAGAAAATCACAAAGAAGCACGAAGGATAACTGAAAAATGAGTAAAAATACTTGAATAAAACTCGGAAGACACTCTTACATTTCTTTTTCGAGTCTAAACAAATGTTTACTTTTCTCAAAGTCATTAAAAAATCACTTGTTCCCGTCTACAAAGAAATCTCATCTGTCGTCGATATGCCGTCGAATGAGTTTTTTTGTTTTAACGCGACGTGTGTTTTAACAATTAATTTCCTCAAAGAGGTTACAATTGTTATATGCATATGTACAATCGACATACGACTTTTATACGTCGCTCCTCGTCGATCCGCACTCGTTTGCGGACAGGATCGAGGCGAGATGATAGCCGCGTAAACGCGGTAAACGAGGTAAACGATACCGCCGTAAAGAAGAGCGGGACCAAGCGGAGGCAAAAGAGAAGAGGACTATCGTCGACGGCGCATAGTCTCACGTTCCAGGAAGTTAACCGGCGCGATGGATATCCGCACGGACCCCATCTTGTACCCCATCGATACGGCGTTCGCCTCCGTACCTTTTGCCCGCGTGTCTTTCTTTCTCATCTTTTCTCCGGCTACTACCGACCATTCTCGCTTTTTCTCTTGTCCGCGTCCTCTCATTCCCTCCCCAAGCTCCCTTTCTTCACGAGAACAGTTTCTATCGCGCGATTGCGGTATTGTTCAAGAGAGTTCCTTCCTTCTCCCCCTCCCCCCCCCCGCGAAAGAAACATCAAAGACGGGGAAATCTTCCGGGATATCCTTGGCGAACAATATTAATTATTGCCTATCTTCTTCTCTGATCCTCTCCCGACATTTCGCGCGAAGATGACACTTCGTGAGCGAACGATTTACGCGATATCTCGTATATATAGAAATTAGCGCCCTTCTTTCTCACCCCGCTGATTTACATATTCTCTTAATTGCGAGCGGAACGGAATTGCGGAAGGGAAAGTGCAAATCACACAAGTGAAAAGCCGCGCACAATCGTTTCGCGAGACTTGGCACAGAAAACGTTGCCGTACACATACATATATAATGATACGCAACGCGCGCGAGCACTCTTTTACGACGCAATTACACGTTTGCGGTAAGGAGATGGCGAGGTGACATTAAGTTTGAATACAATCTGTAATAGGGTAACGCAATTGGAACGATTCACGGTCTACGCTATATGCTTTGAAGAGAGATTCTCGGCCTCGTTTTATTTACGGGTAAAATCGGAAGAAATGTAAACAAAGAGAAGTCGAACGATCTTGCCGCAAAGACAGTTTTTAAAATCGATCTAACGAAAAAAAAAAAAAAAAAAAACAACCGACGAGAGGGGAGTGAAGCTTTCTTTGTGAGAGAATTCCTATGATCATAACTTTCTGTTACGGCCAGAAGTCGTTACTCTCTCGTGGTTACGTCTTTTCCTCGTAAATCGCGCCGATGTGTATTGCCATCGGCAATCGACGGGCCGAGAGAGTCTCTCTATATTCTCGTTTGGTGTCACAATTCGCAGACGGGGGTTCGACTGCCGGAGGGAGCGAGCGCGGCGCTCGCGAAGCCGACCAAGTATCACTACTATCCGCACAATCAGCATATCTACTTGCTGCCGGAGTGCGCCGTTCAGCAGGTATGCAACGCAGTTTACGTGAGATTGAATTTCACGCAGCCGCTGTGCGCCTGCCCCGGAAGGTACAGGGACCCGTGCAGCGCGTCTCTGGACAGCGATGACCTCCACACGACCGAGCTGGTGACCGATCCGCGAACCAAGGTCAGTAGAAACGAACAAACGTGAGTAAATTAAAAATCCTTTTTTTTTTCTTTACGGTTTAAATGACAAGCTAAAGAGAAACTTCCACGTTTCTTGTCGAGAGATTTCTTTAGCGTACCTCAAGATTAATAACTCTTTTGCGTTCATTATTAGATTTGTTTCAAAGACTGATGATATATCGTCGTGCGATGTTATTGACAATTTTTGCTTACATTAAGGAAATAATAAAAAAAAAAAAACACACACACAAAGATCAAATGCAAAGTGAATTAAATTACAACTCGAGACCGGAACGCGCTGAAACGAGTAAAAAAAAAAAAAAAAACGAAACGCGTGTACATGATCAAAGAGAGTCCGAGAGCTTCCGACAAAAGACTGTAAAACTAAAAGTTGCCGCTCGGTGCGCGGTTTTATTCTAGTGTTTAGCGCGTCGTGCGCTATTAGGGAAACGGTACCAAAGCATGGCGCCATTCCTAGTACGACCGGCTCTCTCGGAGAGGCAACTCTCTTATAACGCGAGTTTCCTGCCGTGAGAAAAACTCGTTCACTTTCGTTCGGTGTGCCAGCTGTGACTTGCACACGCTCTGAACGAATCAAATGAGGATTTCGCGAGAATTTTTGAACGAGTTTAAACGTAATCAGAGCGCGCTACCGCGTCATTATGCGCGTCCTGACGCGATTGAGAATTATGCAACGCGATTATAAAAAGAAAAACAAAAACAACTAGAAGAAGGGAGAGGAGAGAAAGAACTGAGTAAAAATCACGACGTCGTTCATTCACTCGTTCCAGGCCTTGACCCTGGTAAAAACGTGCGAGCCGGTTGCCGAGATGCGAGAGTGCAGAGGATCGAGGGACTGGTCTTTATTGGCGCTGCAGAACGTGCGTACGGGAAAGTCTCATTACCTCGTGATATGTCGATGTCCCGATACGAACATACTCGGTAAGGACTCCAACTGCGCGGGTTAATTAACTTTATTTTTTAATAAAGAGATTGACGATAATGCGAAAACGTGTTCGGGATTAGCGCGAGAATTTTTTTTCTTCTCCTTTTCTTTTGCAAACTTATTTTGCTTCGATAAATCAGAGACAGAGAGAGAGAGAGAGAACGCTAAATAAATTATATTTGAAGTTTTTTAATCGAATTAAAAACTCTCCCGCATTGTAGAGGGACCCATGAGCCACGATCAGCCGACCTACGCCAGTGTCCCGGGCATTCGGGTGTACGGAATGATGTGCGTGCAAGGGAACAGAAGAGGCCGACCGCTGCGATATTCGCGCAGTATCTCAGGTGCGCTAGAATTTCACGAAACTTTTTATACCGTTTTCTTGATGAACCTTGATAATATCTGTCCTGAATAACTTTGTGAATATACGAATTTTGTCAACATGTTACTAGGACACACGGAGGAAGAGAAGCCGCGTTTCCCTTGGCACAAGGTGCGACACTTAATGACGACGTCGTCGTTCTGGGAATAGCTTCGCGATGTCCCGTCTCATATCTGCCATCGACGAATTTATTTACACGTTAATTTATAATTTAACGTCCATTATAATTTATAATTTCCCAAGCCATTCATATTTCCCTCGCCCACGAATCTTTTTCTACTTCCACTCTTTCCGTTTTTCTCTCTCTTTCTCTCTCTCTCTCTCTCTCTCAATCAACCTCTTACGCTTGTTTTTAACCCTCGGATGAGAGCGCACAGTTTTACTGCAAATTATTTCAAAAACTAAATAACTGTTATATATAATAATTACTTCCGCTTCGTTTTTCTTGCTTAGAAACGTAATTCGCTATCTTCAACGATTGAGAAAAGTAATCCAGATAGAAGAGAGAAGATTATGACTGCGTTCCGATATTCACTGTCAGTACCGGAAATCTATAGCACACGTGACGTAAAGTGTAGATTTTCAGTAGAGTGAATATCGGAACGCGGAGTTTATATTGATTTTGTTTTCAAATTTCTCAAATGTGCGCGAGTACGTCTGTGCGAGGGTTAACGTACACTCTATAGAATAAAATCACATATGCGGCTTTTGTGTTATCATCTCTAATTAATCATCGTAAGACTATTTATTGTTCATGATTCTTATGTTTTACTTGTAGTTTGAACTCTTTCGATTAATCATACAAAATGAATTAGCGATCGAGATACTTTGACTGTGCGTGTGCCTAAAAAAAAAAAAAAAAAAAAAAAAGAAAAAGAAAAAAGAATATAAGTACCTGAATTTCAGACGCGACAAATGTTTGTTTTACTCAAATTGTTTTTCTCATTCGTTAAAATAAGAAAAACTCCACGACTCGACTGATATTCGTCATTTTTCCACAGTTTACATTGCGTATCCGCTAAGACAACATTATTTACAGAAGACACATCGATGTAGATACTTATATGCTACGTGTTTGTGATTGTGATTTGAAAGAAATCAGTGAATGTATATGCGCAATCGCACTTAACGATATACAAGATTATACAAATATAGTACAATCATACGAGATTGAGTGACTGATTGATATCACATCTTCCCCCCCTCTCTCTCTCTCTCTTTCTCTCCCTCTCGCGAAATTGTATTGTTATCACAACGATATAGTTTTTTTCCACGGGGAAATCATATATATGTAGATGTATATCTCAATATTTTATCATTACTTACCGAGAACGTCGGAGTTGACTAGAACGCTACAGCTGTACATCGCGGTCATCAGTCGAGGGTGTCGCTGGCTGAAGATTTGCCGACAAGCGTACTTACACGCCGACATTAACTGACCACCCAAATGTCCCTGGTTCTGACCGCTGGAATCACTGAAAAAATAAGCACAGATATTTTTTTTTTTTTTTAATATTTTTTATAGACATTTTTAATTTCACTCTTTTATTTTAATATCCACGTACCTGTGCGGACCGTCAGAGAGATTCCACTTCTTCAAAATAAAGCAGACGCCCATCATAGGTTCTTCGCATAAAGGCCCAGCCAGAGTAGCAAGTTGAAATCCATTCACCAGGCTGCTCTCGTGTCTGAAATAATTGTTCGGAAAAAAAAAACAGTAGAGATTGTATGTGCAATAAAATGCTTCTTTCATTATAATCACGAGAATGACACTTACACTGCTCGAGGATCGCTGTTCGTACTTTGCTGCTCCCAGAATTTTTTCTGCTTGTAATCGGTCTCGTTCAACAAGATATTGGGCCCACATTTGCCAGGACCGAACGACCATATCTTATCCAATATATTATTCGTCCATCCTGCCTCCAGAAAAGCCGCTTCTAACTCGTTCTTAAATACGTTTACTTCCTTCAGCTGCTTGTCAGACATGAACGCCACGTTGATTTGATCCTCGACGGAAAATCCCTCCTGATCGCCATTCACTTCCGGACGCCTATCGCAATAATTATTCAACAACTTTATCAGACTCGCGTTCTTCTCCAATAATTTTGTCACTTTTTTCGGGAGAGATTTCGCATCTATCTCGAAGAACCATTGTCGATTCTGCGACGTAACGTTGACCGTCGATTCTTCCGTCTTTTTCTCGATCGCCTCTTTCACCATATCGAGTTTTGGAGGTGGCACTATAGTTTCGCGAAACGCCACGTTCGGCTCTGATACATTGATCTCCACTTTTGCGTATCGTAATTTAAGATCTTCCAAACATCTCTCGAGATGAACCTCGCCGGCTGTGCTGAGAATGATCTCGCCGTTGTCCCGTATGTGTATGGTGGCGCAGACGTCCGCCTGGTTCAGCAATTTCAAGCCGCTGATAAGTTTCGGCAAATCAGTGGAATGCTTCGGTTCCAGAGCTACTCGCAGAATGAGAACGGAGAGAGAGGATAGTTCTGTGAACGGGGGACAGGCGATCGTCGTCGAAAGAGTCGCAGTTTTCAAAACGTGTTCCTCCAATCCGCCAATTCCGAGAACGTTGCCCGCCGGTACTTCGTTCACGGCTTCCAGTTCTCGTCCCATGAGAATGTACAATTTCCTTATGGTTACTCTCGTGATATGTTGGCCGGATTTCAAATCTTTGAGCACGAGCGACGGATCCACTTCCTCGCCCGCTTTCTCGCGTTCCAGAGCAACGGCGGGATTATGCTTCGGTCCCAGAACGTATACCTCATCTCCAGTCTTGATGGTTCCCGAATACACACGGGCGAAGGCAACCAGAGCGCCGTCTGACTTGTTGTCCGTGACATTCACGTGTTCCACACTGTTGTCGTTGTTGGAAACAATCGTGTCACACGTACTTTCCTCATGTTCTTCGGTAGCAGTAGCTTTTAATCGTTCCGCGTGCTTTTGTCGAACGATCTCCCTTCTCTGCGCCAATTCCTCCGGTGTTAAATACTTCGATCTGTTCTCGGGCAGCATGTCGTCCTCCACTGGAAACATCTTCGATATGAATATGATGATCGGTGCGCTCGGTGACGGACTGCACGACAAGAATGCCGTTTTGAGCTGTCGGGTTTCAGGAGGTAGAGCGAAGAAGTCGTTATTTCCGCTGATCAATCGTTCGATCTTTTCGTCAGTCAAGCAATTCGGCGCGGGAATCTTCTCGCACGCTGTGTCGAGACAAGTCTGCGCTAAAGGAAGCCACTGCGAGCAAACGGCTTGCAACTGAGCCTTCGGATCCGTGTGCCTTAAATCCCGCGTTGTCAATTTAATATTTAACTTTTCCGCCATAGTTGGCAATTTATCTTTATCTTTTCGCACCACTATGGTCTCGTACAACACCCAAATATTTTCCAAAATAAACTGAACAAAAAGTGGCTTCTTGGCCTTTTCTTGAGCTCCTTTCATGATCCTCTTCGTTTTGCTGTTTATATAAAAATCTCCCCAAAGTGTTTTACGCAGAATCTTCTCGCTGAATCCCAGTTTGTTCGAATAGATCTTCGCGAATTCCTTTATACCGAATCCCCAGCCGTCCAACGCGCTCGTGAAGAGAACGTTTCCTTTCTCGGGAGAAAAGTACAGATGTGAATCGTCTAATTCCTCCAGTACCGACTGCCAATCAGACGAATCTCCCTCATTTATCTTGTCTGATGTCGCGACTGTTTCCTCTCGTTCCTCACGTTCCATCACGTCACTCGCAAACAACTCGCCCATAATAGCATTAACCTGCTCCAGAACTTGCGTCATACGTACATGGGCGTCCAAAGGCGTCAATTTTATTTCCGTGATCAGTCTGTCAATTTTGTTAAGCAATAAAATAGGCTTCAAACCTTCTACATAGCAGATGGACAGTGCACTACGTGTTTGCGGACACACACCTTCGACCACGTCGACCAGAATAAAAGCTCCGTCGGAGAGTCGGACAGCCGTTGACACTTCGGAAGAGAAGTCCACATGGCCTGGAGAATCAATCAGATTTATCACATGATCCTTTTTGTTGGTAACATGATACAGCGTTATCGAGCTGGATTTCATCGTGATCCCGCGTACTTGCTCATCCTGCCTGCTGTCCAGATATCGAAGCTTGCCAGCCAACTTGTTAGAGATGATGCCGTTACTCGCGACAAGTGAATCCGCCAATGTGGTTTTTCCATGATCCACGTGCGCCAATATACATATGTTTCTGATACATGTGGCATCGTTCTGAATCTTGTTGAGCTTTTCTACACTGATAAGACGCATTGTTACTAGCTGCTATGTACAATACAAAAATCATATACACAAACACCGTATGTGTGACTTATGTACAAATATACATATATGTGCTTTCTAAATGTTATAAATGAGATGTTCTCAATGGTATCCGGAATATCGCGACAACAATGAACAGCGTGAACGGATGACGATACAATATATTATATATATATACATACGTCGAATAAACTATATTTATAAAAAATAAGTCGATCGAGATCCGCAATTGCAATCACATATAGCAGTTGCAGTAAACACTATTTCAGTTTATTCGATCTCCAACAAAGTGCACAAGGTTCGTTGTACGCGAGAATGTATCGCAGGATGAACGGCTTCGCTGTCGTCGTGAAGAACATGCCAGCGGACATCGGTTATCGGGGCGATGGAAAACACACAGATAACAACGTGCGTGTGAGCACGGGCAGAATCTCTCTCTTTTCTCTCGTGTGTAAAACACGTGTGTAATCACGCGATACGCTCGACCACCACAGAGCCGAGCGCGAGGAGAAACGTGATTGTGTCGCTTGCGGTTACTAAGAGGTTAGGCGCACAGCATGACTTGCGATCGACAGACTAGTTTTGTTCGCGCCGCGTGTCTCTTCCGCTTCTGATCGACTCTTCTCGAAATTTCTGCTTGCGATGCACCTTCGAAACGAGCGTTCCCTCGTCTTTACTGTACGAAACTGCGAGTAATCTATTCGCTAAATGCGATCGACGAACACCAGACGGCCATATTGATTCTGCGCGGAAGAAAATCTGCAGAAAACGTGCAGTTTCGCGCATGCGTGTGTACTGAAGCTAGAGGTTTGTTCGCGTCGCATGCCCCAAGCAAAATTCTAAATACCTAATTAATGTCTTTAAATCTTAGTTTATCTGGAATTCTAAATATCCGACATTTACATTTAAAAATAATTAATGTCTTTAAATCTTAGTTTATCTGGAATTCTAAATATCCGACATTTACATTTAAAAATAATTAATGTGTAATTAAAAAATCTTAATCTGTCTGATATTCTATATATCCGACATCCATATTTATAAATAACAGATGCGAAATAAAATGTAGTAGAATAGGGCTACAGGCGAAAGTCTACGTTAAAAAAACCTAACGCGCTATTAGTGGCACCTCATAGGTAGGGCGGAAGACCACTTCATAATGTTATCTATCATCATTGCAAAACATAAAACTTGTATTATATAATTGTTGCAAAAACGTTTAATATTGTAACATGAAAGATCTCTGTAGCAAAGTTTATTTAATATTTTAGGTTCATTTTCTATCGGGAAATGCATGACATTTCATGTATTTCGAAAAATTACATTGTTGTCAATTGATTCCACAAATTGCGATGTCACTAACATAGAAATCTCGATGTGTGTCCCAACATGCTTTTATTCGCTCATAACGTGCTTTTTTTCAATGAAACTTCAATGAAACTTCAAAACTTTTTTAATAAACTTTTTTAATTAAAAAAAGTCGCACTCAGTGCGTACTAGTCCAGACCGAATTTCGCTCATAGAGTGCGTTGGAACGAGTAGGAGCATATTGGGGCATGCGACGCGAACAAACCTTAGATAAACCAAGTCCAGTCGCGATTACGCGTGATTGGTCAATTCAATTACTCGAGCAACGCGATTGATCATTTCTGTTTCGTTGATCAACAGATTACGATAATCGCAAATTGGCTATTTTCTCCAACAAAGAAATAACATTTTTGTAAAACAGAATAATATAACTTCATTTGAAACAATGTAACGACTGAAGTAAGTTTTATTTAAATAAGACACAATTATTACATATCACATTTTGGTTTCTTCAACATCAAAATTTTATACATATATATATGACGACTGATGTAATAAATCTTTCGCAAAAGCCGCTCATAAAAATAAACATAAGAAAAGGCATTGAACATTGAAACTATATACGTGTAACGAATGCACACACGCACACACAAAACAAATATTTCAAGTGTTTATATTCCTTAGATCGTTATAAAGTTCATTCTATAAAAAAAAAAAAAAAAAATTGTATGCTTATGACGCGAAAAATATGAATCAACATTTTGTTCAGAAAAAGATGTAAATTCTTATTTTAAACGCTAAAACATAAATAATCGAAAAGCAATAAATCCTTAAGATTTTAGCATAAACGCGGATCACATTCATCATTTGACCACAAATAAAGATAGCGGATTACTATTAATACTCATATATATAAATACTCATGTTTTGCATGTCCAAAATTACAATGTAAATAAAACAAACCGTAATTTCAACGTAATTCAGATGAACGTAACGCGGAAAATAAATATACTTTTATACGAAAACGATATTTATGTAAGATAGATGAAATTTTGCGACAATAAAACATTGACAGTGAAACAGATAAAAGAATATTTTCAAAAAAAAAATGAAAAGATCTTATCGTTTACAAGTTTTTAACCCGGCGTTTCTTGCTGTAAATAAACATCTAAATATTTTCTACACCTTATATAAATAATTTTTAAAACGCAATTATGCATTTATTAGATATCAAATATACAATTAAAATATATTTTTTATTATAAACATAACAATCCAATTTAGTATATCACTTTTTACGCATGTTATCATTTTAATATCGATATTAATCACTTTCCGTAAACGCACGTTATCTTGTCGTGCGTTAAATTTAAGATATCGTATATTGACTCATCAGTAGTAGTAAGATTTTTTTAATTTTATTTATTTAATATCTTTTAACGCTCAAAATTTGATTTGTTTATTAAATTATTATATTTTTGATGTGTGATATGATTGCAAACCATATGTAAAAGTTTACATATCGTATGTAAAAGGCATAGAAATAAAAGAAAGAATTATTAATAATACAAATTATTTTGATCAATGTCATATTTAATAATAAATTCGACAGTAGTGTTACAATGCGCCGAGAACTTTTCTTCAAAACTTTTTTGTTCAAAACTCGCATATAATTAGATTTCTACATACGTGTCATATAACTCTAGCAAAAATAAGCTTCATATATCTATAAATATTAAAAAGAAAAGGCTGTCTTTAGTATTCGGTCATTAGAAAAATTAATAGCCAGTAAGATAAACACCAAATGAATATGCAAAAAATATAATTTTACAACAAGTAAAATATATTATAAATAGCAATGACGCGTATACAAATTAAGTTTTTTTTTTAAATATAAATTACACGAGATAAAAGTTAACGACTTAAATGTCGTAAAATTTGAATATTTTTTTACGGGTATCTTTTAGCTTTACGTAAGGTTCGTTAAAGTGATCATGCAAACAAAAAATAACTAACAACAAATATTGACCAAACAAGTAATTTCAAGAATAATATCGACACAATATTATTTTATCAGTTAATTAACTTGTTGTGACTGAATCTTGTTGCAACGTCTCCACATTTTGTTGGCTCTTCATCTTTTTGCGAAGAAAACGTCCTCTAATATTGAGCATCGTCCTTGCCACCAACCAAATCGCGCCCGCTTCGCATATGTAACGTAGCGCGTTTATGACTCCGACGATGAGAGAATGCGGCGGATATCCGGTCGTGCGCGATTCGATACCGATCGTTTTCAACGTCGCCTCGACATATTTCTCTGGGGTAGGTGCCATCCAAGTCGGTCTCCTGCGAGAGAAAGCGCACAATAATTTATAACAAAGCAGAGGTCATGCGAATATATTTCGACAATGTATTTAAAACTCATATAAGATACAGAAGGAAATGCGGGTCGGTCACTTTTAATTATATAACCGCTGACTAGTCCTTCATAAGCGTAAATAGAGAGATAGAATATTTATATGCTTTTACGTATCGCTATTATTGTAATTATATTGAAATTGATTTAATTTGTTGAAAATATTCAAATTTATATAATTATTTGATATCAAGCTATGTATATAACGGTACATTTAATATTCATTAGAAAAATAATCTATTTAATTAAAATACACGTTTTATCTCTCTATTCTTTCTTCGAAACATTTCACGATTTTAGTTGTAGTTGCGAATAGAATTAAACGAATTTTTACTTGATCTTGGACATCTTTGTGGCAACTGGTCCGGGCATGATGCATTGGACGGTGACGCCTCTTGGTGCTGCCTCCACAGCTAAGTCGGCACTGAGTTTGTCGATATACGCTTTGCTGGCAGAATAAACGGATAAATAAGGGCTCGGAATAGCCGCCGTTGTGGAGCTAACATTAATGAGAACTCCTTTCTTGCGTTCCATCATGCCAGGTAGCACCGCTCGCGTGACCCCGGTGACACCGGCGACGTTCAGTTGCAATATTTGCGCAACGACTTCCTCCGATAAATTCGCAAACAGTTCGGGATGGTCGTAGCTCGCTCCGGCATTGTTAATAAGAACACCAACCTGTTGAAAAAACATTGTTTATTTTATTTTCCGCTGCATTATATTTATTGTTATATTTTTTTCTACAAAAAAACTTCCTTTGTCTTCAAGACAATAACTGATATTGACGATAATAATTGATCTCTTCAAGATAATAATTAATAACAATAATTAATCTCTCTTTTCTCTTTTATCTTTAAATTTAATTTTTCCACATTTTTCTGTTGAATCACTAGTTTCTCGTGCATAGAAAAAACTTAAATTATATCCCACAGAACAAAAACTCCATTAGGCATTTAGTAGATATCGCATGGAGTTTTTGATATCTAATGTATGTTTAATCTAATGTATGGAATTTTTCTTTTGTGTGAGATCAGAGTCATCACCTCCAAGTCTTGCGTCGCTTTGGCAATTTCCGCATAAACGATCTGGCCCTCCGTCAAATCGGCTTCCACAACGCGCGTGTCAACTCGATAATCCCGTTCAATCTCGGCAGCTACGTCCTTCAACCTGGACATGGATCGCGAGACTAATACGATGTCCATGCCCTTTTGCGCGAGCGCTTTGGCGAATGCTTTTCCAAGTCCGTCAGTCGCACCCGTGATCACAGCCCATTTTCCTTGCGTCGTCAAATCAATGCCAAGTCCAAGATTGGGCGCGACAAATTTTTTCCACATGAGAACGCTGGTTTTTACGAGCAATCTCAGACCAACCAGCGCTATTATAACCAATAATATATTCTCCCAATAACTCGCCATTCTGCAATTTAAGCAATAACTCTGTCATATCAACTTTGATTTAATTAAATAATTTTGTTTATTTAATTAAATCAAAATATAACATATAGTAAACACAACACAGAGATAAATAAACCATATTTGATAACTTATTGTTACGTTCAAAACTAAAACCAATCACTTTAATTAAAATCTCGATGAATTGAAGTTTCGGAAATGATGTGTTATTGCCTCGACTGCTGTTTGTCGACTACCACTGATTACAGTCACGGCAAGTCAAAGTGTCGTATCATTGTACATTGTACTATCAGCCGATTCGTTATCGCGCGTTTGATATTTCGTTTTCCCACACCGAGAAGGTTACTAGTGATTTTGGATATGCGAAGCGTCGTTTTAAAATATTAACAACGCTATATAGGTTAAAAATTTTTTTTTAATTTTTTGAAAATTAGTTGAAAATAACGAAGACTGGTATATTTTGTGCGCTTTCCATTATAATCTGTAATATATTGAAATATTTAAATATATACAAGTGAACAAATTCGTTGCGAGCTGCATTGCTCACGTTACTGGAAATACTTACGCAGACATGTAATACATGTGTATGTATTTAAAAAAAAAATTATTAAGTTAATGTGCCATCGAGTAAAATGCAGTAAATGTGAGACTTCGTCATAAGTTAAGTAAAATGTACAAATGTGTGTGGACTTTGTTTGACTTCATAAAAGTCAAAAGACGATGCAGATGAGTGTGAATTATGCGTACGGACGTGACGCGTCTCTCAATGCAATTTCCATTCTGCAAGTTCTGCTCTACACCACCAAGCGGTAAAATACGTCGCAATTATTATATAAAATATGTAAAGTTAAATTTTTATTATTTAAATTTAAAGTCACGTAAAAACATCGCAATAGTCGTAAAACAATCCGCGATTTTTGCTTTTCAACAAAACATTCAGCATTTCTCTTTGCGCGATCTCCTTTTCTGACATACTTTACTTTTACTTTTTTTTCAAATATATATAAAAGGCTTCAAAAGAGTAGAAAACCGCTAAGAAATAATTGGTAAAAATTGTTACGTGCTCGAATTTAACCGACGTTTTTCTAATAGATATTTTCCGCAATAGTCTTTTGACATGCAAATTCTTTTTCGCAAAAAAAGCAAGGTAAACATTATTAATGACGGTTATTATCATACAATATAATGATTATTATACGGTTTTACAGTTATTTTTAATTGATGTTCCCAAAATGTTAACACAGAAAATGTTTGCCGATAAAACTTTCGGTAAATATTCATAAAAACGGAGCACCCTCGGAGGTCAATGACATATGTTGTCAAGGGCACCTCTCTGTACAACAATCTGAAGGTTTTAGCCGTCGCTCGTTGTTTCTTAAAAAATTATAAACAAAAGATTTATCATAAAATGAACTCTTATTTTCCGACACCGTGTACATCTTATTCGTGTTTACAAGCGTGTAGACAGGGCCGTTCGATCCTCCCCTCTGCTTCCTCCTCGCGAAAAAATGAAGAATTCAAGTGTCGCTTCATGTCGAGAGTGTATGTATGTGGTTTGCGGGAAGGCGAACTACCCCCCACCTACACCCTTACAACACGACAAGAAAAATATAGTAGTCTTGAAAAAACAAAGTAGTCTTGTTAAGTGGCCTTGTAGCTTAAGTGGTCTTTGTTTATATTTCTCAACACATTGACGTTGTTTAATTTTCCGTGAGCGAACAAGCGTTACACATGTTTCTACACAAATTTCTTCATTTGACACGATTTATATCGACTGATAAACTATTTGTGTAACAAAAAAATAATACGCGAACGCATAGACAATAATGTCCAAAATTTATCCATTAAATGATAGCGAATTGCGAACCAACGAATAATATTTATAATGTATTGCTATAAAAACAGACATACATAACATCGTAAAATATTGCAAACAATAAAGTAAAAAATCTTGACATGAAGCGACGCTTAATTGAATTCTTCATTTTTTCTCGAGGAGGGAATAGGAGGGTCAATTATTGACGCAACTTCTTTTGTTTATAATTTTTTAACGAACGAGCGACGGCTGAAACCTTCAGATTGTTGTTCAGGAACGTGTCCTTGACAACATATCAAGACCATTCACCTCCGAAGGTGGTGCTTTTTTTGAATATGTACTGCAACTTCCTTATATTATCAATGTAAGGACATAGCAACATGTATACAAATAAAAATATAAATTTAACAGTTTCATTAAAAATATAACATACATATTTATATATATACATATAACATACATATATGTATATTTTTATATAACACATATGTATATTTTTGACATACATATTATTTCATATAACATACATATGTATATGTTTAAAAATGAAAACTTATATCTTTTATTTAATTTTAATAAATATAAGTAGTTATTAGCGTATTAATTTTATTTAAAAAAATATACGCGTATATCTTTCCAAACAGTACAAAAGTCCGAAAGATGTATCTAAAAGATGATTAAAATAACATTCGAAGATGTTTTTCGGGTTTGAACCGCGTTAGTGTCATTTCTATACCGACGTTTCTTTAGAACATTTTAAAAGATATATTTCGGATTTTTGTGTTGTCTAAGTTGATTGCAATCGATCGAGTTTAAAATAGTCATCAACTGAAAGAAGCAGTATAAAAATTTGTTTATTTGTTTTTATTATCAATTTAAAACAGCGTATGGAGTGTGAAAAAACACTTACTTTATGTATCAATATCAATACTTTGTAAAGTATGACACACGAAAGGTAATTGATCCAACAGACTTGTTGTATTTAAACTCGGCAAAATTTCATCGTGATGCAGCTTTCTCCAACAGTTTTATACTCGAATGCGTGCGGCGATAGCGATACTTTCTCACTTTCTCACCTGTGTTTGATTTTACTGGCAATCTCTTCTTCCAGTCTCAATCATCCGACAAAATCCCATGAATGGCAAGGACTTCCTTTTTATCGAAGTTGGACGAGAAAATATATCCAGCTTCGCACAACCGAAGTTAAAGGCCGACGAACGCAGGCGAAGTTTGTTTTGCGATAATCTAGACTCTAACGTTAAACGCGGAAACGCGATTCCGGAAACCGCGGGAGAAGAGACAAGGTCAAGAAATGTATAACAAACGCGTGTGGAATGAAATCTTCAAAAAAAAAATAGTCGCGAAAGAAAGAAAGGAAGAAAAAACTGTCCCCTCGTGAACAGATATTCTCTTAATGATTTCCGGCGAGACACTACGTTTGCGAGAAAGCGGACGGCAATCGATATCGGTTGCGCGTTCGGAAGCGCGCGATATTTGTGCGCGCGCAATGTCAGGGCTACGTCCTCTACTACTGGCTCGCACCGTGATAGAGCGAATGATCAGCAAAGGAACTTGCTATGTATAGCGGTCTATCCCGAACCCCACGTGGTCGGACAAGAGGTGTAAGGCAGTGGGGAACAAAAGAGAAAAGAAGAGTCTTTCTTTGACACACTTCCTTGACCGGTCAGCTCTCGGCCTCCTTTGCGCGCTCACACGACTTCTTCTTGTCGTAGAGTATCGCATAGTTCGTTGCGTTTGCGGAGGCGCATCCAAGTGTACAATATCTTGGAGATTGAGCGAAACAGTTAGGTGAACAACTTAACTTCATCCGAAGTGCATCCGCGTCCCTGGAAATGTTTATTATAAAAACGTAAGAACAATTAATTAACACGTTGAGCGCCGCGGCGTATTTAGGTGACTCGTCAGTGGGCCACCGAAAGCCCACGGCATTCAACGTGTCGAAAAATCTCACATATAAGATATGATATCATCATATACGTTACACGATTATTTGTCTTACATTTATTGTGTGTTCTCTTTTGTACAAACAAGATTTGAAAAATTTTTTAAAATGATAATCATTTTGCAAAATTTTTTATACGTAGAGAATGAAAGCGCATTTGTGTTGAGAGTGCACAAGAACAAAATTACGCGTTAACGTTCGTAATTTATTTATTCAACTCGTGTACAAAAGATAAATGGTCTTACATGTGCTCTCACACACTTTGTAGATACAATTGCAAACAATCCTGTAAACAAGTCAAAAACAACGCGGATATACAAATGTTACTTCACACACGCACACACTCCGAAAACTTGGAAAAATAAGTGAGTTGGAGTCGCTCATGTAAACTTCACTTTTGAAAAAACGCTTTTCCGCTCCTTACTTCCGAGGTCCGCGCGTGGATCTTCGTTGTTTGCGCGATCACATAAAAATTCTGAAATTGAATATGTATGAACAATGAAAATCAATAACATGGTTCAGATGAGGATTTGAATAATAAATTACTATTGCATTAGTATATGTTTACGCTTCCACTCTTCGACGGGTTACGTGATCGCTGTTTTTATCCATAGAGACATCCGGGAAGACAACAATAAGATGCATCACATCACGTGTCGTTTTTTTTTTTTTCATTTGTCTTTTGCGTCATTTGATTTATTTTTGAGAATTCCATACAACAGGAAAACGTGGCACGCGTGCAATGCCGCGCTACTAAAGACGGTGCTCGGATACGTGTTCCAGCACAATTCTATCACGCCCAAGAGAGTCAGTTTGAGAACGATCTTGTAGTCGGTGCACCATGCGATGTAGGGTAACGTGTGATAATACCATATGTAGAACTGATAATGCAACGACCTGCTGAACATAACGCCGACGAAATTGGCGACAAAGAGAGGATAGACGAACAGCTGGCTTATAACGGACATGTCTATGTTTTCTTTCTTACGAAGTTGGGGTTTCAGATCCTTCTCGACGTGTTTCAGTTTCGCGTACGATCTCATGTACGTGATCCAAGTTGGCGCGCAGTAGAACAACGTCAGAATGTGCAGAAGCAACAGAGTCACGTGAAAATACGGGTGTACGAATACATCCTCCGACAAGAATCTCCAATTCACCGTCCACTTGAATTCAAAAATCCGACCCAAGTTGAAGGCACCTTTTACGTACGCGAGCGGATTTTCCAGTAAAAACGGAAGACCGAGAATCAACTGAACGAATGCGCAAACCGACAAATGTATCAGTGCTTTTGACAGTCCCAGAACGCATAGGTAAGCAACGAAAAGCGCCGGGGCGAACAGCAGTATGTTCATTTTAACGGACACGGCGAGACTGTACAGCACGCTACCCAGGTACCACCGATTGTCGAGGAACGCGTTGATGCTCGCGAACAGCAGCACCATGGCCACCGGGTCGTTGAACAGTCGCAATACGAATATCGAGTGTATTCTGTAGGAGGTGCAGCACATCAGGATCAGAACGTAGGGCGGCACTTTCTTAGTCCTCGCGTAGATCCGGAAGACCAGCGACAGCGTGATCACGTAGAGTATCGCGAAGAGGTACTGTGCTATCTTCACGCGGGTGCCGCGCGAGGTTATGTAGTAGAGACCGCTGAAGATGTACACAAATCCGGCCGGATAAACTAAAGGTCCGGTGTCACCTCTCAGCCTCGAGTAGTCCGTAGTGCCGTTCAGGAAACCCTCCACTTCCTGCATGTAGGCCTTCCAATCTATTTCGGTGTATGGCACGTTCTCGATAACCAGTACGTTCAGCATTATCTCCAGGACGACGAACACCTTGGCCGTCAACGACAGCTTCTTCGGGTCGGTCAGCAGAGAAACGAGAAACTGTCGCCATTCTGTGATAGAACTTTCTATCCAGCTCTTGTTGGTTTTCCTCGAACTTTTCCCGGGATTTAGGTTAGATCTTGTCTCCCTGCGTGGCGCCATATTGCTTCTATATTCAAATACAACAGCGCGTCTCCCTTGACTCAACTCTTCAGAACCGGGTCCCTCGCTCGTTGATTGTTGCGATTGTCTTTTTCAATAAACGAAGACACGTTTGGGTATTTTTTTTTTTTAATTCATTGTGTAATGTCTATTGACGTGTAATAAGACTGTTACTTTTTGGAACGAGAGAGTCCGAGAAGGCCGATATATAGCAATGCTTTTATCCTTTTGCACGTGTCGTGTTCTTTTTAGTAAACAATGATGATTTTTTTTAATAAACGGGCACGTACCGGGCTCTCTTTTTGTGGCAAATATACGAAACATATTTTCAATTTCCATCGTGTAATATCCAATGATACAAAAAATAAGAGAAGTATTGAATCCCCGGAACCATCTTCCGTTTGCTCAAGAGAACAAATTGAGTCAAGAGACGTAAAGTCAAGAGAGACTCTGCCACACACTCACATTTCTGATATACGTGTCCCAACTTTGTACTCTATCCTCCTATTGCGTTTTGTCACGGCGTAACGCAGCCAATCGCGAATCGTCTGCGAATCATCGCGACGTGACGACCAATCAATGAGCGCCAGCTGGTAATCCGGATTTTTGACAAGAATCCAACGTGTATAAAGTCGAGCGCGGAGTAAACGGCAGATGTGTCATCGAGAGATTCGTCAAAAAATTTAAGTGGATGCAGTGAAACTGTCACGTTCCATCAGACTGTTGCACGACGCTGACTCTTGGCATCGAGGATACGCAAACTGCTAGATCGATTTTAACGGTATGTAATCTCGCTCTTTGTCCTTGCGTTTCTAATAACCTAATACGCGGTCAACAACTTCGTGTTGCCGACAGTTATTCGTTCCGTGAATTATATTCCGCGCGTAAAAGTCTGTCTCGCGATCTGACACAAAAGAGTCGAGTCTAGTTTCCTTCTGGAAGAGATCTGTCACACGAGAAGTGACAGATTTATTCGGCGTTTTGTCAAAAGCAAACAAATATAGCAGACGTGGCAACGTTCGCAAATAATTAATCCTTTTCACAAGGAAAAATATCTGTGTACACAATGCATTTTGTTCGTTTGTATAGTCGTACATGTATGTTTTCAACAGGAAAACAGCAAAAAAAAAAAGAAGGAAAAAATGAATACTTCGGTGTCTCTGGTGTTTTCCATATTTCTTGGAATTGTGTGTGCTGTTACAGCATTGAGAGAGGGTGATTGCGAAGGTAAGACTTTTCTCATACAAACTTTTGCAGTTTTTTAATTCACATAAAATATCTGTGTTTTCTCATTTTTTTATTTTGGCTCTAATGTTTCAGTGTGCGTTGCTGTTGTGGACAAATTCAGTCAAACATTAACAGCAGATGTTAAAAGCGATCCCAAGAAGATTGAAGAGGAGTTTCGAAAATTCTGTAAAGGCACAAAATCGAAAGAAAATAGATTTGTGCGTATAAATTTGCAAATGTAGAATAATTTTTTTTTATTAGTGTCACATTTAGATTATCTGTAACTGTTGTATGTGCTTTTAGTGCTATTATTTAGGCGGATTGGAAGAATCTGCCACTGGCATTTTGGGCGAACTCAGCAAACCACTGTCATGGTCTATGCCAGCGGATAAAGTGTGTGAGAAACTGAAGAAGAAAGATGCTCAAATATGTGATTTGAGATTCGGTTTGTATGAAGTTCTAGAGTTTTCTCTTTTTTTTTTTTAATTTTAGACAATTGTAAACGTAATACGTTTTCTCTGCATGTGCGACGTTAATATTTTTAGAGAAACAAATTGATCTCAACACAGTAAATCTTAAGAAGCTAAAAGTACGCGATTTGAAGAAGATCCTGAACGACTGGGACGAGTCGTGTGATGGTTGCATAGAGAAAACGGACTTCATTAAGAGAATCGAGGAGCTCAAACCCAAGTATTCTAGCAGCAGCTCCAAAACGGAGCTCTGAAGGATTGTCTTCGATTTAGACAAGCAATTGCATTAGTGTGGCTGTAACCTGTGTCTGTTCAATTCACTGGAGGAGTTGTTTGCGGCATTTAAGAGATGTATTTAATTTGCGTCGTTACATACAATTCATACAATAGTGTTATTTTGTAAAACTTTGTTTTGTCCTTAGTAAGACAGCCACTCAAGTATTCGGAAATATTTAGGTTACGTTAATTGAGGTAGGAAATGATGACCGCAAAGATTAGGGTAAAGCAAACTAATGAGCAATGAAAATTTAGTTACACATACACAAACATACACAAACACACACAAACAAACGCATCTTTGTGTCTCAATAATTCATTTTGAGAGACAGTGATCATATGAATTTTCTCTGAGACGCAGCCATGCTGATAATGTATCTATTTTATCGAAGGTGCTCCATTTTTAAGATGTCAACGTTAGGTGTAAATTAATGTAAACAGCGTTTATATACAAGAAATTTATTTTCTCATGGTATTTATCTTCATTGCTCTTCCTCATGATAGTGTAATGTGCAAATATGTTTGTACAATATGTCTGAATTGTATTTATACCGGGATTTAATAACTGTCAAGTGATACATATAGGTAGGTATTTTTGACTCTGATTGCTATTGTATTGTGGATTTTTTTTTTTTTTTTATTTCCATTTCTATTTCGAAAAACGTGGGAAAAAAACACACAAACTGAATGTACAACTTTGCGAAATACTAATGAAGATATATCTCACGGCCAGTACAGACGGAACTCTGTCTTTCTCGACTGTGCGAGTTCAACAATGCCAATTTTTGAGACGAGAATTATTTGTACGAATATACATTAACTTTTTCCAATAAAAGATATGTATACTCTCCTCTCTCGGGTATTTTAAAATTGATACTGAAGCGTAAATTGTGCATAAATATTTACAGATTTAAGATAATTATCGCATATCTCTCTCTGTACTACTCTCGAAAATCCTACAAACTTATTTATTTCGCGATAAGACTGTAATTACGTTTTCTATATTATTCGTGAATCTTGATATATAAGAGATCAGAAAAAAAACAAAAACAAATAAAAACATATGTGTTGTTACAAAAGTGGAAGATTATTCACCTTCACAAAAAGAAAACCCTTACCAAATCTTTCGCAAAACTGTCGTGAGAGTTGCGCGCGTTTTACTTGCATTGCGGCATTTCGCTCCATTTTCCGTCAGCTTGACAAGTAATCATTCCCTGCTTTTTACCATTTGGACACACGTACGTCAATTGATCCTGGAACAGATACGAACGGCCGTGGAGCTTGATTCCCGGTTGAATCTGCGGTTTGCCACAAGATATTTCTGCAAATACACACATTGTGATTTATATTTTAAACAAATTTAAAATCGAATGAAAAATAGATAAAATTTATACAGCTTTGCCTCATTTATTTACACGTACTCGAGCATCTGCCTGTCGTTTTGGACCATTTTCCACTTCCTAAACATCTCGAGCTTGTTTGTCCGAATACGCGATAACCCGAAACGCACTGATAAGATATCATGTTGCCGAAAGTGAAGTTCTGTTTCACGCCAATGTCCGACTTCAACATCGCGTTTGCGAGAATCGGCGGATTGCCACATGTTACAGCTGGGAATGTTTGAATTCAATTGTCCCATATTTGTTTTTTATAATTTTGAATTATATATATACATATAGAATTAAAAACCGGAACTTAACGTACGTTTGCAATAAGGCGAAGCGGACCACGTGGTGTTCGGCAGACAAACGGATCGCTCGTTCCCTTCGAGAACGTATCCGTGACGGCATTTGAAAACAACGACACTGTCGATCGCCATGCGACTGTTGTCGGTGTTATTGTCATTATCGATATATCCGTATTCCGGTGCCTGGACGATTGATAAAAATTAAAAATATAAAGTAAGTCAATAAACAAAAAAACAAAATTGAAATAAATTCGTCTCACCTGCGGAGACGCGCACGATCTATCGCAGATGTACGTCGAATCGTTCAGCAGCAGCTCGAGCGAGGGTTCCTCTAGCGACAAATTCGTATCCTCCCATTTTGCGGCGTCGTTGCACCTCCACGTTACATTAAAGATCGTCTCATTCAAAAGCAACTTATCCAAATTCATCTGCATGTTATTTTGACACGATAACACCAGTTCTTGCCCGTAACTGTTTCCCTCAACAAAAATCTCGAAACTTTTGTACACGCTGGTGACATTTCCTGTGCCGTATCGTTCTTCATCGAATTTAAACGATGTTATCGTGTCGTTTACGAAAACGGTTTCGTTCTCTAGTTTCTCAAGAAGTTTAAAAACCGGATGATCGCCGACGGAACAGTTACGCGGAACGCAAGAAACGGAAATCGAGGACCAACTCTCTTCCTCGGTACACGTTCTGACCTCGTCTCCGTCCAACTCGTATCCCGGATCGCAGACAACAACAATCTCCGCGCCGGAAACGAACATTTCCGCAGCGTCTTCTTCCGTCGCTTTGCTCTCATTCTCGGGAATCTCGATCGTGATGTTGTCTCGTTTCTTGAAGAAGAGCTTCGCGTTTTTCACACGATCTGGTCGGGAACACGTCCGGGGAACACAATCGGGAACGACACCGGTCCAGGTGCCGTTTAAGGAACACTGTAGTTTAAATTCCGTCAATAAATTGTGATTGCCGCGAAACTTGTAGCCGCGACGGCAGGAGAATCCGACGACGACGCCGTAATGATACGTCCTCGCGGAAGGATCGTCGATCGAGTTTTCCTCCGGATCCGCGGAGGTTCCGTTGGACTTGTCAGAATTCGGGAGAACAAGGTAGCCGTGTTCTAATCTGCAAACGGATTGTTACAAAAAATGTTTAATCATCCTTTGTCTTTAATTTCATCAAACAAATCGTTTAAATACGTCTCGATTCATGCGTGAAACGCACTTTTTCGGCGGTGGACATCCGTAAGGCGCGCAAAACGGTCTGTCGTGATCCCAAACACCGGTGTCCAAACAAGTCAGATATTTTTCTCCCGTCAAACGATATCCAGAATCGCACTTGAACTCCAGTTGCTGGCCGGCCTGAAATAATCGAAGGATGTCACTTGTCAAAAAATAACGTGCAATCTTACGATTGCATGACGCAACTATTGTTTTTTTTTTTTTTTTAAATAAAAAACCTGCAGTATCGTGAGATCGTCTCTCTCATTTTCCTCCAGGATGTACTCTATATCACCGTTCTCCGGCGCGAGTAAGTTCTTGCATGTTGTTCCTGCGAGAAGAACGCAGAGACACACGGCAATTAGCGCGATTACCTCTTTCGATCGTCGCGTAGAAAGATTTCAGATTTAAATTTTTTTTTTTTTTTTTTTTACAATCGTCACCTATGCAGATCGGTGGCAGTCCGGTCCATTTTCCCTCGGAATTGCAAATTCGATGAGGATTTCCGCGAAGCTCGTAGCCGTCGGCGCAGGAATAATGGATTTCGTCACCGAACGAATACTGTCGGCCGTGAATCAGTCCGCGCGGAAAGTATCCCGGAAAGCCGCACTTAATTTCTTGAATAAAAAAAAAAAATTACGCACAATTATCGTCTTGTTTTACAATAAATGAAAAAAAAAAAAACACAAGTTTCTTACACAATTTAAGATACTAATGTTATAATTAAAAGTGTTAACGTTGCAATATTTCTGTTTTTTACGTCACAATAAATATATAGGATTTACTCGTGCAGCTCGGCGTGGTGTATCCTTCCCACTGGCCGTGCTTGAGACACCTCCGCACGAAGGAGCGACGTTCCTCGTCGCCGATCTGCATCACGTACCCGTTATCGCAGTAATACGTCACCTCCGACAGATCCTCGCTCACCTTAATGTTACCTCTGGAGGGTACTACGGGTAAAGGGCAGCCACGACAAAACGGGCTAGCTAAGATCTGAGGGCGTCGTGAGATCGCTTATAGTCTATCCGCTATATAAGATCGAGGTCGCGTAAATTTATATTTTCATTTACACAGATACGTGTTTAATTACCACAACGTCACCGTGAATATATTGCTGCATCTGCGCCCAGGCTACGAGATTTCCGTGATACTTCTCGCAGCTGTTCCACAAAGCGGTGACGTTATCCTCGTCCAGAATGACGTCCCACATGTCCAGCATGCTGAGCTTTCCCAGAAACGCTTCCGATTCGGAAAAACCGCCACCCAGTCGATCCTGTTCCTGCCCGATGACGAGAGATCCGTTTGCTGCGAAGAGAAACGATTTCGTCAATTTCAAGATCACTGAATTTTTTCATCTCGATGTATTATTCTGAGAAAAACAATCTTATCGATTGACAGATACCGTATGTATTCGTGATTTAAATTCGAACGAAATTACCTTGTATGACAGTTTTCTGAGCTAAGCGGAAGCCACTGTCCTTGAGAATTCCGTCAACGAACACGCGCCAGGAACCGTACTGACTCTCCCAGACGATACAGAGGAAGTGCCAGTAACCGTCGTTGACTTTAACGTCGGTCACGATTTTCTCTCCGTTAACGTACAAGACGAATCTGCGAGATGAGAAAAAAGATTTCGCGCGCGATAGGAATTTATTTGCGCGTTTCCTCGTGAATGAATTTCATATATATCAATAAAACAGAAGAGTTTAGCGAGTATAATTACCCGTTGTAATCGGTCAACGTGAAGACGTTATCGTGGAACGTTGTCGCGTACGACAGCACTGTACCGTAATTGAAGGTATCTGTCGATTGCAACCACAGGCAAACGGACAGCTGCAATCAAGAGAGAATCTCGATGAGAACGACGTGAGTTACGATTGTTTTCTATTCGTCGTGCTTACTTGAGAGAGATCGTTCGCGGGTCCTTTAACGACGACGTAGTCCGTAGTGCCGGACCTCGCGAAGTGCATCACGTAATCGGACGACAATTCTGCGACCGTGAGAGAGACAAGTGGTAATATATTATGCAAAAAAAAAAAAAAAAAAAAAAACATTTCAAAAAAAAAGGTCCTTTAACGACGACGTAGTCCGTAGTGCCGGACCTCGCGAAGTGCATCACGTAATCGGACGACAATTCTGCGACCGTGAGAGAGACAAGTGGTAATATATTATGCAAAAAAAAAAAAAAAAAAAAACACTTTTCAAAGAACGATTTTCTGAAACGATTCTTTTGTTAAAACGCGATATTGAGATTTGCAACAAAATTACCGATTTCGCAGTTGCGTCCTGCGAAAGGAACGTGACAGTCGCACGTGTAATTGCCAACGTGATTGACGCAATTCCCGTTGTTCGAGCAAGGCGAGCTCTCGCAGTAATCGATCTTGATCGTACAGTCCGCTCCCGTGTATCCGTCCGGACACTCGCATCTAAAGATCGATCGCATATATGTATAGATTTTTTTATATACACCAAGAATAACGCGAATTTCACATTGCGAAACAATAGTGGCGAGTTACCTGTAACTATTGCGCGTCGCGTTCTCTTCCTTGACGTTCAGACAAATCGCGTTCGCGTGACACGGTATCCAGTCGCAGGGCAGCAGACTGCAGTGACGGCCCAGGAATCCGGGCTTGCAGTGGCAATGCCACGTTCCGTTCGCGGTGCGACACGTGGATCCTTCCTCGCATGGTATCAGCTCGCAGTGGTCCATCGAAATTTCGCAAAATTGGCCTAAATGAAACAACAAGCGACAAAAAAAGTTTTTATACGTAATAAAATCAAAAAACTACTCGTACACTTACCTTCGAACCCGTCGTTGCATTCGCAAGTGAAATCGCTCTCGGTGCTCACGCATTTTCCATTATTCTGGCAAGGATCAGTAGAACACTCATCCACGTAAATCTGCAAGACACGAAATCATTTGGTGAACTTAAGTTAATTCGAAGTTTTTTTTTACGATATCTCTTTTTACTTCGCAATTGACGCCCGTGTAACTGCTTTTGCACGCGCACTCGTAAGTCACGGAGCTGTTGGAGTGTCGTTGCATCTTACACGTTCCCTCGTTCAAACACGGCGAGGAGGCGCACGGATCTTTCAGCTCCTCGCATTTCGATCCTGGAGGAATATAATTTTTTTTTTTTTTTTTTTTTTCAGTGCTACAATTGAATAAAAATAGAATTATCGAGAAGAGTGACCGCGTCTCTCTTACCCACGTAATAATTCTGACATTCGCAAACGTAACCACTTTCGTCTTGAACGCATCGTCCCGCGTTCAAGCAGGGATCCGTCCGGCAATCGTCGATTTCCTTGTCGCGCATCAACACGCAATCGCTCGCATTTGCGGAGCCGCGACTCTCCGTTGTCGTGTTCGACGGACACGGCGTGCATTGCGTCTGTCCGTAGCTCGGCTGATAAAATCCGAAATCGCACGCGAAGCACGGCTCCAGCGCTAAACGCGATCCGTGATAACGTTTGCGTCGGGAGTAATACCCTGGTCGGCATATGGCTAGAAAAAAAAAAATATGTACGTAAATGCTTATTGTATCCGAATTGTTGTATCCGACGTTTCGACTGGAGTTCTTACGAATGCAATCTTTCAACGACTTCGCGTGCATCCTCTTTGTGAAAGTGTTCTCCGGACAAGATTTGCACTCCAGCGCGGCAGTCGCGTTCTGATACTGCCCGAACGAACACGGCTGGCAAGCTCGAGAGGATAAATTGTAAAAAGTGCCCGCGGAACATTTTACTGAAAAATTGAATTGCATCCGTATATAAATTTTCCAAATTTCACAGTGGCACAAATTTATTATGTTCGAATCCAATGAGCGATCGGCAACTCACCGCAACTGTATTTTCTCAGCATACTTCCGTGATCGCAGAGAACCTGAGGTTCCTTGAAAACGAGATGCAGATTCAAAGCGAGCTTCGCGATCTCCTGATTGGTTTTGTTATTGAGCAAGTCCAGCTTTCCGATATGCGTCATCGCGTCGATCTTCTCCCTCAACTTCTGCACTCCGCGCCTCGGATTCTCAAAATTCTCCTCGATTATTTTACCTGGGAAACGAGTAATCTTTAATTTTTGGACAATTTTTTTCGAGTGAAGCTCGAAGTAAAATTTAGTTTTTACCGATAAACTTGAATTTGATCTCTATTTTGTCTCTTTTTCTCTTAGAAGTGGCTTTGTTCTTATTAGACTCGGAATTCCCTCTAGTTACGCGTATCAGGTTTTTGATTATCATCATCTTGTCGTTTCCGAAAGACCGAAGGCGGTTGGGATAATGTCTTCGTCTTCTGATCAAGTTGTTTTCTAAATTATTCGAAGACGAGAGATCGTTCTCGCATTCAGGCTCGAAGTTGACCAAATTACACTCAATATCGTTGCCGCAAATGTCCAGTAACTTTGATTTCAAGTCGTTAGCGATATAATTACTTAACTATAAAAAAAAAAAAAAAATAACGCGTCATGTGTAAGATAAGAAAAAATATCAATTTATAAAAATGTCAGTTTTGCACATTAAGTATTTGCTCACTTTGTGGAGAGCAGTTTGATTGTCGCACATCGTATTCCCGTCGCCTTGTAATATCACGTTTCCTTCTTGAGATATCATTTTTGGAATTTGCGTTTCTGTGTATAAATCGAAATCACAATTCAGTGATGTGTACAAAACTAATTCTTAATGTTTTAATTAAAAAATAAATTACTTATGAATTACAAAGAAATTTATAAATGTGCGCGTGTGTGTGTGCGAAATACCAGAATATTCCGGCAGATAATTGTACTCCCATAGCTGATTGCTCGAGTTACATTTCAACAGTAACTCGTCGTTGACAGTGTTAAAGTGCTCGATCATCGACTCATTCACGGGTGTTGTTAAATTTTTACACACATCTGGAAAAAGAAAAATGGAAATTCTCTCATCGCGCGTTGTGAAATAAAAGCACTGGAGTCGAGAACCAGACGTACCTTCCACCGTGATGTTCAACACGCAAGTTGCCCGATTGTTGTACTTGTCGGTGGCATTATAGTAAATCTTCGTACGGCCGATTGGAAAAACATCCTTGCCGGGCTGGTGACTTTGATTAACCTGCACCGCAACTCGTGAATTGTCGTAGAACACGGGCTCGTTCCAGGTCACGTTATCGAGACCGCTGTCCAGATCGGTGTAAAACGTTGGCGGGTCGACGCAGTTCTCGATCATCGGTGGTTCTCTGTCTGCGACCGCGCGAGATATATTTATCGCGTCGACTTTTTGCGATTCAATGTATCTTTTAGTTACATAAATTTGCTTCCGAATGTAATAACTTACCGACGACTTTAACTTTGAACTTGCATCTGGCTTTGTTGCCACTCGCATCTTGCGCTATGTACACGACAATGCGCATGCCGATCTTCGCTTTCCACGGAAAAACGATGTGCGGTTTCGTCCACAAAATAGGCGACGCGTCCGCGTTGTCGGTCACCTCGGGTGTCGTCCAGTTCACGTACGCGTAATTTTGGCCCTTTGCGGTTTCCGCGACAATATCGCGCGGGCATTTTACAGAAGGTGGCAGTTTGTCTGTATTGTTTCGATATAGGATTAAACGATTTGTATTTATGCGTCAACTTTTAATTTTTAAATTAATTAATTGAATTTAAATCAAAATTTTTTATATCGTAAATTTTGGTGCTAACCCACACATCGATTAACGCTGTGACGCTGCGACCAAATTCCTGTGCGTCCGTTGCAGGATCGTTTGGAAGGTCCTTCCAGAACGAGACCTTCGTTGCAGGTGATCGTGCAATTGGTGGCGAACGGCACTTTTTCCGGACCGGTGCAAATTTCCGGCGTGATGTTGCCGTTCGCGACTTGCAGCAGTGGTTCGCACTTCACAGCTGCCGTGAATTTATTAATTATATAATTTTGTTATAATTTTACCGCGTCTCGTTGCGAAATAACCATCAGTGTTAATGTGCGAATAATACGTTTTTACCTTTGCAAGTAACTTTCAGACCGTCCCAACGGGACAACGGCAGACAGTTGCGCACTTTGCTGCCGCGAAGTTGATAACCAACGTCGCACTTGAACTGGCACCGGGTGTCGATCGGATAGACGGTGGAATTCTCCTCGAATTGATGCTGGTAATCCTCGTCGTGCTCGCATTTCACGTGGCCGTGCGCGGGAGCGCGAAGGGCCGGGCACGTTTTCACTGTATAAAAAAATTACATGGACATAATTTTTTTATATTTATTACCGTAGCATGAGAGATCGTGTTATTATTTATTATATATTGATAATCTTATCTTAAATCTGAGATTTCACATTGGTAATGTTTTTAAATGAATAAATTTACTTACGCAAACACTGCGGCTCGTTGCCGGACCAAGCGCCGTCCTTCCCGCAAAGTCGGATGCTGTCGCCTGTGAGATGAAAACCGATTCTGCACCTTATGCCGCACGCCGCGTGCACCACGTTGCTGCAGGCGCTCGCTTTCACCAGATAGCCGTTCTCGGGGACCTTCAGCTTCGAGCATGTTATTGCTGGAAAAAAAAATGTCACATTTTGTCTTGAGCCAATAATCAAAGAAATCGGTTCACATTCTAGTTTTAGAACGAAGTTCTCGCGGAATTGGTCGATCGATCAGTCGCAATGCGATTAGAATCGCAATTGTTCGCGAAACGATTTTGTATCCGCGCTGACAACCGCGGCAGTAATTAGTTTCGAAAATATAATTAATATCCTTAGTTTTGTCAAACGTAATTTTTGGTCAGAATGGGCACACGCGATCAGAAACCTCGAGATTTCGTCGCGCTATCTCGAAACCTATCGGCGGACTTGAGGAGAGCGAGATTGACGCAAATGAAATGGTTTCAGAAGTACGAACCGCTGTTGCGGGAATACGAGTGAGAGCGTCGAGCGAGACAATATTTAAAATATCATTTCTCAAAAAAATATTCGTTACATCGAGTATGATGTAACGAGTGTTTTTTATTTATTCAAGAAAACTTCAGCAGGAAGTGCGAGAACTGTACAAAGAGAAAAGAGTCAAAATTGAGGATGACATCGAACGGGATACGAGGACATGTTTGCCGAGACCGATCACAAACAGCGGCGAGGTACGTATTTTTATTTGTTCATATATTTTTTCACATAATTTATTATTGTATATTTTTTCCAGTACGGATGGTTAGCTGCAAAATCAGAATTTTGCTTGGAGAGATACGGCCCGTGCGTTGCGAAGTATCCCAATCCTCTGAAAGACATAATTCTCCTCCGAGGAGATATACCGAGTCTCGCATCGGGCAAGGGTTTCCTTTGAAACGCTTCTCCGACTCTTCAATTTTTTTTATTACAGAGTTGCTTTTTTATAAAAGTATATATGATAAATAATTCAATAATTTGCTATTGCACAATATATTCACCTCAAAATTTTTAACTATACAATATTATTACCAATTCACAGTACAGGTGACGTTAGATAACTTCAGACAAAACGAATTGCGAAAATGTGCGCAAATTATAATATTTACCGTCGCATTTGGAACCGTCCGTGGAAAATCCGGAGGCGCACACGCAATCGCTCGCCGAGACAGCGGGAACTTTGATAGTGACGTGATTCACATCTGGGCAGGATGCACAAGCAGCGGTGGAATCCCCGGAACTGTCGCCGGAAGTATAAGTCCCGTTCGGACAAGCTATCGCCGGAAAAAGAAAATTTCGAACATTAGAAATTAGAAATTAGTTCTGAACACTTAGTGTGAATAATAATAATCAATAAATATGTATGCACACGTACGTTGGCAAAAGCCCTTCAGACCGGAACCGAAGTAGCCTGGCGGGCAGATGCAGGCGTAATGTCCGGTCGTGGTGCCGCACGTGCAGGTCGCCAGATCGTCGCAGCAGCTTCGATTCGCCGTGTTTTCCGCGCAGAGACTGCTGCAGTCGGTCGGCAGAGTCACGGGCACGTATTGTCCGGTCTTCAAGTCTGGAAGAAATTTTACAGTGTGTTTGTTTCAAGAATTATTTCCTCGTCTCCGGGAAATCCGAGAGAATATACCGCGAGTCTCTCACATTTATTTCTCGAGAATATCAGATATATATATATATATATATATAAGAGTTCAATTAATATTTGATATATTTTTTAACATCATTTTCAAGCTCGTACCGCGATGCAAGGCGCGTCGCGCCAGAGCCTCGAACTCGGCGAAGCTGTCGAGTAGGTAGCTGTGCGTGTACCCAGGCGAGCTGGCGATGTCGTGCAGCTCCTCGACGTTTCCCGTTCTGATGCCGAACGTGAACACGGTCGCGCCAGTGTTCTTCAAGAGATTGGCCGCGGGTCGCGGGTCACCGCCGTTGCTGAAGCCGTCGGTTATCAGAAACACCACCTTGTTCGCGGTCACGCGGCCTTTCTCGAGAATCGCCTCGGAAATAGCGAACAAGAAGATAGTTAAATGCAGCTTCGACACAGTTTTTTTTTTTTTTTTTGCGACTCCGATAAACAGCGTGTTATTATCTCGTGTCGCTTGTATTGATAATAAAATAGTCGTCTCGAAAACAAAATCTCGAGAATTCTTCGCGATCTCTTAGGCAGTTACGTTCAAATTTCCAGTCCGAATCGGAGTATGTTAGAAAAATAGAAAAATAAATTTTATCATGTTGTGTAAAAAGTGGTTTCTTTTCTGCTCCTATACAAATTAGAAAACTAACTCGGAGTTTTTTGAAACTGTAGCTTTAAAAAGCGACAATCGATCGCAGTTTTTTGAAAAGTACTGTTTCAACAAGACTTTCCTGAGATTTTGCAATTAGAAAAAACCGTCTAGAAAGTCTCGATTTTTTTGTTGGTGCTGCGGAGTGTGTTCGGAGAACGGTAGTTTTAATTCTTGATAAAACACTCACTAACGCTTCGAAAAGGGCGCCGCGTGTGTACGTGCCGCCGCCGCTGTAAGTGATGTTACTGAATTGCTTGTTCAACAAGTAACACTTGTGATCGTTCGATCCGTGTCTCGAAATCTGATCGACATTGCGATAAACGCTGCCTCTGCCGCCGAAAGTGACCACCGCGACACGTGCGGCCCACGTGTCCACCGTAAAATCCGCCAGGAGCTTCGTCACGAAGTTGAGCTCGCTGCGAAAATTTTCCGCACCGACCGAATCGGACGCGTCCACCAGAAACACCAGTTCCACCTGGAAAACGATTTGGACAATCGACATTCGCCGAATCAAGACCGAAGATCGCGTTTTTTAACACGTGTTTTTATCTAACATCTGTTTTTGGAAAACAGTGTAAAGGTGACTCGTCATCACTCCGAAGTAACTTCTTTCTTGTTTTAAATCTACTTTGTAAACAATTAATTAAATACAATTTGAAGATTGAGAATATATATATTTTAATTGTTTTGAAAATTTATAAAATAAAAGAAAAAACAAATTTTTACTGAGACAGTTGCTTTACGTTCAATCTGTCACCTGATCGGTTTTGTTTCGCAAACGATCTATGTGCATCTTCAGAAGTCGGGATAGAATATCGGCTTTGCTCTTCAGCACTCGGTCGGCATCGTCCAGGTGTTCGTACCAGTAACGCTGACTCCCGTTGGTCTTCTGACCAAAATTCAGAAACGTCGACGTCACGTTGTTCTCGTTCAGGCCGATTTCCAAGCCGGATCCTTCGCTCGCATCGACCGCGCGACACGAAACTACAGATATCGCGCCGACTATCAGTAACAAAACCTCGAAGAACTCCATCTCCGTTATACCTCACAATTGCTCGCCCACGTGCGTTCAGAACTTCAACATAATTGAACTGGAAATCAACTTGTCGTTGGAAGCGCGCGAGAAACGTCGGACAAGCGCATCCTGCGATCTCCAACACTTTCCGCTGACCGAAGCAAGAAAATTGTGCGTTCTCTAATAAAAAAGTTTATCGGTCGTTTCGAGAATTGTGCACGTAACTTTCACGTTTGTCGTCATAATCGCGCGGGATGACGATTGCGGAACGGAATTGTATACGTTGGTATTTGTCGTAAATTGCCGCGCGCGCGATTGTGAAAGCCGAGAAGAGGCTAACGAGACGGAGGCTGGTTGTGCATGAAGACGAAGCGCTACTGAAAGACAGAGTCGCGCGGAAGAGCATAAAGCGAGGAAGATCGCCGAGAACAAGGGAGCTTCTGTTCGATTCAAGTTGTTTTTTTTTTCCACGTGCGTGTGTGTGCTCGTCAGGCGATTTGTCTTCGCCAACTGTTCACAGACTCTTGTCGGCTCTTATCGGAACAATTCGATTATGCCGGGTTTAACGAGTAAACGGCGTTACATGTACATACAATTCAACAAGCATTAATTTTAATTAGTTGTAATTAATTTAATTGTAATGTACTTGTGACTTGTGCGCGATACGAGAACGCGCAAGTAGTATCAAATAAATAAATTACAAGTACGTGAAACGCAAAATTGTGCTAACACGTCGAGAATTCATTTGGATTTGTGTTACATGCCGCTTGAATATTTTTTTGCTCGCGTATAATTGTGCCGAGATAACGCATCTTTTGTCTACAGTTTCTTTTTTCTTGCACCGATACAATTATACAAACATCGCGGAGAGAAAGAGAAAGATACGAAGAGCTGTCCCGCGAGAACGTTCTAGTCGCGTAATAATTAAAGAGCGACTTGTGGCCAGACGTTTTATCTGACCGCGACATCATTTGTAAGCGAGGAAGGGTGTCGCGCGTTGATGTCATTTGGAAGAGAGATTTCAAACAGCGGTGGCGTATCACAGTATCACAGAAAAACGAAACAGTTTCTGTGTGACTTGTACATATCTCGGATATAACGATTTCACGCGCCAATTATCGAGAGTTTCGATATCGCTAAGAAAGAGAGAGAGAGAGAGAGAGAGAGAGAAAGACTGTAGACTAGAATAATTAATAAACTAGACCTTTCTATTTCTATTTCTTTTTTCACACTTCGCACACATCTCAATTTATTCAACTGTAATTGCGATTTAATTCAATCGCGTTGTTCGGTGCGCGCGCTGAAGTTTCTTTGCAATATAAGCGAAAGAGAAAGAAACAACACCGCGGTTGAAATTGCGCCCGCGTGCCCGCAGTGCGAGTGACCGTTCAAAATCATGCTAGTCACCAAGGTGTTTCCGCTGACTGTTCTCTTCCTCGTGAGTTTCGGGTCGGAAGAACGCGATTACTCGCGCGCGATCTTCCGATCGTCCAGCTTGAAGGAATCCCAGGAGTACTTCCAGCAATGTCATCCCGTGGATGTGTGGAACGAGCATCTCGGTTACGTGAGCGTCCTGACCTTCTTGGACTTCTTCGACGAGTACATCATGGCAAAAAGTTTCATGTAAGTAGAGAAGAAAATGTAAATACGTAATACACAACAGGACACTTTATCTCACATTGATGGACTCGAGCAGATGGGAAATATTCAATTTGCATTTACAAGAATCCGGTTTTTCGGATGTCCGGGTTTTCGCGATATTTCTGTCGTTCGATATGATAGAAGACGAATGGATGAGAAGTCTGGTGAAGAAAGATCTCACGCCGCAGATCTTGACGGAGTTCAACGACAATTTTAACCATACGCAGTCGAAAGTGACCTTTTTTCTGGACAACCCGCAATTGCGATTGTGGCAGAGATTCCGCGCGTCGAAGGATCAAGTGGTCGTGATCGATCGGTGAGAATTTGAGGTTTTTGCGAAAACCGATTGCTTATGTAACAAAACGATTTGAGACGGAGAAAGATCAGAAGAAGTGTTGCGTATCGATCGACGACGAATATATATATATATGTATGTATTAACGTCATTGAAAACCAATTTCAGTTGCGGCCGATTAACGTACAAAACAATGTTCCCGATGACAGAGAACTTAATGCGCGATTACAGTACTTTATTACAGTACTCAGATGTAAAAGCAGCTATACGGTCCACGTATAATGACGACCCGTGCGGTGGATGTGACGTGAGCATATTATTATTATTGTTTTTAAATTATTTTTTAACGTATATTGTGATTTGATTCGCAATGAAGATATGTACGTGTAATTTCAGCCGACCGTGTATAAGGCGTATTTGTCGAGCGCGGTAAACAACACTGATAAAGAAGCGGATCCAAATAAAACTGATGATAACGTTAATGTCGATCTAAAAACGGCAAATATAGAAAATTTTGAGATAAATTTTAACGAATCATTGGAAAAAAACCGCGAGGCAAGTACCGTATCTGCTGTCCTCGACGAAGCTACAGACGATACCGGTAACGTGACTCGTGATTTTTCGAACGCGACAGGATCGACGGAATCCGAAGCTGGTTGTCGATGCGATAAAAGCGCGACCGAATCCTCCCTCGACGAGAGTAACGCGAATGGAACGGAGGGAACGAGGCGAAATCAAGAAGACAGTAGCACCGTACCCGCTGAAACGGTCGCTACGAACTTCGAAGTGCAGCAGGACATTCCTCCGAAGCAGGAGGTAACTGCGCACACGTCGTCTGACGATGACGCTGTCACTGCGGGTTACGTGGAAATTGAAAACAATTCGACCTCCGCTGCGGAGACAACCACTTTGGATGCTGTGGGTGATGATGGGGTTCGGCAAAGCGACGGGAATACGGACGTCAGCGCCAACAATCCGGACACATGCGGGCAAAACAAATCAATTTGTAGTATGACAATTAAAATATCCTTCATCTTTTCTAACAACATCAGTAATCAATTATTTCAATAAATTGTTACACCGTTTCGCAGATGCGAATGTCGCGTCTAAGGACACCTATCGTCTCGAGCAGGATCCATTACCGCTGCGCATAATTATGCAGGCGCCGCATCTGCACAAACGGGAAATGAAAAAACACACGTACTTAATTCTGAAACTGGGCGATCCTAAGTTTCACGGGCATCTCAATTCTGGAATCGACGTTAAACCGTCGATCAATTCGCGGCAGGTATAATCTACCAGTTGTGTTAGATTCTCACTAATTTATTGCTTTTGCGCGTTGTGTTTTTTTCTCTTCTTTTTTACAATTAATGTATTCTACATTTCTCACTCCGTATTATTTTTCCATCGTATCCTGCAATTGACAAAAAAAGAAATTTAATTTTACGTACTTTAACGCTTTTTTCTTTTTAATATTTGTCTTAAAAAGATGTGTGTGTGTGTGTGTGTTCTCATCGCTTGATTAAAATTTCTGACAAAATGAATTAAGGACGCCAGTATTGAAGCGAAAAGTACCGAAGAGCAGGAAACTGTAGATACAGATAAGAAAGATGCTGATCAGAATTACGTATTCGATATGGACGAAGGTCCCGGACTTTACGGAGAAGTAGCGGATTATTGGAGAACCGAGGAAGACAATGATATTATCGACGAAAATGAATCTTACAAGTCTACGGTAAGGAACGAACATGAATGTAACAAACTATCAAGATATGGTAGGAATATAACACAAATGGTGTGGAAAACTATTTGTATTATATTCCTTATAAATAATTTGACAATAACACATTTTAATAGTTTGTTATAATGTACATTTGTATTAATTGTGAATAAATGACAATTTTTCTTCTCTCTCTTATATTTTCTAAAATACATATATATATATCAATAAATTTAATCTTTCAGATTATATATAACGAAGAGACAAAAGAAGACAAAACTTTTTCTTCTGAAACGACTAAATAAGAAAAAAAAAATAAAGAGATGCGGAATAAATCAATGGAACATTATAACAAACTTCTGTCTTGGATTTCTTACAGGTTAATAATTAATAATAATTTAATATAATTGTATTTTTATTAAAAAATATCTTAATTATAAAATTACATCGATTCTGTGCTACTTTTAGTACGACGTTCGTCTAGTTAAAATACTTGTATTTTACAACAAACGTAATATATCTCACTTTATGCATATGTATTTTACATAATTCTGTTCCTATATAAAAAAATCCATGTGTACCGCAAAGTGCGCGTTTCGGAGTCGAATCTATTGCATCTATTGTTGCCACCTTTGCCAATTGGTTGGTTGGTTGGTTGGTTGATCGAGTTGAGTCGAGTCGAATTGAATCGGTAAGATCGAGAGTAAATAATGAAAAGCGATTTTGAGACAGGACAGGTCGTCGTATATGTAGAGAAAATTAAAAAAACGTAACTAAAGTCACGTGACAGGAAAGAGTAGAAAAACAACACGTGCAAATAACGTGACTGTAATTTATATTATATATAACATTAAATAATACATATTATACATATAATTTATTATATATTTATAATATTATACTTTATATTGTATTATATGTATTATATACATATTACAGTAATGTCATTGACCTCGGCCGCGCGGCCTTGGCGGGGCACTGACCTCGGCCGCGCGACCTTGGCGGGGTCGATGACTTCGGCCGTGCGGCCTTGGCGGGGGGGGGGGTCACTGACCTCGGCCGCGCGGCCTTGGCGGGGCACTGACCTCGGGCGCGCGGCCTTGGTGGGAAGGGGGGTCACTGACCTCAGCCGCGCGGCCTTGGCGGAGTCACTGACCTCGGTCACGTAATTATGGTGTGTGTATGTATATATATATATATGTATGTGTGTGTGTATTATATATAGATATAGAATATTATCTATAATATATGTATATTATATATAATATATGTATATGTATAATATTTTCTCATTACTCTTTTCTTTGTCACGTGACTTTAGTGTTGTTTTTCCATTCTTCTCTCTTTCTTTTATTTTCTGAGTTTGATTTTCATGCGTTATTTTTGACATCTCTTGTAGGTGTATTACATAGTTTATAAGATGTATATATTAGCTGTCATCGCGGTGACAGGTTGTGTTCACTGATGCAACACATGAAAATGAAAATAATAATAGCGTGCGCGTAGCGCGCGTCTGTGATGTGCTAGTATATAAATATTATAATTTTTATGTGGGAGATAATTCCTACAAAAGAGTCGCAAGTTCAATTAAGTACTTAAAAAATATCGATCCGATTTTTAATATAAAGTGATAATGATTTTAGTGCTATGTTGCTTAAAAAATAAATTTTTAACTAATTGTATATCGCATTGATTAGTCAAGTTGTGTAATAAAAAACGATTAAAAATATTTTATCATGGAAATATTTATAAATCAAATCCAGTACCAATTAAATACATCGTGTCTTTCGGTAACACATGTTACATTATTTGTTAATAATAAGTAACAAGAAATTACTCGTCTAAAGCGTTAGTGTCCTCCACTTGGTCCGAGTCACTCAAGTCATCAGAATCAAGACTGCTGCTGGTAGTAGTACTGTTACTAGATGTTGTGCTGCTTTCCGAATCAGAACCCGTGTCCGTTAAATTTGGACTGCTTAAAACAAAATTATAATTACGCAAAATTACTCTACAAAAAACCTTATAATAATTCTGTGGAGTTACAAGTGCAAAACTTCTGCACTTACTTGACTTTAATGTCATCTATCGTTAACTTATTAATTTCTTCAGCTGCTTCGTCAACAGCCAGTTTGTGATTATTTTCTATAATAAGTCCCACTTCCTCCAGAACGGAGTAAGCGGCCGCTTCCAATTCTTCCAAATCAAACTCCATGCTTGCTTTGGTTGGCTGAATCTTTGTGTAAGAGGGTAAATAAACAAAATGTAAAAGCATATGCAGAAAAATATAATCAATTTAAAATACTTACGGCATTTAATGTAGAGCAAAGTGATTCTATTGTAGTTGGAGGAGTCGATTGCAACCAAATTAAAAAGTCCTTTATGTATAATTGGTTCAACACATACCGCGGTTCGTACGAATTATTGAAAAGTGTGTGTATTTCACAGAATCGTTTAATAACGTACTTCTTCCCTGTGCATAAAAAAAATGTTTATAAAAACAAACTTCAAGAAAAACATTACAAATAATAAAATAAACATTCAAACCTAATGCGAGAACTTTCTTAACATCCTTGAGAACCTCCATATTCAAGCTCCAATTTCTAAACAATGGATAACAAAGTGCTCTTCGAAAGCATGATGTTATAACTTCATCCATAGAATTAAAGTTCTAAAAATATATTATTGAGATAAATTTATTTTACGTGCGCACATTCTTTTCTAACAAGACTGGTAAACATATACATTATATTACTGATTGTAACATACTCGGAACCAACACAACGTAGAACTGAGTTTGTTAATGGTCCAACAGCTTTCCACAGTATTTTCACCCAATGTCGAACGATGATTATAACAACTGGCGAATAAAATATCAACAAGATTAAATTGTAATTTTCGAATATCTTCAGCATTCAATAAATAACTTTTATTAGGTAGTTCCTTCAACAAGTCAGCTTCAGTTTTATTGAATGTAATGTTATCTTTTTTTAACGTGTCCCATTCCGCAATAAACAACAAAGTCTCGTCAATATCACTTCCCTCCATAAGATCTCCCATATAATGATCTCCACAGAAATCTTCCAGTTCACGTTTTTCCTGCAAACTTTTTCTTTCCTCTTCAGGAGTTACATCTGGATTAGGAAGATCTATTATTTCCTTGAGCCATGCCGACTAAAGTCAAGAAAATATGAAAGAGTTTTATACAATATATTTAAAAATTTTTTAATATTCCAAAAACTATATACGGAACATAACATAAAATTTAACTTTTTTACTAAAATAAAAAAAAGACTATTAAAAGAATATATACCTCAAAAGCAGTTAAAGCTCCCGATATTTTGTTTGCAAAACCATATTTTGGAGAATCTATGAGAATTGATGCATGTTCTTTAACATCACTTTGAGGAAAAGATAATGTGTCATTAGAAGTATTTTGACTCGTATCAGTAGTGTCATTATCATTTAAGTTTTCATCTATATCTAAATCTGCAGATGGATTACCTAAAATTGAAGTAAGATGTATATATAACATAAAATACATTGTATTTTTGACCTTGACTTTTTATATACATGTATAATTTATTACCAATTACTTCAATATTAGGAATATTAAGTGTTTTCTTTTTTGATGGGACCAAAAGGGTAGTGATCATATCCAAATTCTCAAAATGTTCACCCTTGTTCACCTTTTCAAAGCGCAAAGCAAAAACACCTTCCTCACAATCATAAGAACCACTGGATGATTCAGTTTCATGTATTTTACCTGGTAATTTTAACCTGTCAAAATTGTTCAAGAGTATGTCTATTATTTACTTGAAAGATTATGCACTATATAATAAGAATTTCAATGTATTTAAAAAACTAAATTTACCTTAGATAATAGGGACTAGAATAAAACGTGAAATCTGTTCCATCCACATGTACCTCTGTATCTCCTATATTTGAATACCGAGCATGAATAATTACAACAACTTCTGTCTCCGTTTGTGAGATCTCAAAATGTGGTGTCAACATTTTGTTTATAATATATAAAAAATATTCAGATCAACTTGACAACATTCCATAAACACAGACAATTGTTCTATAAAACACCAGATAAATGTTGGATTTTAGTTAATTAAACATTAATACACTTAGTGATAATCGCTACACCACGGAACCTTCTAAGTGATACACTTAGTGATTATAACTATGCTCTTTAAATAACGTGTAAAATCAACAATTAAAATCAGCACTAGAAAAAGAAGATGTTAAACGATTAAACGTTTTTTTTCATCGTATACAGCATGCGCAAACTTTACCAACTATCAAGAATACCGAGAATGAAGGAGGTTATGTTTGCTTTAAAGGTTATCACACACCAAATGACATAGCTGCATATGCCAAAGCATAAGATCATTTCAACCAATGAGCGTCTAGCATAAAATCGCCATATTGATTTACATAAAACTATGGGTAAGTTCCACTTGCCGTTCGCAACGCTCATGAAATTATTTCATCCTTGTTTTTCATTGAAAGTTAAACAAAGATACGTAACGCTCACGAGCGTTGCGAACGGCAAGTGGAACTTACTTTAAGCTAGATGCTCATTGGCTCACCAGAGAAGTGAGAAAAAATCGCGCGTGCGACTTGCAAATCAACAGGAGCGTATATAAGCGTGTATTTTAAATTACAAGTGATTGAAGTTTTTGTAAATAACTGTCACGTGCTTATTTTAAATGCCTTCATATATGAAGGCATTGCACCAATAGAACATACCTATTTGCTGACAAATCTCAACGTCGACGGAAGAATGTGACATAGAGATTCTTGTTTTTTCAGGATAATTGTTTTTTCATTGTATATCTACTGCCTTTTTATTCTTATATTAACCAATTGTTTTTTCTTATTGTTTCAATAAAAAGTAAATTAACATCAAATTTGACTCTTTCTACTTGAGTAAAAATAATTTACTTAAATGTAAATTAATTAATTAATTAATTTTGTTGTGCAAAACAAAACTTCGTACAATGAGACTTCTTGTGTCATAACGTTATTATGAGTAATTCAAGATGGCTAATGAGAAGGTACTTACCCACATCATATAAAACTTAACCACTTCATTAATTTTTAATACGCATGCTTTGTAAGACATCCAATGACATTGCGTAAGTCGAGTATCAACACTGTGCTAACATTGCCAACAGTTGTGTCTGTTCAGCTGGACGATTAGAACTGCGAAAACATGATAGAATGATACGAGCGATATATTTTCTCTGACGTCACAATTATGATAAGAAAAAATTCGGGAAGACTATTCGGGCATTGTTATAAAAAGTGTTAATGTGTAAGATCACCAGCAGAATTTCTACAAGGAAGAAAACATGAGAAATAAGCAGGACTTTCGATTGTAGGACAAGATCGCGCTCGTGTGTGTGTAATTTTTCATAGTGTATCCGCTTCTTCCGAAATATATTCCCAAAGTCTTCTTAAGAACATTGTCATATACATATTTTTTGCTGCGAAGTTATTTTTTATCTCCGAGTAATGGTATCGTTGTGTATATGTCACGTGTTTGTTTATTCTAAGTGTGATAACTGTATAAATCTTTGAAAAGAAACGCACGTATATAGCAAACATACTGTCTGATGATTTATATTATAAGGTATTTGCAACTTACGTTAATGAATTATTTATAACGTCTATGTTTAATATATTACAATCATCATTTTTTTAACTTTTTATTTTACATATTGTCAATACGCAGAATGCAAAAATTTTGCTATTTTTATTGCAGATAAATTATGGCTGAGAATAGACCAATAGGTCAAGCACATATTGCTTGTGATGTAACAATACCACAAGTGCCAAATTTGGAGGAAAATGGGCAAATTCAAGAGTCTTCAAATAACGTACGATATACGTTGCCAAATATAAATCAGATTGTCAGAACTGCAGAACATTCTAGACTATTTACAAGTAACATATCCTCTACTATTCGTCCTCTTATACAACAAGCGGTATGTATTGTCACATTATTGCAGTCACTACTGTATCAATAATACTGGCAATATTTTTATTTGTCTAATCGCTTGTTTCTGTCTGACAACAGCCTATATCGTTTACATCTTTGTTGACCATTCCTGGACTCCGACGTCAAGCAGACTGGGTTGCGTCACCAAATGACAATTATATAATTAATCTAGAACATTCAAGGAATAACACGAGTTCTTCTGAGGATCTTATGCACAATCATCATCGCCATCACCATCATCATCACCATCATTCCCAAAGAACAGCATCAAATGATTTCTCAAATAATATGTCGGAAGCTATGAATCAAGTTGTACAAAGTCAAAATAATAACAACGATAATATTAATACCTCAGAAAGCACTGTTAACAATAACAACAACAACGACAACAACAATGTCCCGTTCCATCTACAAAATGGACCAGTGCTTAGAGAGCTTCAGCGATATATTCCTTTTGTTATTATTCTTCTAGCAAAAGGACTGTATGATCATCGAGCTGCTATATTCATGTATATTGTGCTGCTCAATACGTTTATCCACGCTAATAGCAATCTTAAACGCGAGATCGCCAAAAATCACAATCGAAGTTGGTTCTTGCTTATGCTGATCCTGTGTTACATCACAGCTTGCATCATGTTCGTTAGTTACATGCTCGACTTACATACTTTGATTCCCTATGCCGAGCCGCTAACGATCTGGGACTTGCTTTGTTTTGTCACAGTGATGGATTATTTTTTGAAGCTCATCACCGTTTTTTGCAAAGTCCTTTTGACTTGTTTACCGGTGCGATTGCTGGCATTCCAAAATCGGGTGAGTATTTTTTTTTCTGCTTTGTTAAAAAAATTTTATTTTATTTCTATGATACTAACGAGACAATTTATTGGATGGAATTTAATCAAACAAATTTTTAGGGCAAATATTATCTCATGTTGGAAGCAACGTCGCAGGTTTGTAGATGCATAGCGCCCATTCAGCCCTGGTTATACTATCTGTTTGAGACGTATCAAGGTTCCGAAAAAATAATAGGAATTATATTCTCGGCAATTTACACCATGAGCAAAGGAAACGATATCTTATCGCGCTTTAAACTGTTTCGAACCGCTCTTTGGAAATTCTTCAAAAATATGGTACGCACGATCTTTACAATATAAAATCGTGTGACATATCGCAACATATTTATTAAATCACGCACAATATCGTTTTACAGAAGTTGGGAGTATCGCCGACGAAGGAACAGCTGATCGCATCCGGTGGTATATGCGCTATTTGTCATGAAGAATATTCCGTGCCAGTTAGACTTCATTGCAAGCATATTTTCTGCGAGATGTGCGTCTCAACGTGGCTCGACAGAGAGCGATCGTGTCCGCTCTGCCGAGCGTCTATCACGGACGATCCGATCTATCAGGATGGTCACACGACACATTTCATCCAATTGTACTAATTCCGTTTGCGGAGATTAATTTTTTTTATACACAGTTTTTTTTTATATTGGTAAATAAAAATATAAGAAATTTGCATTTTTTATTGTGATGATAGATGATTTTTTTTTCTGCTTAAGGTGATAAAATATTACGAAATTTCGTTTAGCTGAATAGTTTAGAGTTAATATAGTTTTTGCGTTACATATAAAATTTTTATTTTAATTTTATTATAAAGCACATGCTCGCTCATTTAGTTCTTTTTTTTTTTTTTTTAATTATGCATATGGAAATTTGTACTGAAAGAGAAGCATATAATACATTTAGTCTTTTAGTAACATATGCTAAAAGAAGAGAGACAGAAAATGGTCAAATATGTGTGTGTAAAATATGTGATATATATATAAGCAGACATGTTTGTGCAGCGTGCTTATACTTAGTATAATATATCAAATAAAAGAATTATAGTACTTTAAGATTATAATATAGTGAGAGCTATGCATATTTACCTGATATACTTTCTTTAATATATGTAATAAACATGGCTCAAGATCTTTTTCTCACGAATCTGTTTTTTACGGAGTTATTACAATGTCAAAGAAAACTACCTTTATTTTACCGATACATTTATATAAATTTTTTGTCCTTTGCAAAAGTTTATACATATGTACACGTATATAAATATGAAAAAGTCCTTTTATAAGATTGAGTATTTTTGCAAAACATTTTATAAAAAGACTTTACAAAGATACGTTTAGATCAACATAATTTTTGTTTTTAATAGTATATTAACATGGATGTAAAGAAAGAATATATATATATATATATAATAATGAAATAAAAATTACAAATTTATTAAGCTACATTTACTATTTATTTCCGTTTATAACATATTTTGTTATAATTTTTGTACACCCACGATTCAAACTTTACAATATTATAAATTTGTTTTTTTCTTATAGTTTGCAGCTTATTATTACATTATTATTTTTTATTATTTATTATTATATAATAAAATGATCAAGATTCTGAGTGATTAATAAATGTAATAAACAATAAAATCTTTCTATCCTTACAGTTTTTATTAATTTCTTTACTTCTGTTATTTCTTTATTTTTGCTGTTTTTTACTCTTGCTTAAAAATGTTTTACTTTTTTCTTTTTTTATGTATTTAACGCGCTTTGCAACCGTTTCTGCGACTCTTTCCGAGCACATAAATACTCCAGCATGCGCAAGAATAAAATTATTAAAACTTACACTGTTTCTTTTTGGTGTTGCAAAGCTTTTTAAGATTTTTGCACTTGTTAAAATTCTAATCGTATATGTAAAGTCGTAAGCAAATCAACTAATCCATATGCCAGAATTCTCGCGAACATAAAAAATGCTGGCTTGTGACAGAGATTGATTTGCTTACAATGTTTACAATTTACAACTTCACAGTTACGAATAAAATTTTGTCACATGCAATAGCTTTACGCAATTGCACACGTAGCATTTTCATTCTGCTCATGTTTTTGAATAAAAGTGGAGATACCATAGGTGAAATAAGTCGAGAGAAGTGTAAAAAATATATACAAAAAGGTGATCTTGAAGTACCGATAAGTTAAAAGTAAAAAGATATGAATTCTCTATTGTGTATACACAATTATTAAAATGCATTTATTCTATATCTCCATATATAAATTTCTTGCTATATATTTATATGTATATACATGATTCAAACTTATAAATTTTATAGAACTTGATACTGTATTGTACGAAAGCCTTCAATAATTCGCATTTCGAGAAGAGAAGGAGCTTCTACCGATACGTACTACACTCTCCTACTTCAACTATTGGAAGGGTAGCTAATCAGCTCCTTTCGTTCTCGCGAAATGAATTATTGAAGGTTTTTATGTACGCTTATACACGCATATTTTTATGTGTGTATAAATGTGTGTGCAGTTCTTACAGATAATTATAGTCATAAATATAAAACTTTTTCGTTATACGCGTTATATTTAAATATAATTAATAATTGATACATATACCGAGAAAGATATAAAATAACTTATCCAAGAAAGTCATAATTCGAGACATCTTCGAACTGTTGATTTTGCGCATTACCGGGTGCTATCGGCCTCGTTGCTATCTGTCCTCTCGGACCTACCATTGACTGTTGCACTGGAAACTGTCTGTACTGAGGTTGAGGCTGTAATAACATTAATTCGAACTATTTCACAAACAGTTTTGTTACAAATATTCATAAAAAAATATATATCTACTGAAAACTATAATGTCAATAAAATCTTTGTAAGGTTTTTTTTACCTGTTGTAGTAAATGCCTAAGACCAAGATTATTTGTGGAAACAGGACGCATCAATCTTTGGGTGTTTGCTTGTTGGTTGGACATAGCTGCCGGATTGAGGCCCCTCTGTGCCTGTTGCGCCTGTAAAAAATAATTGTTCATACATTACACATGTATGTAAAAATATACATACATCTGTTGTTTGGCACAATCAAGAATTATGCTCACTTCAAGCTGCTGCTTATATTGCATTTCTTGTTGCTGCGCAACTTCCAAAGTTTGCTGAATCTATGATAGCATCAAATGCGATATCAAAAACGTTAATCATCTATTAATATGTATCGAATCACAAACTTATAAACTATGTTCGTTTGATATCCTAAATTAAAAAAAAACATTACTTACATTAACTTCTAATTGAGACTTGTATTGAGCCTCTTGCTGTTGCGCAGCTTCCAACGTTTGTCTCAACTGTTGAATCTTTAACAAATTTTGATGTCTAGCCATCTCTATATCGTCGAACGGAGGTCGTTGCTGGTTGATCATAGTCCCGGCACCAGTGTTTGTTTGAGGACCGCTAATTCCAGTATTCTGCGTGAACGTATAATCATTAATAAATATCTAAACAAAGTAAATAATTTTGTTTTCTAGAATCAATGCAGTTTGTGTTACCTGCATATTTATTTGTTGCTGTGGTCCACTAGTCGAACTTAATGTTTGCGGAAGAGCGTTTGCGGTAGATACAACGTTTTGGGTTATCTGACCTCCGCCCATCGCCATAGTATTTGTTTGAGACATAAGGATATTTTGCGTACCTGTGCTGGGCATAGAAGCGGGAATGGTATTTCCTGGCCCAGGATTTGCCTACGAAAATCATATACTCATTTTCTGATTTTGTTTTTTGTACGCAATTTGTGTAGATGTCACTTTGCTATTGATCGTCTTTACTTGTTGTCCGTGTCTCATGGCAGTTTGATTAGATGTTGCTGCTTGATGATTATTTTTCTGTTGCTGTATCACTTTACGAAGCTTTTCCACAAATCCTACTTGATCAGTCGGAATAAAACCCAGGTAACCTTTTTTCTCCGAAGTGTACAATAGTATAATCACTTTTATGTCGCAACTTGATGGAGTAAAATGAACGCAACCCGCCTGAAATACGTAGGTAGATAAGTTGGTAAATTTCTATAAGATGGTGCTTCAATTTATTATTACATGACGCCTGAAAAGTTCTACTCTTTAAACTTCTTTTATGTTATTATATAAAATAATAAAACGTAATGTAACACTCACAAATCCAGAACACATCATTTTTGTCAAACTTTCCAGTGCTTCACACGGCGTTGGATGAAAGAGAACGGATTTAGAATTCTTTAAGAATGCATTTCCGATATTTCCGATCAGTTGTTTTGGCATCAATTGCATTATCAATTTTGACGGCCACGCTTCCGTTTTCCTAAAATAAGAATTTGTAGAAACTAGAAACGAGTATAAAAAACATTAAATTAAAGTAGCAAAAAGTAATATCAATTATAACGTTGCGTACACATCTGGTTCTCCGTCTCTCACATTACACGAGACGTGAACAGGGACCTGTCTTGTCTGCTTTGTTTGGCCTTCTCCATTTTTGGGTTTTTCGATCCATTCTAGAAGACCTTGCCAGACATTTTGACGAGTTATAACAGAAGGTGCAGTATTCTGAAAGATCGTGATAAAAAACGATTAAGGAACAATCTATTACCTGCTAAAATATTGTAAAATTTCCCTATACATAGTCTATTATAAACACAGCACAATGTGAATTTGATTACTTGTGCTTGAGGATTAGTTTGTTGTGTAATGGAAGACACGGAGACTTGCGCTTGTTGCGCAGCTGTAACAGTTTGTGGCACTTGAGTAGGCACAGATTGGCTAATGCAAGACATGGTGAACTGTGACCCTGGTTGACTATGAGTTGGCTGAACGGACATAGTGGCTTGTTGAGCGTTTTGCTGCTGTTGTTGTTGCTGTTGCTGTTGCAACTGCATTGTTAATCGCAACTGTTGTTGCTGCGGCGTAAGTTGCTGCTGTTGTTGTTGAGGATTCGCCGATATAACGTTATTACCAGTTACTAAAACAGACAGTAACGTATATAAAAATATATCAAATAGAAAATAACAAAATATAAATAAAATATAACATAATACGCTTTTACCATCCAATCTTTGATTAAAAGCAGCTACAGCACTAAGTGGTCCTAACGACGAAGGCGGTTGCGTCAGTTGCGCTATTAATGCACTACTTTGCGTATTTGCAGGTGCGGTCGCGCCTGGTGCTATGAATGGTCGTATCCATCTTGGTCTTGTGGCTATGTTCATTCCTGGTCCATGATAATTCGGTGGCGCAGCTATTTGAGTATTGTAACTCGGACGCGCGGCGTTCATTGGCGCAGCCAGAGATGGTGTTACAGTTTGATGCACAGAAGTAATATTCTGAGGCGTTGGATTTCTGTAAGGTGGACCTTGTTGTTGATTCGGCGGGGCGATATTCTGTTGTACCTGGTTTGTGTTCGGACTGTCGTTGCTTTGTAACGGACTCAAAGGAATTTGTGCCGCGGTGGCCGCGGTGTTGTGAACGTTACCGCCCATTTGAGGACTAACAGGTCGTTCCTTTAAGTTGTAATTTCTCAAAAGTACCAAGTGTCGCGGATCTTTGGCATAGTTTTTCGTCTGCGAGGACTGCAAATCACCGCCGGCTTTCTCAAATAACTTGTACAACGCTGGAATCTTTCTAGGTGACAATATAGAGAGATTGATGTTTCTCTGAAAAAAATATGTACGCATATATGTATTATAAATATACATTTTTGATATATAAACATTCTCACAGCTATAATGTTTACTTCTTGATAAATGGTAGCTAATTGTTCTATGGTATGACCAGCAAATTTGTAAGATTCCTGAATCATAGTTTGATATGGTGGTGAATTGCATATCAAGATACAATGCTTCTGTGATGCTGTATTAGGTTCTCGTCTCAATTGCAAGTCTTCAAAGCATTGTAATCCTGTGGCTAGACCTTCACCGATATTTGCAAAACATTCTCCTTTCCCCCCAAGCATTCTACATAGTGAAATGTTATTTAAAAGATACATTAATGAATCTGAAAAAAATAATTTGATAGTAAAAAGATATTGTATATTTCATATTTACTCAAGCTTATCCAGAATCATCAGCAGCTTGTGAGGACTTGAATAAGGTCCAAGAGTCTCTGTGCAAGGTGCTGGCAAACAATCAGCAGCATGATAAACAACTACCCCATATAATGTTGTTGTATTCTGTTAAACAAACATTTCACATTTGCAGTAAGATACATATTAGTTTTATTTTATAAATTTAAAAACAAAAGATAAACTAATCATACTTCAGAGACATATTCCCGATCTTCTATGCCACCTTGACTAAAATATCTGTAATAAAAAAATATATAAACATGCAACAAATTTTTTTTTATATATGTAACATAGAACTAATGTTTTTAATATATATATGTATATTTGACATATATATTTCTATGTTTTATAGTACTTACTCCAGTGTTGGAATAAGATAATTTGTTTTAAGATCATTGAGATATGCTCCATTAACAGCTGTCCCTTCAATGACAAATATAACATCTGCTTGTATTCCATGTTCAGATGGACCTGTTACCATTGTTCTAAAATATGCACACATACTTTATGCTTCCGTAAAAAAAATATAAAAAAGTGGCATTAAACTTGAAGAATTTTAAACTGATTCCTTGTAAATTAAAATACAATCTGAATGTATATGGAACTACTCGTAGAATAGATTAAACTAAAGAAACAAAAAATATAATATAGAATTAAATCACATGTATTGTGTTGAGAAAAGAATAAATATGTAAGATACTTACATTTATATTTACAATTTATATAAGCGTATGTAAAAGTCACTTGCTGTAATATACGTGTGTATATTTTTAATGTACAATTCCAAATAAACTGTTTCTTCGTCTACAAAGATATCGAAGAACGGTAAAGAACTATAGAAAAATATGTGTAAAAGTGTTTACGTCACACATCTGTGATACATCTTTGATTGTTTTACTCAAACACAAACTCTTTCACATAAAAAATACCAAAAACACTATCATTTAAAGAAATAAAATTTTACGAGAAATCGCGTCACGTCAACCATTTATCTAACCGCTTGGAGTTAAGAACGCATAAAGAAAAATTAGTCATCAGCTACGTGTGTGGACATTGAGGACAAGAAAAGGCGTGATTATAGACAAAAAAATAATACCGTGACTTTGTGGCGGACTCCCGACCGGCCGCGCAGGCGTTCCGGGAGCGGCGCCACCTCACGAACCACGGAGGCGCCGAGCTAGCGCGCGGCCGCAGAAAGCAGGGGCTTGTTCCGTCGTGGCTGGGCTGGGCTGTGTTCAGTTAAGCAAGATGGAACGAACTAATGCAGAAAATACAGGAATTGGAACTAAAGAGCCGTCTACAATGGAGAGTCGTAGGCCGTAACAGTAAGAAATTGACCAATCACAATCGATTATTCTTCTGTACTTAGTCTGTGATTGGTCAATTTCTTGCTGTTACGGCCTACAACTCTCCATTGTAGACGGCTCTTTAGTTCCAATTCCTGTATTTCCTGCATTTCCTGCATCAGTTCGTTCTATCTTGCTTAACTGAACACAGCCCTGCACATGTGCGCAGACCGAAAATATTCTCTCATTGAACAGATGTTAAGCCAGTTCCGATTGGTCAGATGTCTCTGCTAGACAAAACTCCGATCTTCCGACTCCGAGTCCGACTGTCCGGACTGTCCGAGTCCTCCGACCGATCGTGTTCTGACGCTGATCATCTTTGGATCTAACCTGTACCCACTTCCAATCCACTTATATCAGACTGTTTCATGTAGGATGTGTGTAAGTATTCTAAAAACTAAATATGATATCATAAAAATAAACTATAATGTAGACATCTATCGCAGTATTACTTTATATCATTTACTGTAGTAGATAAGAGTCTAAGTGTCTTGTATTTCGATGCAGTATAGTTGAACGTGTGTTCGTGTAAAATGGGCAACACCTCAAATAGCAAATTTTTACAAAGACATTAGTGTTGTGATTTCTCTCATGTATATACAACCAAATATTACATAAGAGGATTTAGGTACACATCTTATATAATTATAAAAAACTTATATGATTATATATTTACATAAAATGTTTGTTTACATATCACAAATATAGTTTTCAAGAATGTATATTATAATCTCTGGACCAAAGAACTGAAGAATGGGTAGAAAATCTTAACTGATATCATTACTCCACCTAGTAACAGGTTCAATCTTTCAATGTTGATCCTGTCTAGTTCTGGAGTTTGATATGGAATTCTCTCAGCTATATATATCTACAAAGTCAGATAAAAAAAGTACATAGTTGTTCATTTGTACAATATACTCTCATGGATATATGTAATAAGCGCCAGACTGCTAACACTAATGCAAATGTCCAATTTTTATTGCCATTCTGTGTGGTTTCAAAGCGATTGGACTTTGGCCTCATTGGTGGAAGTGGTGTGGCCATACAACGTGCGTAATACGCAACAATCCATGGATTGTGTTTTGTACAGACTTTTTTAAGATCACTAGATGTTGTTCATCAACTATAGTTTTTGTTGTTATCAACTATACTTTACTTATATTAAATTGTGATTTATGTATATATACTGGTAAGAAAAATTGTAATATTGCAACCAAAACTTGGATGTCCAGCACTATGAGCCAGATGTTTTATCTCATGGATAAGCAATGGGATATAAGATTTACATTTTGTAGTATTTAACAGATACTTGAGAACACATAGAAGATGGAAACTATCATAGATGATGATCCTGTGGTGAAAAAGGAAATTACTAGCTTGGAAGACAGTGAAAACAGTCAAAATCAGGCATCTTCAGATTATGGAGCTTGTTCTAGCTCGCAGCATGAGGAACAAACTTGGAACTTCTCTTGTAAAAAAGAATTGGATCACAGTAGTAAACCAGAAAGTCCTGTTGGTAGTTACAACAGTGATATCATGGATGAAGAGAAAACTATAATATGTCCTAATACTGCCTTATACAATGGTTTGGATACTAAAGATTATATATTGAGTAATGAGAATACTACTACCGATGATTTGCGACAATTTGACGTATTGGACGATTTGGATCGTCATTCCGAACAAGATGGTTCCGAAGGTGATTCGGACACAGATGAAAGCATGGACTCTGATGTGCCAGATGAAGAGATTGAAGCAATGTTAGAAGAAGGTACAATCTGTTACCAGTTATACTTGGAATAATTAATAAAACACATTTTTCATGTATTTTGTCATAGTTTATTCTAATATTTTATAAAAAAAAAGATTTGTGTATAACTTAACATATAACTTCAGTTATATATCAAAAAGTATATTTGTGTTTTAACACAATTTAATTAATCTATGCATTAAGTTGCATATGAGTTTTATTATAAAATTTTATTCACTGTAGTATAGTTTAATATACATGGAATTCAAGTTCTTAGTCACACAAATATTATTTATATTAGGTTTACCAGAAGAATTTAAAGGGAAGAGAAAAAGAAAGGATGGCTTACCTTATGAAGAAAAAGAGAAAGTCGTTTTAGATGGTACGCAAATATGATTATACACATATACAAAATTGTGTCTTTATAATTACTACATTATTTTATTTTTAGAAATTGGACACGATCATTTTGACGTTCTTCCCGAAGGTTGGGTACAGGTAACACATAATAGTGGAATGCCATTATATCTTCATAAACAGACCAGAGTTTGTACTCTGGCAAAGCCGTATTTTCTCGGTCCGGGAAGTGTTAGAAAGCACGTAGTTCCTGTGAGCGCTATACCTTGTCTTCAGTATAAAAGAGCGCTGAAAGACGAAGAAGAAGAACGAAAAAAAGAGATCGAACGTACACCGAACACCGAAGCTTGCAGTTTGCCCAGTGCGAAAATTGAAACCATTCAAGAAAATCGTGCTGCGCATTCATTAGACAGTCAGCAATTGAGAAACTATTGCCAATCTTTGTTTCGTTTCAAAATTATTAAAGTAATGAGATTTCAGTAAGTGTCAAAATTAAAGTAATTCTATCAATTTCATTGGTAGAGATTCGCTTTGCGCATTCTGATCGATCTTCATAATTTGTAGATCGTGGTCGGCGCGTCGGAAGTTCACGAAGAATAAGAAGCATCGTAAGCAACTTGAGCGCCCAACATTACCGGACGGAACAAAATTGATAACTTTTCCTGTCAGCAGTTCTGGCACGGCTAGTAGTAATGGTGCTGTTGGAGATGACAACGGGCAGAGACCTGCGAAACATTGGATAATGAATCCATCGGGGAAAAGTTATGTTTGTATCCTTCACGAGTACGTGCAACACGCGCTAAAAAAACAACCGACGTACAAATTTAAAGAACTAGGTACAATCGTTATTCGATAAACGCATAAGAGTGTATATATGAGCTATATAATTATTGTTAAATTTTTTTAATTTTCGAGGTTTATTATTACTCTTTTATCATAATACTTGGTTTATTGCAGAAAACGCGGCGACGCCGTATTCTGCAGTAGTTTGTATCAATGACATGGAATACGGCAGCGGATTTGGTAGTAGTAAGAAGCAAGCAAAAGCCAATGCAGCCAGGAAGACTCTTGAGATCTTGATCCCTCAAATGAAGGACAAAATTTCTGGCGACAATAGCGGAGAAAACGGTTCGAGTAATGCCAATCGTACAATAAAAGCCTCTAGAGGTAATTCCGATGCGGATCTTTCGTTTTTTGACGAAATATCTATTACGGATCCACGTGTTGCGGAATTTTGTGCAAAAACTACGGAACCTTCTCCACACGCGATCTTGATAACTTGTCTTCAAAGAAATTACGGTCTGGGAGATATGCACATTAATTATTCGGTAAACACACTGAAGCATCAACGAAATGAGTTTACAATGAGAGTTGGGAAACACGAAGCTACTGTTGTAAGTACTTTTCGCCTTCTCCTTCCACACACACAATTTATGCACATACATACATACATATATACATGCTTGTAAATAGAATGTTATCAATTTTAAATAATGAAGAAATTAACTTTTATTAATTGTAGGTTTGTCGTAATAAAAAAGATGGTAAACAGCGAGCTGCGCAAGCGATATTGCAACTCATGCATCCGCATATACAATCCTGGGGCTCCTTGCTGCGTCTTTATGGTTCGCGAAGTGTAAAGTCTTTCAAAGAAAAGAAGCAATTGGAACAAGAGATTACATTGTTGCAAGGTAAAGCCGCTGTCAATCAACCGAATCACGCTATTCTAAGTAAACTTAGACAAGAAATGCAAAAATTAGCTGAGCAACGCGAAGCAATACAGCCTATTGGTAAGTTTGTACCGCCGGATTTGCCAACAGGATCCGCGGCCAATTTGAATAATGTAGATCTGTAAAAAGAGTCTGCAAAACTTTACATAGAATTAAAATTAAAATCTGAATCAGTATCGAATAGATTAAACAGTATCGTAAGCATAAACATCAACAAAAAATAGTATGTATAGAAATCGGGAAAAGATATAACGAAGTTTTACACTCTTATATTTTTTTGTCTATAATTATATAAACGAACTATTTTATAATTTTTATATTTTTATATAACATATATTTGTCTCTCCCCTGTACTTTATAACATAGTGAAATATGTATGAGTATATTATATAAATATTATATATATATATATATATATGTATATATATGTATATATAATACATATATATAATTTTTAAATTAACACGCACGTTCTAAATTGCCTTGTATCAAAGTCAACATACGAGTATAATTAGATCAATTATAATGTATAGCTCTATGTTGTCTATTTCTGCATTACAAATAATTATAAATTTACAAGTAATTATGAATTTTAGAGATATGTCTTCTTTTTGACAAAAACGTTATATATTTAGTAAAGTAACTTAAGACGTTAGTGATGTTTAATGTACAACATGTTTTGCAATGTGTAAACATTTCTGTACACTTAACAAGAATGTTCAGTCGCGTAGTTGAAGTGTATCGAGTGATTTAGAATGTTTTTGTGAATGTACAAACATAAATACTATTGTATGTTGAATGCGCGAATCAAGATCTATACCATTTAAAAGACAAATGTATATATAAATAGAAAACATAATAAAAAATTATGTTACACACAATATATTACTGTTTCATATTAATCTTATTATTAATCTTACTGTGCATACTTTTTAAAGATTATAAAACTGATATATTTAAAGAAACATTTTTTTCTCAGGTAATTAAACTTTATATAACTATATCTATTCAATTCACTAATTGTTATAAATTTCTATGTCGTGAACAACATTGTAATTTTCACATAATTGTTGTTTTATTTCTGGCCTTACATTTGAAAATCTAAAATTATGTGTACCATACATTATTGAATACATGTGGAAATAAAGTTAAACATGTTTTCTCTATATACGTGTGTTATATAAAGATCAACAATTTTCAACTATTAGTCAATGAAATTTTGTAGCCATGGAAGCAACAATAATATATTTATGCTAAATGCTCGATCTTATTTAATTCAAGATTACTAATTTTACTCTTTAGAAAGTTTCTCTCATTTGTCGCTATCTGTTTTTGGTTATTTTCATCTAGTATAAAAGTCTAAAACGTGTATATATATATATATATATATGTCTGTTAATATAAACGAATCCTTCTAGCTGTGTACAAGAGATTAACTTAAAATAAATATACGTGAAGTTCATTTCATTTATCTAAAATTTATACTCACAAGTTTTTTTTTGGAAATATCATTTGATATAAAGAAGAGATAAAAAGTACTGATATGCATCTTCACGACTCTAAAGTATTCTCAACAAAGAACTAGCAATTCTTCTAACGATATAAAATGTATTGAGAAACTTAATTTACTTCGATATATATATATATACTTATTTGTTACAAAATGCACATGAGAGATATTTTATACATTACGCCTGTAAATCACATTTAAATACATTTTGTGTCCATATTACATATTTGTTCTACACATTTCAACTTTTTCAATTTTCGAAAGATCGCCGCTATAAATTGCTCAAAAGTCAATGAATAATACTGAAATAGGCACTACAAGTATATATATATATATATGTATGTATGTATGTATAAAACACAGTTACTTTGCATTTATGGACAACTAATTTCATTATAACATGTAGATATTATTATATCCTTTTCATCTTTTGTTGTATACTTATTGCACACATACACACACACACACACAAAACATCTTTTTGATTACTTATTAATTTTATTGGAGATAGTCGTACTTTTTTTTATAAGTATATGTTTAGAGTTTATTATAATTTTCTGGGAGAAATATGTTATTTATGTGTCCATTATGTACGTGTAGAGGTGTGTTGACAACATTTCAATTATACTGTCACATATACGCGTTTGTAAAAGATATATCAATTTTTTCTGTATATAAATACATCTGTTAAAAGGAATGTACAATTAAATCGAATTATTCTATATTTACAATTGTAACGCATGAAAAAAACGTGCTCACATCTGTTTTTTTATGATAATATGTAAAAAATGGCACACAGATGTTTTCTAAAACGACGGACCGAACTTTCATTATCATGTGTTTGCGAAAACTAGTAAATAGAAAACCTGAGTACACAGAGATATGTGCTTACAGTTGTATATAAAATGTTAAGACCACAAAGTATGTGTAATACAGGTTCAAACATCTGTTTCAATCACACGATAAATGCATTTTTGACGTAAGACAAGAATAATATATAAGAAATTATAAAAGCATTATTAATAAATAAAATAACTTATTGAAAGATGAGAAACATAAATATATTTGAAAGCTTTAACAATTAAACAATAATAATCGGAAAGTTTTTGGTCTTTGCATAAAATAAGATCTGTTTTTACGCTAAATACAATTAAAACCTTGACAACGCACATTCAAGGCTTCATACACGCACTTAATAACTTTGGAAGAATTTGGGAATGTGTTACTTTTCTATTCGCATCGCTATTATTTTTTTTTTTTTTTTTTTATGTGTATACATCACAAGTATCTTGTATGAATGTCAATTTTGATAAAAGTAATATTCAAAATGGAAACAGAATAAGCAAAGTTACGGCACAATATATTAAAATCGTGCAGCTAAATACTCATTGTTCTTCTTTTCTCACAACTATACAAGTATATATACATGCATGTCTTATTTTCTCATTTTATAGATTTATACAAATTTAGTGTTTGCTCGTTGCATGCACATCTATCATGAAATCAGATATTTGGATAATAATCAACGATGTTTCTTACAAGGATATATAGGAAAATTATGTGTATATCCAAGGAATCCAAGTGTCATTACACGTAACTAAAAAGTTATGTGAGAGTGAAGTTACTTAAAATTATCCAACATGTTTTTCAGATAGCATTATATAGACGTATCACAGGTACCGCTACTAGATAGGGCCATTTTCGAAAGACTAGAAAGACTCCGCCTGGGACTACTGCCGCCGAGAAAGCTGCTGCTGGATTCGGAGAATATCTTTCGAAAGCTGAAAAGTTTAATGGTTGTTTTTGTATATACACGTCACGCACATATAAATAAAAAAAACCAATGTATAAATACCACACATAAAACACATACGAAATTAACATAATATGGAATAACGTGTTTTAAACTTACAATTTACGGATTCCAGACTCGGAGGATTTTTTCCAAGGCGCATCGTCCGGTTCGTAAGGGAGCGGTCCTTGTACAGGCGCATCTTTGTCATCTTCCGGACTAAAGAAAAATCACAAAATTGAATTTTCACAAGTGGAATTTTTATAGCCAAACTTGAAACATTCTTAAAAAAATTTAAGACTTAAATTTTGTCTAAATTTTTAGAGATAAAAATTTTTAATATTTAAAAATGTACGTTTCAGGTTTTGGTCGATACAGCTCTAGTTCATCTTCAAGATCGGAAACTCTTGCTTTCAGTTCGTTTCTTTCGTGCAAAATTTCTTTCAGTTCGGCGATCGTGAATCTAGGTCTGTCAGGATCATCCAAGTCATAAATGGCCTTATTTGTCAAATCCGGACAGCCCTGCAATTTACTGAGATCCTCGTTTTCTTTCTTAGCCATGCCGAGCCGACCCCGAAGATTGATAAGCTCCCGGTTTTGATCCTGCAGTTGAGCCAAAAAGTCAGCTCTTTCTTCTACCAAACCTCGAGCTTGCATTTGCGCTTGTCGTTGTTTACGTTTTAACTCCCGTCCAAGTACGGTAAGCTTTTCCACTTGTGCGGTCAACTACGCAACACACAATAAATTTGAATATTTATTACAACTGAACACAGCCAAATGTAGATATATAAATGTGTCAATTTACATTTTCAATCTCTGCAGTCTTTTGGGACAATTCGCGGTCCCTGGCACGAATCTGCTCCCTCTGTTTATCTATCATGGATCTTAAGTGCTGCAAAACGGCCACATCGACTTCCTGACTAGCTGTAATAGCTAAAAAGTTAATGGGAATTATTTCATTCGCTTTTGTTGATTTGCAACGAAACGTCTTTACTACTCATTGGATTAGTAAACGCTGGTTGATTGGTGTTAGTACTTGTTTGTTTACTGCTGTACTGACTGTCGCTACGAGATTCTTGCAGAGCCTCCGCTAATCGTCTATTCTCCTCTTGTAATCTAGTCACCATGGCTACTAATTCGCGAGATTCTTGCTTCCAATGTTCTTCAATTTGTTCCAGTTCCTGAAAGATCGAATAGATTTAACAACAGATAATTTTGTTAAACATAAGAAATTCTAAGAACATAAATTGAAAGAACTAGCAAATGTTGCAAAAACCAATGTTGTACGATTGAGCAAGAATTGTTCGAGTGTTACATTGTCTACCTTTTCAAATCGCTGTCTATCCTCAGCCTTTCCAATCTTATCGCTCTCAAGCTGAGAGATTTTGGCGCTCAACTCCTGCACCATGGTGTTCTCACCCTCGTTCTTGGTGGCAAGTGTCTCCAGCAACTCCAGAGCGTTTATCACCTTCGGCATGAGATTGGTCACCGACTCCACGCCGAACAGGTCTATAAGTTTCTCGCATTCCTTGCCTATTTCCGACGCGATATCGTACACATCCACCACGGACACGTCAGTTGCAGAATATTCTTCCATTTTGCAAGTAGTTGTGTTGTTCCTCAGACAAAAAGGCATGAGAATATAAAATTTGCTCCAAGCAAGCTCTGCTCTGTGGATCTCTGCGAGTCGACACTGTACAAAGGAACCAGTCTCACGAGGGGATCTTTCACGAGAGAATTCTTCACTTTTATCTCTGTGCGATATGCAAATCTGAAAAATTTAAACGCGACTGAAACTCAGCATAATTCCACCGCCAGATAGAATGTATGTGTACACGCGGATGAAATATCAGATTTATCACAGTCAGGATCACCGCTCGAGATCTTCATACGCGCTGGAGACAGATCAGAATCACGCGCGCGCTCGGAATTTATGATAAATAAATTGCGCAATTTGTAGAGGTGTGGCGGTAATTGTTGAAACAATAGCCTGATCCGCGGTGGACACTCAACGTCGTGCATTCGTCGGCACAATTGTCGCTTCCAGTTCGAATATCCGCTCGAAAGACGCTACGCACTCCGGTGATATCATAGCAATTCCTCAAAACGTCATGTTTAAATTCCACACACGATTGCGTGCAAGTCGAGTCGCGGCGCGGAGCAGATGATTGAGATTATCCGCGGTGTTGCGTCGGTGTGTATGTGCGTGTGTGTATACATATAATATGAGCATGATACACACACAATGACAAATTCATCGAGCTCGCAGAGCGCACGAAAGAAACGCCTTCTCTCGGACTGTCGTGAAACACGCGAAAGGAATTCTACGATTTCTCTTGTGTACAAACCTTACGATGGTCAATAATACTTTTCAGTATCAAATAAATTATATTTGTTGATATTTACGGCGTTATTGATACGATTCTCGTATCGTTTCCAACTTGTACGTTATACAACTCTGTCGACAAGTATATCTTATTTTTTAATAAATATACTATCAGTGCATCAAATGATAATTGATTATACTGATGACAATACATCATTGATTATAAGTAGCGTAAGGTATTATCAACGTTTTTTTTTATATTTGTGCATGTATATTTTTTTCCATTATTATCAGAAATTGATGAATCGCTCGCGAATGAGAGAAAATCTTTATAATTTATATTGTATTGGTTATTTAAGAGCATGGTAACCATAAAACATACATACTGTTAGATCGATTTGGTGTTTACAGAGAGTTCAGAGAGAGACGTACAGCTTGTATTAATAATTTTACAACGAAAATAAAGATTGTGCCGTCATTTCTCTTTTGTAAACAAGAGTAAATACCTATAACTTGAAACATGAACGACGAAGCAATAACGATTTTGATTATTCGAATGGAAAAACTTTTGGGAAACATTATTCTCAATATAGAACAAGCGGTAATTTTTTATATAAGATTTATTTTTCTTTTTTTAGAAATGCACTTTTTTGTCTTTATGAAGAATATGAATCACATGGGAAGCTTTTCTCTCTTTCTCTCTCTCTCTCAGTTTTTCAACTTTTATCGCAAATTTTACTTAATTTTGAGTAACGCGTTAATTTGAAAATGTTCGAAATTGCTTGTTAAAGTCGTTTCACAAAATTGTTTTGTTGAAAAACAAATAAAACTTAAAATATGTAAATAGTATCTAAGATGTTCAATAATTTGTTTAAAATACCTACATGTTTTACATTATTATATAATGTAACAGATTGAAAACTGCGGTACTCGACATTTGCCGTTGCTTCAAGAAATCACAACTCTCATCGAATGTTTTAAACTATCTGTTGTATCTCGTATGAAAAGAACTCCGGAAATAGAACGTATGCATATCGTCAATTCGGAGGCTTCCAGAGCGAAAACAGCGGAGCTTTTGTCACAACTTGAAGGTGAATTTAATCACATAAAAAATATATATTATAATATATATTTCTTATATCAAAATAATAAGTTTTTAAAAAACAAGCCATAGATCAAAGAATTAGTTAAATGTATAGTTTTGCAGAGAGTATCTGAGGAGCAAACCTCGACCTTTGACATCTTTTTCAAAAATATCCTGACTTGTATAAACAACGAGGAAGAAATAGTGAAAAGCATTAGGAAAACATCAGAAAGGGATATAGAAAAAGAAATGTATTCATAAAAATTATCACTACTTAAATAAAACTTAAAATAATTTTTATACAATTTTATGATATATATCAGACCAGATATATAAAAATTGTATAATATATATCACATATATAGGTGTATTATTTTTAGAGAGAATTCAATACAGGAAATGTTGAATAAAAGAGAACAGCAGGAAGCGCGAAAGAAGCAATTGCTATCAGAAATAAATACTGCAGAGCGCAAATTGCGTGACGTCATAGAATTCAACGCGACAACCGAAAAGGAACTTTACGAGATGTGGTACATGTATAATATTATACCATCTCTAAAACTATTCTGTAATATCGATGAGAATTATTTGAAAAACAAAAGAGAGAACGGGAAGAACATTACCAGAGAGTTAAATTTTTTGTTTCAGCGCGAAAGTTGAACAAGAATATAAAGAACTTCTCGGTAATTATGATCGCGATATCGGCGCGTGTCACGCTTTAACGGAGAGACTGTCGAAAGATTACGAGTTTCTTGAAGCAGAAATAGGAGATATAAAGGTATCTAAGTTTAAACGCATACATTTATTCAAAAAATTCAAAAAAACGTAAAACGACGTCGTTTTGTCGCGTAAGAAAATTTACGTAAAAATTTATAAATTGTCATTTATTTTAACTTCGACTCATATTTCGAATTGTTCGTGTACAATTCTGCCAACCGTTTCCACGGAAAAGGCATTTTTTCAAGCAGACGCTTGTCTTGTGTGCTTCCGCAGCTATTGGCTGCGTTCAGCAGAATCTCTGCCTAAACTATGATCGTGACCGCTCGCAGTCTTCTTTCTGGTGAAGCTGGCGAGAGTGCAGTGTAAAACTGACCTAATCTTTTTTATCAGAATCGGTTGGCAACGCAACGGATTCAGTACACACAATTCAAACAGGAGCGAGAAGTCGCGTTGATAAAGGCTTTCAACGAGAAGGTGGAACTATTCAAGCAAACCCGAGCGACAAAGATTATTCAACGAACATGGAGAGCGTATTACGAGCGTATTTTTCTCAAGAAACGAAGGAAAACGAAGAAAAAGAAATAAAATGGTATGTAGCAACGCAATAACTATATATTATGTTTCTCAAATCTGTGAAGAGATACAAAAAGTTCGAAAAACAAAATTGTTATTAAAACGCGTTATGAAATTTTGTAACGTCCGCAAATAAAAATTGGGAACGAAGGGATAATGAGTAGAAAGACTAGACGCATAGTGTTACGTTGGCAATTTGTTTTTATTCACTGAGCGCACAGAGCATAGCTACTCCTCTTATGATCCAGTGCTCGGGCGGTTTCACCGTAGGCAACGTCATGCCGATGACGAAGTTCGTAGAGTGACCGGTGGTTGACAACACCCCACGACGTTCGCTGGTCCTGTAAACCGGACAGGTGTATGTTCTTCTTTCCTCAATATCCTGCCTCTTCATCGGTATCAGCCACATCTGTACAGTCAAGCGACATTACAAGATATCGTAAGTTTTATTTGTTACAATAAACGTAAAGAATTATTTTATATTGAGCTGCAAAATAAAGCTGTATACATATTATGTATATTAAAAACAAAATCCTGTAAAGCGCATCTACAGGCATCTTTTAGTCTCTCGGGTTGAGTTCTCGAGAAGGAAAATGCGAGAAAGATCACTTACAAAAGGCATGTTGTCGTAAAGCACTTTAGGAAAGCTTTCTTCCACGCACATGTTCTTCATGTCGAACCTCGCGCCGTCCAAAAATAATCCGTAAATGTAAACGCCGTCCTCGGGCGCGGATTCGAAAGTGGTCTCCTTTAGGATCACGAAGTCGAACGTGAGGAGATCTATCGGGATAGAATATTTTCGCGCGTAATTCTGCAGCGTTCCGGTCAAAAATGCTTGCGTGAAGTAAAATCCCGGCATCCAAAATGTAACGGGCTGTCCCTCGTCGTACCATTTCTGTGTAAATGTAACGCGAAAATTTTGCACTAAAACTTTTGCGTTAAATATTTCAAGAAAAAAAACAATGAAAAATTCTAGAAATAGTTCGTACGTGTGTGCGGGAATTTTGTACCTGTAAAAATGCCAAACGTCGTAGAAAATCGGTGATGTAACTTCCCAGAGGCTTCAGAGACGGATAAGAGTTTTGTTTCCACAGAACGGGTATCTTGTTCTTCAAGATTGCCTGATAAATGTCTTCAAGTTCGTAGGACATAATAATCTGACCTGAATTATTATACATAACATAATTACAATTTAACAATATATCCACATTATTGATATTTATTATAAATTTCAATGATTAGCAATTTTTTACATATATATAGATGTTTATTTTCTGAAACACCTTTGATAGCTTTTCGCACATTGTTGAGACTTTCCTTGATGCAGCGTAATAATTTATTGAATCTGTCCATTTCTTGCACCAGTACGGTGTTCATGCTTTGACTATACAGCGTGGGATACTTGGCGAGTGCGGTGATCAGATCGTATTCGTTTGGTAACTTGTCTAAAATTTCTACCGCGACCTCATCGACCACCTCGTCGTCAGACGCTTGTCTCAAACCGGTTTTAACAGCTTCCTAAGAAAGACAATACGATGAAACATATTATATTATCTTCTCACTTAAACCGATGTTGTACAATCTCGTGCCGGTCAGAATATTTGAGAAAGATCAATTGTCGAGTTCACCTAGAAAATCTTTGATCGACGGAATAAAAGGAGACACAATGTGTAGAGCATACCTTGGCTTGCCAAAGATCCTAGGGATGAGCAATAAAAAAAAAAGAATAATTATGTAAAATACATCATCTATAGTTGCATGTGTCTAAAAACTCTTTAATTATTATCAACGATAAGTTGAACCGGTCGTTCTTCTCGATATACGTACCGTTCGATCCTGAAGGATGTTTGATAAAATGAAAAAAAAAAACATATTTATAACTATAGCATTGGTTCTTGCTTAGTTAATAGGAATATTCAAATAAAAAAGAGAATTACCTGAGTGAGCAGTAGCGAGGAAAATAGAAGGTCCGTTTCTTGCTGATCCTTAATAATATCGGCATTCTCGTTCATGCCGAACACACTTGGCTCCGTAATTATCGGAAGTTTTCTCGTGTATTCAAGATGCATCTCGTAGTCTCCGACGATCGGGCAATAATAAATGGACGACGTTTCGTCGAAGTAGTACGTCTCGGCGGTCAGAATTTCTCTGAACAACATATGAATAATAATCTAAATAAATTCTTCGAACACACACACACACCGATAAAAAAAATTCTGCAATTTCTTGATACTACTCACTGGCAATAGAACTTTGCCAGAATAGTGTTCAATGTTCTACGATCCCACGCGTCCGTGACTCTTCCTCCGTAATTACACTCGCCCGTGAGGTAGTTCAGAGCTTCAAACTGTACGTCGTCGTGCTCATCGAGAAACATCTTCAGCTGCAGGATACTGATCCTCAAATCAGTCTCGTTGTACTCGTAGGGAATGTTCCAGCCGATCGGGCCAAACTTGCGTCTCTCCTGCACAACAGCATGAAAGAAGCACAACGAGTACAAGAGCTTTTTGAAGTGCTCGCTCTGAACGCATCCTTCGAAGAACTCCGGATTGCTGATCGGATCGCTCATGTAAGATTTGAGGATGTTGGCTCGGAGTCCCTTGGGCGGCTCGTTTGTCATTTTGATACCGTTCTGGAGCACCGAGATGGGAAAGTGCTCCGCCGGATAACTGGTCAGCCAAAGTCGGAAATCGGGATGTATCGTATCGGGCATCAGACCCTCACAAATATTCTCCAGTGTCGGCATCCAGCTTCTGGCTAGATGGCAGTTCTGCAGCACCACCCAATTTCCGTCCAGTACACCATGCGTTATCATCTCTTCTGCGATTCGACCCTGACCTGGCGTGAACGTCGTGATCAATCAATCCGCGAGAGGACTCGAGTCCTGAAGACGTCGCTAGTGCTCACCTTGGCCGAGGGACAGAAAAAAGAGACGCGTGGCGCTGTAGCCCTGTTCATCGGCGAATGCCAGCATAGCCTGAGTCGGATCAGCGCCGGGAGTCAGGACGAATATCAACGGAATGCAACAATTGGAATCCGCGTAGGAAGACGCCAAGTCGAAAGGCGGTGGTTCAATATATTGTGCTCCCAGTTGTTCTACAACGATCAAATAATTCGAGTAACTGTTAATGTTCACTTCTTTCAATTAACACCAGCTGAATGTTTTTACCTTCCACAAACTTTTGCACGGCAGGAATAATTTTATCGGGCCGAATACATCGCAGAATCAACAGTTGTTCGAACAAATTCAAATCGCCGTAAGGCGCTGGAAAACGCTCTTTCTGCGGTTCCTTCGAATCGAATATCTTCTTCCATTCGCCGATAGAATCGGTAAACAATTCTCTGATACCCTATACGAAGTTGTTTTCAGCGCTTGAATATGAATGTCGATCATTTGAGCGCATTTCAATCGCAAAATTAGAAATTTACTTCGAATCCTTTGATGTGATCAAGTCTGCATAATATGTCCCATTGTTTGGTGGGCAGCCAATCGGTGGGATTGGCGTACGGATTCTCTAAACCTACTCCAGTGGTCAGCAGGAACAACCACTGAGCGGCGACGTCCGGCTTCTCGCTTATTCCTTGCAGATTGACAACAAGAAGTAGCGTGAACAACAGTTTGTCCTTTTCGAACAGCGATCTGCAGATATTGACATAGAGGGAGTACGTGAAGTATCTGGTCAGATCCTTCAAACGTTGCTCGACAATGTCAGTCGGTTCCGTGTTGGTGATAGCCATAACGAATAGATTTACAAACCAAATTAACGAATATTGGTACATCGGGTCTATATTGGCTAAGGACGCTGCAAAAAAAAATAACTTGGAATATAATCAAACATTCGTCAACAAGATACAAATATGTGTATTATATATCGTTTTTTAATCGCAATTTAAGGCACCTATTGTGAAGAAAAGTACGGTCGAATAAGACGCAATAGGTTTGTACTGCAGTCTCGCCTCGTCGATCGACTTCTCCGTGATTTCCGTGGCCGCTTGTTTCATTTGTATGTCGTCGCTTAGATTCTTAGACGACGTTAGAATGTCGATGGCTTCCTCATCTTCCAAAATGTCAGCGATGTCCGCCGCGGAAAGCACTTCCAAAATCTTATCCTCCGTTTCTTTTAACAGTCTTTTATACGAAACAAAAAAATATTGAAATATGATACTATCGAAATCGAAGTGTCAAAATCGAACTACATACTTTTTGTTCGCGGCACTTTGCACAATCAATGAATTCTTCTCCGTTTCCAGATCCGGTCGGTCTTTCGCGACTACGATACCGAGCAACTGATCCTCCAAGCCACTCGGTGTTATCATGAAGTTCAGCAGAGTCACTCTCACAGCTATTTCCGGCAGATAATGGGGATTCCTCAGTTTTGTCGTGATGTAAAGCCTATATCGATAATCATTACATAATTGTGTGACGCCAATGAGTACCATCAAGATCGTCAAATTTCGCATACATTAGAAAACATACCTGAAATTCGTATTATATTCGATTATGGCATCACCTAGTTTTATGCAGAGTGCACCGGCTTGCTTGAACGTTTGTTTCAGCAGTATCGACTCGAGAACAGGATCCAATTCCTCTTCTACGTTCTCGATCAACACCGGTAGTCCGAATTGTATCGCGTTCTCCAAGATTCTGATGTAAATAGCCTGAGTCAGCCGAACGATACTTAAAGAATTCTGCTTCTCCATGTTTCGGACCCACTTGTTGGCCTGGCTCTGCGGGTCTATCATCAGCGGCCATCTTCTGGCGTTTCTGAAATCGCGCGAATTATCCGACACACGATTTGTTAGTGTTGATTTTGATATGCAAAACCGACTTACACAACAATGATGCCGTTGTCGACTGAAAACGCGTCGGCAGGCAATCCGGCGATGTTCCAGGATCTGATCAGCACCGGATCGCCGAGCACGTCGCGCAGTTGAAAGTCGTCGGTGCAAATAACGTGCAGATTTTTGCACAATTGTACCCACTCGCTTATCTGCTGTAAGCGAAACGGCATAGTGAACGGTCCTAAATAAGCCACCACACCGGAAGCGATTATTACGTCGCCTGTTAGCCGGTTATATCTAAGGAAAGTAGAAAAAAATCATGTTGAATGAAATAATAGCGATGAAGATTCGCAATATGATAAACGCGTCAGATTGATCCTCACACGTCTCCTAAATCTTCGGCAGTTTGAAACCAACGCGCGTATTCTCCACCTAATCCCCCAATAAGATCCTCAGCCCGTTTCAGTTTTGTTTCGCACTCCGTCATTTGATCTGATATTGCCTGGAATTCTGCCTTTCTTTTGTTTAGGGTCTCTTGAAGAAGTCTCAACTTTTCCTAATAGCACACAGATTTTAATTACGAAGATTTTATTATATTAATACACATACTATTTGGTTCACCACTTGTTATATATTCTGTTATGAATAAACTGGTTTGTTACTCAAGTTAAAAAATATTACTAGGTTACCTGCACTAGACGCAACTGTTCTCTTAATTCGTTCAACTTGGCCAAAGCATTTCTGTAAGCTTCTTCAGCTATCGCAAGAGCTATTTGTTTAGGCTTAACGATCTTGATGACGTCGTGATAGTCGGACATTGCGAGAACCCAACGACACAATCCCTCGCAGGCCGTTGAGACTCTTTTCATTTTCTCCGGATCGAAGTCCGGTTTGGTAAAATACTGCGTTCGTAATACTTCCATTACTTCGTCCGGGATATTATCCTTATCAAAGTTTAGTAGCGAGTCTAAAAATTTCACGTCACTGAGCATCTTCAATGCGGCTTTCCAATAATCCTCGACAACTGCACCGTTTTTCTGCACCTTCTCAGGTTTTATTTCCTGCAATAAAATTTGTTTACATTTTAGTAAACGTGAACAAATCGTGAGCAATTGCGAAGATTTTTTTTTTTTTTTTTTTTTGAGCGATTGTTTTACCCTAAGAACGCAAACGCTCTCCACAATGAGTTTCACGCCGTACGGCGGGTGTTTCATTGCTTTGACCACTGCAATGTCTGCCAGTGTTAATGTGTCTAACGCTTCTTGAGCTCTTATTAAAATGGGCATAGCTGCAGCCAAATCGGCATCGCACTCAGCTCGTATCGCAGCCGCTTCGTTAGCTACTTTCTACATATTTGCATACATTAATATTTATTATATATATATATAAAGGAGATAGTTTTATTAAATTTGTGTGCTTTTTATCTTACTTCTGCCGCAGCCTCGTCGAGTTTGACTCTTTTCTCAAATTCTGCAACTTCCTGACTCTCTTTTTCAATATCCAACAGCATTTTCTGGATGTCTTGCGTGGCCATGACCAATTTTGGTTGCAACTGCTTCAGTATATCTTGCATCTCTGTCGCTTGTTGCTGCGTGCGATCCAACTGTCCCAATCCGCCTTCGTATCGAGCTTTAGCGAGCAGCACCTCACTACGAATTACGATAAAGTGAAAAATGCGAAGATAATTAAGGTATGAACAAAGAAAAAACAATATCACGCACTCACCTACGTTTCTTCTCGAGTAAACTCTGAAAGGTGTTAATCATTTCGAGATAAGAAGTAGGCGTCACGTAATTGCGTCTGTTCAAGCGAACAAAAAATTCGTCGCTCAAGTTTTGAGTGGACATGTGAAAAAATTGGCACATGTCAATACCAGCTTTTCTCTCGCGATCAGTAAGTTCGATTGTAGATAGGAATTTTGTCGCTACAGCGTACAAGGCATCTTTAGGCCACGACTAGAGTAACGAAAAAAATTAACAAAGCATATTATATATCTATTTTGTTTTCTTTTCAAACAACAGAGCATAATAGTCTTAAGGTGTCCGTACGTTTTGTCACATTTAGCTCGTACAAATGTTTTTCAGTCAAATTTAATACCTGAAGCCAATCAATGGTGCAACAGTTGACCAAAGATGGAAATTTTCTAACACGATTTCTGAAAGCGTCACCGATGGGGGACATAGTGACAACGATGTGCAATTGATCGCGACATAGTTGAACGAACAGATTGAAGAGCGCAGCCGGACTACCGTCTGTTTGCATCGCTCGTTCCCGTTGCCGATCGATAATTTTCATTTTTTCGCATATTTCAGCTTTCTCGTCGGCGTTAAATATGTTCGGGACCTGAAAAAAAAAAAATCAAAGAAATTGCTAATCGCGTCGTGCGCGAAAACAAACAACAATTCAATACATCGTTTCGTTTACTTCGCCTGAATTAAGCATGTTGTTGATGTCTTCGAGAAAACTCTCCTCTTTGATCTGCGTGTCGCTGAAGAGGAACGTCGAGTGCAAATCGGTGGCGGTGGCTTTTCTTAGAATGGTTTTGATGTCCTCGTGCCATTCGTGTTGGCCATATAGTTGCGTGAGTTCGACCTGATGTACGTCGTAGTCGTAGATGTGCGACGCCAGTCTGGTCAGAGACTGTTTTCCGGAACCACCGACTCCGACGAGGAGCGCGTGACTTCGCGATTGTTTAATGATACGAGCTATTCTCGACAGATGCTCGATCGCGAATCTTTTATCGCGTAATTGAATAAAAAATCACACAATTATACGAACGGTTTACAATTTTTCGAATAAAATAGAATGAGTGAGTAGATTTACCGGAACAACACCAGGTTCATGGGTTTTCTGGACATAGTGTTGTATTCAGAAAGATACGTTTCCACGATCTCTCGCAATTGCTCCAAGTCGAGAACTTCTTGATACAGACGAGCGTCACTTTTGGCGTCGCCGAAGTCGCAGTAGATCAACTTACGCAACACGTCCATAGAGATCTGACCAAAAAATGACACTTTTAGCGCACAAAGGTGTAACTTTTGTTAAAAAAGAATCTTGTTAGTGCTCATGAGTGCGCGTGTCGTACATATTTGAGATATTTGTCAGAAATGTAATCTTCGAAGAGTTGGTCTATCGCAATTTCCATGCGTTGTTTCAACGTTGCGTGTATCTGATGTACCAGCCATTTGATGTCGACGTCGTCGAACAAACGATCGCCGAACACACGCAATATCTCGTGAACCCACAATCTGTTCATGTGCGAGAGCGAAGGCATGGCTTCCGGAACCGATAAGAGCACTCCCTGCGCACGATAATAATCATTGTAGCAATAGCTGAAGAAAGCTCATTTCATTGTTCTGAGAAAATAATACACAAGAGTGTGATAAGACCTGAATCACTCTGGAGAAATCTCGAAGATTAAACATGTAATGGCACTTCGCGGGCGTCGGAAGCAGGTTGCGCATGCTCTGCTTGTAAATGTCCAACGTTGCGAGAACAATTTGATCGATACACGGATCGAACTCTTTGCTGAAACCTCTAGAAAAAAAAAACGCACAAAGAGTTCGGTGATGCTCTTTTGGATTTATTTCGCGAGACGAAATACGAATATTCTTTAATTCACAAACCTGGTGTCGAGATGCCACAGAACGATTTTGCTGAATATCGTGATCATAACGTTGTCCTCGAATTCGGATATCGTCAGAACGAAGAAATGTCGTTTGAATCGCGGCGTGACGTCCTTGCTAACGGACGGCGGAGCCATCGCGCACATTAGTTGAATCTCAATAAGCTTTATCATACTTTCCTTTCTGTCGTACCTATGTGTACGTATATCCTGTCAGAATGTATTTTGCTACTAGTATTCAAGAAAAACAAGTAGTTTCAGATACTTTACCACTGCCAGTGATCCAACCATTGCCGTAGCAGTTCTATGGGGGGTTGCGCCCCGAACACCTCTTTCAGCGGCATCGAGACATCGTCCACGAAGATTATCCAACGTTTACCTATCGGAGGACCGTAAACGCCCTTGCGCCTGCGATCCAGCTTGGCCATGATGATATCCTGCGTCTGATTGGCGGTGGTTTGCGCGGAGAAATTAATGAACAACGGCAGGTTCACCTCGGGTTTGTTCTTCTTCAGAAGAAAGTCGATTATGTACACCGACTTTCCGGTCCCGGTCGGGCCCGAGACGAGCACCGGTTTCTCGTGTTGGACCAGCAATTGGAATAGAGCCGTGTAACGTACAGTCTCCACGGTCGGAACGATTATTTGATTGACAGGGATGTCACGTGGAATCGGAGGCATGGTCAGTAGCTCGTCCGTCCATAACTTCCACTTTCCTTTACCCTGGTAAAAATTTGTGCGATATACAACAGAGATAGCAAAATATCATTTTATATATTATTTTTTTCTGTCTCTCATCGCTCTTTTGATACACGAAGTTTGTAGACATACTTCTCTGATAAATCTGTAATCAAACACCAAACGATCTTTCGGCATAATGAAGATATAGGGTTTCAAAGGCTGTGGAACCGGCTCTTCCAGTTGGAATACGTCCATCAGATCGGTCGGAAATTCTCTCGCCAGAAGACCGCGAAATAGTATGCTAAATTGTGGTCTGTATGTGGCTTCTAAAGTGCCTCCCATCGCCCAGATGCATGAAAAGAAGAAGGAACCCTACAGAAATACTTGAGATTATTTATATGTGTGATGGTTTATCTGGTCGAGTTAGTCGAGTTGATCAAATTTCAACCTCTAACTGCGCACGGATATCGAGCTCGCTTATATTTTTGATTTCCTCGTCGCTGTAGTTGATGAAACAGTCCATAAGATAAGTGATCGATCGCACAAGATTGGCATCGGGCATCGGGCATATTTCCTGGCGAGATACAGAATCTGTCAGAGTGTTCGAATTCTATCACAGACAAAAATCCTGCTTTATACCTTTACGTTACATCTACGTAAGAAATGAATGAGGGGCTTGCAAAATCTGAGAAACAGCGATTCGTACAGAAAACTTCGCAGCCACTCGTCTATCACTTCCGGCAATTTTGCTATCCAGGATTTTAATAACGGCTCCCACCCTAACGCTCCGGGCTCCATATAAATCATCCCTGTGTCAAATAGCCCGTTTGATCACTCGATTCTGGATTTAATATATGTTATTTGTTACAATTTACCGCAACGAGACACCGTGGCCGGCGAGGCGACTTCCAGATCCAACGGTTCGTATATCAGATTGGTTGTTGGCGCCAGCTTGATGATCTCGCCGCTCGTTAGACACAACTTCTTGTTGTCGTCGAGAACGGTGTTCATGCTCTCTATCCACACCGCGTCTACCGGACCGTCGAAGACCAACCACTTCCGGTTGTCGTTCGGCGAAGTCGCGAAAGCCCGATAGCAGATGGCCAAGATACCATCGCGCCACTCGTGTGACGCCGGATCGAAGTGTCCGTACAACTGTCTCAGCGTTATCGCCTTCGGATTGATCACCGCTATCTCCACCTTGCGCTCGTTTATCAGATTCTAGCAATTTTCGATCGATTTAACGAACAATCGTTGAGAGGGAGAGGTGAACACATTTGCAAATTCGCTTTCTCACCTTTTCCTCGCAGATTTCGAGCGCGTTGGCCAACATTCGGTAAGCCGTAGTTTTGCCGGCGAAAGGATATCCGACGATCATGAAACCGTGTCTGACCAGCATCATCTCGTATATCTCCTGGATCTTCTTCAGAAACGCGGGAACGCATTGTATGTTCGCGGCGGCGCACGCTTCGAACGCGGTCGCGTTCAAGTGCACGTAATTCGGCTCGGGCAGCACCACATTCGGAAAGAGATCCAAAGCGATACCCTGAAACATCGACAATATCTCACGCTACGTTCTCTCTCTCGTATTCACGAGAGTGAACGTATTGCGTGACGTTTTTGTACTTGAAAAAGAGGTATGTCCTCGTATAGAAACTTGGGCAGATTCACGTCCTTGATGCTGCGCAGGAGCAAAATGTCCTCATCCTCTTCGGGATACTTCAATTTCAAATTACCTGCCGCTATCAGAACGGACTTTACCGCTCGCATGCCGTAATCGTAATGATTCTGACTGGACAGTTGCTCCGAACACAACTTGTAACACATGACTATCTTCACGGACAAAGGTCTCGCGTTGTAAAATCCGTACGAATATAATATGTTCTCCGCTATCAAAGCGTAATCGGGCACCTATCGCGTGTAGATAAGAAAAAAAAAACACGTAACATGATTCACAAACATTATGCGCGTCTTCGTGATACTCACCATCATAGCTACCGGTCGGAACAGAGCCTTGAGATTGTCAGGTAATTCCGTTCTTCCGGCGTATCCCGGATTCATCGTGGTGAACACCGCGCAGGTGGAATCCAACTTCAGTTCCGTACCCTCGAACACCAAGATTTCCATGTTCGCGTTTATGGCTCGTTGAATGGTCAGAATTTGTTGCGCCACGACCGACAAAACTTCCAAATCGATGCGATTAAACTCGTCGAAACACGACCAAGCTCCTGTACTGGCTAATCCCTGGAGAGTGCGAAAACGAGAAAAAAAAGTGTAAAAAATATTGAAATATACGTGAAGATTTTTCAATTTTGAAAAATTCTCTTCGTACTTTAAAAAATTTGCCTAGAGCTATGTAATCCAATCCTTCCGAGCAATTGAATACGATGCACTGCTTGGCGACCGCCTTCGCCATATCCTTCACGGTCTCGGTTTTCCCCGTTCCGGCGGGTCCTTCCGGCGCACCGCCGAGATGTAGACTAAGCGCGCTGAACAAAGTGCGGTAGCATCGATCAGTGAGCGGCGTTATCACTAATCGCGAGGTATTGCCCAGATATTCGTACGCATAAGCCAGCGTGCAGTTTATCATTATCGTGTACAAATTCTCGTCCTGTATGAGAGAAAAATATTTTCTAAATTAAAAGAAAAAGTTTTTTACTCAACGACGTAGTACAGAAAATACGAAGACGAAAAATTAAGAAGAAAAGAAAAAACGTGTGACAAAAATAAATATTTTTCTTTCACGTACTATCCAGTAGTATCGCAAGTGACAGAGCCACTTGAAGTCCGAAGTTCGGCTCACATTTTGCTCGCATAATTCCGCCAACACGTCGCGACTGTGAACGTCCAGTGTCACTAAGGCTTCTGTAAGCAAAACCGGTTCGATCAGTTGTAGACGATCTCGCGATGTTGAATTCGTATTCTTCATCGTTAGCGGAGAGACTTCCGACCTAGAGTCGTTCGGTTCTGCGTCGAGAGTTTACCACGAACGAGCTTGACAATTTCATTGAGCTCTTGCGTGCACGTGTTCACGTAGTTTCTCATATACTCCAAGCCCATCGGCACTCTTTCGGTAACGGCCGCAGTCCAGTAAAGTTTGCTGATACATAGAACCGTTTGACCTGGCCATTCCAAGGCCCATTGACTTCTGGCCTTAGTCAAGTAAGCGTCTTTGGCATACATGACCTGAAAGACCGATCGATATGTGTGCGTTCGCTGTAACGATTTAAATTTTGATTTGATCTCGATCTACCTGAGCCCTCACGCTTTTCTTCATATCCTTCTCGAGCTCGAGTAGCCACTTCTCCACTTGCCCTCGCGCGACGGTCGTATCGATTACGTCTTCAAGAATAATCTTCTCCTCTTCAGACGACAGCATAGCCGTAGCTTCCATGATGTCGGTGAAGATCAGTCTCGCGATACCTTCGAAACACTTCTTCAGATGCGGCTGCACCCTGTAATTGCAAAAAGTAACTCGTGAGTTCCTTAAATATGTGCAAAAAAAAGACGATAAATCAATTTGATGAATTATCTTGTGCAACTACCGCGTAGGGTCCTTCGTTTCAGAAAGTATTTCCAGAAGTTCGTCGTTCGAGAGGAAGAAAAATCGCGGGAAGAAGAGCCTCTTCTTCTCCAAGTACTCGGCCAGTCCCTTCTGCACCAGGTCGAGCAAGTGGGTACATTTTTTTAAACGATCCAGCATCTTTTCGATCACGACGACTTTCATGACCAACGGATTAGCCGCGACGATCGTCATCAGTTCCCTCCAAATCTATTTTTCAAACGTATATATATATTGAATTCTAGATTGTTTGAAAGATTTGCTTTTGACCGTACATATGATGATTACAGACTTTGTCCACGGCGGTAAATCGCCGACTTTCCTCCGGCATCTGCTGCTGTATGTCAGGTGACGTAAAAATCGGCTCAAGATAGATCCACGTGCCTTGAACCAACAGCCAGTAATCCATGATATCTTGCAACAGACGCAACTTGGCTTCCCATTCTCTGACAGCGTGAAGAATAAAAATTGTACAAAAATTTTCAAAAGTCTCATTTTTGGAAATTCTTAAAAAGTCAACGCGTAACAAAGAAAAGCAGTTTTGTGAACCTACAGAGTTTCTTTCTCAAACGGTTTTATGTAAATGGAGTTCTTCATAGTCATGGTTTTAGTCAGATGATCATCGAGCATCACTTGTATGTCATCCACGCTGGCGATAACGTACGTGCCGGTCTCACGAAACAGATTGACGGTGAACAAGATGTCCGCCCATTCGGAATGCATTCTCAACAAAGCTCTTTCCAAACTGCCTTCTTTGGTAGCCGCCTCGGATATCGGCTCGAATTTCGGCACGTAATCGCCCAGACCGTAATCGAGAATCTGATGATGTAAAACATTTCAACAGCCAGTGACGAACGGGTCATCAATTAAGTTCGCGTTTTATTTACCTTGGCCAACGTCATGTGTTCGTCGACCTTTATCGGAAACCCGACAATCTCCGAGACCTGTTCCCAATGTCGACTTTTCATGCAAGGGTTTCCGAGTGTCATTATCACCGGCATGTGCTCTTTGAAATCCTCGATCTTTGTTTTCACAACATCTACTAATTTTTTCACCGCGGGTTCTGTGAAGATCTTCTCCAGTTTGTATATCGTGCGAAACGCGATACCGGTTTCGTTATCGATCTCCTCGGGATCGTGAGAACCCACCATACTTTCGGTCCAGGTCTCGTGATTAGTTAGAAATTCGCAAGCTGTGTCGTAGAACTTTTTGTAGGGTGTCAGTTTATCGGCCAGCTGATCAATAAAAATAATAACATTGATATACTAATCTCTACACACACACACACATGTAGTATAACAAATTTATATTTTATACTTCTTCAAAAATATAACAATTTTGTCTGTACAGTAGATGTTGATTCTTACTTGTTTTCTTAAAGGATACTTTGATGTCTCCCAACCGAACAGTATCTCCTCTTCGTTGAATTCAGAGATTGTATTCATAGCGGCGATCAGCTTGTTATTGAGACTGGTAGCTTTCTTTTGATATCGCTCTATCTCATCAATATTGCCCCAATATTGCAATTCGTCACAGTACTTGGCGTAAATCTGCAAATCCTGCTCGAACTTTTCAATTCTAATTTTCAGCATCGCCTGATATTCGCCCGTTTTACTCGCAACTATCTCTCTGTGCTTTTTGAAGGTTTCTTCCATTATGAAATACCTGATATGTAGGGATCAAATTTTGGATTATTCGCGTTGTGAAAATATCCGCGCGTTTCATTACATCGACAACTTCTGTTTTAATGTCACTTTAACTATAGAATTGTGTTAAATTTAATTTCATTTTGCGGATTAAGTTGTAAAAGTATACGCGCTCACCAGTGGAAGGCGAAGTTATTGCTCTTCAATTCGACCGGCGTCAAATGATAATAATCCGACAAAAATATTATGTATTTTATTACTTCTCTCAATTGATCCTCGAGTTCGAAAACAGTTTCCGTCTCGGATTTGCGTATGAAAGTCTGCAGTTTCATAAGTTCCGCTGTATTGGGCGGTGTGCTCAACGCCTGATTCGAAATATGTTGATAAGATTCTCCTATACTGAACAGTTACGTAAAATAAATATTTTATTTATATTTAGATGTTTTGTTGCAATATTACAAAAAATTAATATATATATATATATATATATAAACGAAACGGAGTTTTACGCTCGAGTTTTTTGCTGATAATCAGCGACCATTCGCGAAACCAACAGGCCTTTGAGGTGAGCAGCCGCGGCGGCGATGTGTTCTATAACACGATGTCTGCGAACTTCGAAGAGATCTGTGAATGACGTCCAATAAAACTCCAACGGAATATTCTTGCTCAGTTGGTCGTAATAATCAACGAGCTCGCAATATTGCTCGTACGGATTGGGCGGTTGTGCGCTTAGAAAGTTCTGAACGCTATTGAAGTCCTCGTCGGTTATCAAACTCGTGTACTTATCGAATTCGCGCAGCTGCATTTCCGGATCGGTTCTGTATCTTTCGATCAAATCCGATATGGTGTTCGCGTGCTTCTCGAGCACATCCGGAAAAACTACCGGCTGTACGAAAACACACGTGTAATTTAATTATTATACGACATATATCGATCGCATTGTTCTATCTGACAATTGTAAACAATTTCTCATATAGGAATTATTCTGAAAATTAATATTACACAAAGTGAATTATGCACCTGAAGCAATTTGACTTCGATATCGGGTGACACCCATTCCAGTTTTACTTCCGCGCGCGGTAACGTGGTCACGGAGTCGTAAAGTGAATTCAGCAACGTCGAAAGTGTGCCCACGAACGCTTTGAACGATGGCTCGAATGTGATCGTGAGCGGGTCTCTCACCGCGACGTTTATATTGAAGCCGCAATTGGTGTACTATTTGAGAGATAAGTATATATTTAATGCACTCAACCGCGCCGATTGGTTGTTTCGCATGCGTACTGCATATTAAACTCGTTGAAATTGAATCGCACCGACGTGTACGCGTCTACTCACACCCACATCCGTGAGATAATCGATGTAATCCTTCATCGAACGCAGGCACAGCACCCGCAACTGATCCTCCATGACGTAAGCGAGACAATTAAAGAATCTCATGTATTGCGGACCATCCGGTAGAGGCAAAATCTTCTTCTTCGAGGCCTAAATACACACATGCATGACGATGATTTTTGGCAATAACGAGGTTTCACATGAGTTTCGAATCCGTTACGAATTCATTGTTTCTTACCGCGAGCAAAATATTGCAAAGTCTCGGCAGCCACCTTTGGACGAGATCGTCGATTGTATTTTTAAGTATCTTCGAGAATTTCGTGCCGAAACTCGACAGATCGTACGATCGTTTGTACGACGCCAGTTCTCGCTTGTCCACCAGCTTGACTTGCCTGCGATCGTTGCGAATTGAGAGCCAGAACGTTGATAGTAACGAATCAGAGATCGAGATCTAACGTTTTTTTTTTTTTTTTTTTTTTTAACATCTCATTCTGATATCAAATTTGTCTTGTCAATTCACTAACCCGTATTCGCGATGCCAGTAGTCTAAGGTTCTACGGATGCACGGATGATACGCAATGACGGATCTTTTTTCCAGTTTGAACCTGATTTTGTGATACTTGACGGTGTGCTCCGGAGGGAACGGTTCGACGACTCTCCGAGAGGGCAACGGCTGGAACATGCGCAACGTAAAATCGTATATAAAAAACGACCGATTATTGAGAAAAAAGCGACGGCAAAATTATCGGATAATACGGTCGTGTGGACAGACGTGGCGTGGTTCAACACGTGAGAAATCTCCAATTTTGCATAAAGTGACGTTGTCTCTTACGTCACACTAACCGGATCGCAAAGACTGCACGCCTCCTCGAACGGATCCTGAAGCACAAAGTCAACGACGGACTTCTTCATGCTGATGATGTAGTCACGTTTCACTTCCTCAATTAATTGGCCGAAGTAATCGCCGTGTCTCTCCTGCCACACGGCGGACACCATCCCCGTAATCTTCTTTAACGTGTCAGAATCTAAGGTGCCTGCGTGAACGTCATCGACCTCATGAAGAATGTAGTAGTAATACCTCAAGAGATTCTTGTCTTCTTCCGTGATCCAATTGTCGGCTACGGCAAACGTTGTTTGTTCGCAAACATCGTCTATAACGGCCCGCTCTTTTGCACATTCAGTGAGTATTTCCATATCGTCGCCGCGCCCGATTTCATCGACGCGTTTCCGCTGACCTACTATCTTCCCGATTAGATGCATCCGAAATTCGGCTCTTCGTCGAAGCATCGATGTGTAGTAATCGTCCTTTTGGGTTGCAAATTTCTCCTCGTCCCTTTTTTTCGGTGCCGTAGTCTTCCTTCAAATTTAGTTTAGTGTTGCTTTTTTAATATGAGAGCAGACACACTCGCGTATAATATGAAATATTTTTAATCCTTTGAAATATTTTTAACCCTGATAACTACATACGCTCATTACGAATTGAAAGTCACAAATTTCTTTGTAACAAAACGAATATTTGCTCACCTCGCTAATTCGTCGCATCGCTGCGATAAGTCGGAAATGTTCGTGATATAATTGTTCAAACAATCTAAGGCTCTCTGATACGCGCGATTATTTTTAAAATGCTTCGGACGGTAAGTATCGGAACCGAATCTCATCCAATCGCAATGTTTCTTGCGAGATCTCTCGACAAGTGGCACGTCAAATACGTCGTTCTGTTTTATTGGACGTTTGTGCGACTCCGATTTGTGACTATTGATTTCTTCGTCGTCCTGTTCCGGAGTTTCTTTCAAGATTTCCATTTCTGAAACTCTCGTACTTGGTCTCGGAAAGATTTTACGCTGGAGCGCGAAGTTTAGAATATATTATGCGATTGAGAGAGAGAAAGAGAAACAAACTCATAAGATACTTAAAGGATTTACTTAGCATGTATATAATTTTCTGCACATCGTATTCACTTACCGTGGCTCTTAATTTCCTCGGCAAAGATAGAAAAATGCAATAATAAACAAGAATCTCGAGTGATATGGAAGTTTTACGAGAAAACTTCCATATCCGACTATTTATATCTTATGCTAATTCTGAAATTCCTTCACTTCTCATTAATTCACTCTACGCGTAGGAACACGTATAGAAACACACGCGGTCTCGTTAAATCTCTTACGTTTTCGTTGCTATGGCAATCAGCTCTCTGTCTGTTATGTCAATTGCAGAAAAGCATATTTCATATCTACTGCTACTGCATTGCTATGTTAACACTATTATATTGATGACACGGTAAAACGTATAATCTTGCAAAAACGAAACAAAATCATACGTTTGTGCAAGAACTATAATATTTCTATTAAAAAAATAGCGAGGAAACAAGAGAGAGGACTTAAGAAAGTTATACAAATCTCAACACAATTAGTGCTTTCAACACAAATATTTATTGTATATTCATATACGTGACACATTTTGTTTTTTTTTTTTTTTTTTCCAAAGTAATACTTTCATAAGTATGTGATCTGTCGGTAGTACTTGTGTAGCAATATCATATATATTTTTAATTTATATCAACGACTGCGCTGTGTAGTAGTAATTTGCAGGTGTTTCGCGGTATCACAGATACCAGTAAATTGCGATTTATGTTTTTTCTTCTGCATATATATATATGTATATATATGTCAAGTGTTTTTTGGTACAACGCAAAATACAAAGTTATTTTCGCGACATATATTAAATGTTTAAAATTAATCTTCTTTTATATCTACACTTATACAACGCATACGTATGTGTATATTTTATGACAATTTCTTCTACATGTTGTATAATTTGATTGTCACTCATCTCTCTGATGTTACATAATAATACACTGTTGATCCCTCTATACATCTAACAATAAGTAGGCAACGTTGAAAAGTATATATATATATATATATATATATATGTATGTATATATGTATATATATATATGTATATATACGTGTATACATATATCTTCTTTTTGCATATACAGTCCCTTTTTCTGTTCCAAGAATAAAGAACGTTCAGCAAATTATAAGGGACAATCCTCTACGTTGCTGAGTGAGTGCACATGTTCCGTGTGTACGTATATGTGTATAGCACGCGGAAATAAAACGTTGGACCTCGCAACCTCTCCTGGCCAAGTCCCTTGCCCACAACTATGCAATCGGAATTCAAATATGGTTGGCTGACTATTAAGGGAAAGAGGCGAAAGCACGCTTTTAATATATATATATATATACGAACGGATCAACAACGACGGTGGAATGAGCAATACACGCGCAATGTTCTCGTTGAACTCTTCGCCTGCGAAAATATGTAGGCGGCATACACCGTATATCCCGCACCGGCCGAAACGGGGGCCGCATATCGATTTTCTTTCTGGCACTTTCACGTTTCGCTCGATGTTTCAACGTCGAAGTATACATATAGTTATCGTCTGTTTAACGATAGAAGCGGTGATATAGTAATAGTGTACAAGAGAGGTAATTCACTCCCGTACAATTTTATGCCGATTCTCTGTTCTGACGTTGCGCGGAAGGATATACTTTATGTAAAAGGGGATATTCCAAAAAAGGTGTACTCGTATTTTTTTATCTTGATATGAATAAATAATAAATTTTTTTATCTTGATATGAATCGATTCTTCGTGCAAAACCGAACAATTTGCCTTGTGTATATGTGTAAGAAGAAAGTGTATATATAGTGAAAATTATATTTATTTTTAATACGAGTTAGTTCGCGCCTTTTCTGGAATTTCACAATATAATACGATGTAGAATGTTGTTAACAATTAAATCTAACGATCTAGAACACACATTGTTGATTGACACAGGTACATTTAATTTCAGTTTTCCCGATGAGATATACGACACACAGCACTTGAAAGTCGATTATTGAGATTTATCTCCACAATTGGTTAATTTTCCTTATATATGTACAACGTACGTACGAGAATAAATTTTATTCGACGAGACACACTCTTTAAATCATCAAATCAAAATATAACGACAATATTGTACACACATCTCTACAATTTTCTGCTTTGATGATAACATACGTGACGACATATGTCGATATGATTCTATCTATATATATGTATATGTATATCAACGGTATTGAACTGATCTTCTTGTACTATCAAGCTATTAGCGGAGTGTCGCTCTACCGCTTATCAACTATGAAGAGTCTTCTCGTTCATTCGAAAAACCAAAACTAATTTTACAGAATCACGAGAGGCATATGGCACACATTTTCGTTTATTGCGTAACGTGATGACACAAAATATATATTAGCGTTCGATACAAACTTCTTTCACATGCGTTATTACTATAAACTCGAATACGGAATGCCTCAAAACTGAATGAAATAAAACATTATCATATCAGTTATATTGTATATAAGATAAACAAATTATAAGATAAATATATAAACATACATGTATAAAATACAAGCATAAAAAAAGAACATAATGTGATAATTTCTCAAAATTTTCATAAAACATGTCGCTTGTATACACACAAACATACACGCACAAAAATTATTTATCTCACAGTCAATTTGCAATACATTTTGTTATTCATAAAAGTCTCTAATATTTAACATTTATATAGAGATATGATATAAAACTAGACGTAACACCATTTATTTGTCTTTAATTAGTGCTACAGATAGAATTTCAATCACAAAATCGCGTTTTACTGTGGTTTTGCCAATTGTTGTAATCCAAAACATGTTATTAGTCTTTGGTCAAGTGTAATATTGCGAAAGATATATAAGAGAGAATAAACTAGCACAATCACACGGCATTGCACCGCCAACGTGCTCGTTTGAGAGAGACATGTGAAAATCAGAACACGACACTTGAAGGATATAGAGCGAACTGATATTTTGCGAAGTGTTCACGGTTCTTGAATCGAAATTTTAATAAGCACGCAAGCCGCGTCCAATTAATATTTTCATCGAACGCTGATGTCTCTTGTTTTACGTTTTTTGACCGTGTCACAGCAAATTAATCTAATTTTTCCAATCTGTCTCCGGAAGATTAGCGACGTCGATTGATTGATGGATTGTTAGATAGTCTTCAAGCTCTCTCTCACTCACACACACGCACATGTACACATACATACACACACACACAAAATTGATGTGTCTGACGATTATATATCCTATCAACCAAGATTAGAAAATCGCTTTACTCGTTATAGATGAATGTTGTCAGTTGGCCCGTGTGAGAAACGCGCGACGCGAAGTCGGAGGAAGGAACCTAAAGAACTGCGGGTAATGCCGCACGACGGAACGGAAAATCCGGAACGGAAGTCATCGAACGGGTTAAGGTCTTGTGAAGCGATACCGGTACGGAGTCCAGGCGAACAGTTCTAAGGGAAAAGAATACATGTTTCTATTGTGTATCACTTTTCTTCTTTGCTGCATTCATTCCTCTAGCTGTTCTTTTTTTTTTTTTTTAGCATGCAAATACCAGGCGCCTACTTTGGTTACACTATGTCGCCGTTTCACGCCATTGGGATGCAAGATTAGCGCACATTCTGAAAACGTCCAGCTCGCTTGCGTTCTCAAAAAAAAAAAAAAAAGTACACGTTCCTTCTCTCGCCATTCCGTACTTTTTGTCAGCCTTTGCCGCTAAGCATCGCAACTAAATAATTTTAGCCGATGGCGCAAGCTTCAATTGCATCCTCCCAGTTTTATCTTTATGTTTATTCTACTTGCGTCGATTGAACAAAAATGAAAAACCAAAAAGAAAAATGCAAAGCCCGATCAAGAGATCAGAAACTTCATCCCGATGTTATGAAGAACACTCGGGATATAATTTCTGAAACTTGATTAGCACACACGAGACGTTTGTTTCTTATAAATGATCTTCAGGCAGTTCCGACGCAAGCTGCCGTTTCCAGTTGCGCTTGTTGCTCGATGTGCGATGAAACATGCCGTATTGCTGTACAGATTTGCTGATTGTAGCTCGTGAAAAAATTTACGAATGAAAACCAAAGAATTTAGATGCGGTATCAACTCTGATGGATTTTGAGTGAGTGATAAATTGATACGATCTCGCGAAGGAAAGTGCGTGACAAAAACATCTACTCTCGATGATGAGAGAATTGGTGCTCTGAATATTTACATCGAGTGATCCCGAATTGGATGATCGAATGACTAATATACGAGAATGCAAATCGAACGGTTCGAACGGCAATCGGCTTTTTCATCTGAAAGAAAATATTCAATGCAGACATTCGCTACTTCGACGAGACAAACGTGATCGTTTGAATAAAAAAAAAAGAAAACCAAAAAACAAAATTGTTTGTTGCAAACATGTACTGTGTGTGTGAATACTCAGACTGATCGGTGACCAATCTACGGTCGACTCGTTCACGGTCTGCCTGCAGATGATGATATGGGAGGATGTCTGCAATATCTGGTCGATGGTGAAGCGGATATGTGACCATGAGCGCGCTATATGCAAGACTACTTTGGTTTGATTTTGTTTGTTTTATTGATAAAAGGAGATTTTGAGACAGTAGCGTGGCGGCAGTCATCTACGTGCGGTATCATCGCTCTACGATTTACCATGGTTGGCGAAGCACGGGCAAAGCGCATTCAGGATACGAGTGCAGATTCCGCGAGCTCGGTTGTTCCAGCCAGCGATAGTATCGGTACCCTTCAATCTACTGCCTGCACACACACATGTATACGCTAGCATGTTATATAAATATCAATTTCGAAAGATAATTATACGTCTTTCTATTTTGCATGAGAGAAAGAATGAGAGAAAAAGAGAGAAACAGTAACATAGCTCTACGGGAAAGTGTCTCCGTTTAACTTGATCGTCTAATGAAGCGTGTCTCTATATGAATTAATGTAATCGATCATGTTCATTATTATTGTCAATAATAAATCGTTTGTTACGTATTTCTTTCAATATCTACAGATCTCTTCAGTCATCTAAATGCGTCTATGATGAAATATCTAGCGATCTAGAATGATTCATAAATATACTTATTAGAACTATCTCTATTTCGTCTTGTCTACCCGTGGCATACCTCTTTTTTTTTTTACTTCACTCACTTTCGCGCTCTGTGATTTACTTATTTACCGGCTTTTTAGTTATATCTGCCTCCTTTCGTTCTAGCCGACGCGCGCGAGAATATTTCAGCCTCGTGAAATTAAAACACTTGAGTTTGAAGAGAATATCGAGAACGTGTATGAATGGTCGGTTTTCACTTACCTTCGCCCGCAGCAGCTCCCTGAAACACAAAACAGATACGTATTGTACGTTCGAACTCTTTTCTAACGATTAATAGTTGATAGAGAGAGAAATAGATAGATAGAGAGAGGAAAGATGGATTTTATTTAATCGAGTGCCAATGTGGTTCTTTAAAACTCGTGCGTGCGTCACATCTTCGTTCTGAAACTTTTGTTTGAACTGAACCATCTCATTTACCTCAGATTGAATTTTTCTTTTTGACGCTTCTTTCGCGGCGGTGTCTATCACTTCGCTGACGAATTTCGTCGTTTCTCTCATAAGTTCCTCATTCTCTTTGAAAGCCTCTTTTCGCTGCTCTAGCGTCTTCGTCATCAGATCACCATCCTCGTCCATATTGGCTGCGGAATTGAGCGGTATGGACATTTGATCGGTCATACTGTCATCAATGACGATTGTTCAGTGCGCTTCAGTGTCCTTCACAAGAGCAAAAGAAGGTCATCGGTCAAACGGAAGAATCTCTTGCACGGATGTGCTGCGACGGTGTTTTAAATTACGATTTATCGCGGACACGTGTATATTTACCTAATTATCTCGTTCGAACTTTACGCGCGTGAGAATATTCACGTCTTTAAAATAAAAATTAAATACACATAAGTACTCGAGATGTGTGCGAGACGATACGTAGCAAAGACAAGCGGTAATTTTAGACTGAATTATCTCTTTCTCTCTGTGATCATCGGCTTGATATTAATTTACTAAGATCCCCGCACAATCGACCCTTCACGAGCCCTTCGCGCGTACATTACAACGGTCAATGATCGACGACGAGGACGGAGTTGAAACCGACATAGATTCGGTGTTGTACGAGGTACAGATTGTACAGACGCGTGAGAAAATGAACGAGTAAGTTTCGGCAGATGAAAACCAAGTCGATCCTGTTGATCGGGATTCATCGAACACGTTGTTAAACTTATGATTTTCTATGATTCTCTTCATTTCAAACGTAAGCGCAATAAATGTTAATCGACTTGTTGCTTTCTTTCAGATAATAAAAACGTTTAATGTACTGTGCGCGCCTTTCTCTGTGAATATATACTTCATTTATATGTTCATGTTTTATTTTTAGCTTCATCCAAGTGGATTTAACTCCGTCGTTTCTCGCGCGACCGCACATCAATAGGAGCCCAAGTCGCATTGAAGTAGCAATCTAAAAGAGATGAACGATCTCTCTCGAGTGCTGCTGAACCGAACGATGTGCAGCGTGTGGAATCGCAGGCATCGACGGTAAATACAAGGATGACAGATACGCTACAGGTGGTGTGTGTTGTTTGATCGCGCACGCACACTTGACAATCCGTCGTCGTCGTCGTCGTCGTCCTACGTACAACGCGTTTGTATCCCGGAGATGCCCGATGACGTGTCGCTGATATTCGAGGCCGATACTGCACAGCCGAGGTCGGTCGCGATCAAATCACTAGATAAAGAACCCCGAACCTGGCGCCGAACAGACCGCCGACGAATCCACCAGGAATTCCAACGGGGACTCGTGTCTCCAACGTTTTTTTATCCGAGACCTGGCTCCGAAGAGCGCGGTCGTCTTCAGTATTCGCGCAATCGAGAAACGGGGTGAAACGGAGAGCCCGTCATTTTTTCACCTTTCGGCGCGCGTGTTTCACGGGCTACGCTTCACCAGGTAATGATCGACGCGAACCCAGGCGCGCTTACCATACGAAGCTCTCTCACCCGACTGGATATCACCCCAGCCAGACCTCGGCACGGAGCATGCGTCGAGGTAACATGCGGAGCTCTCGTCGGGGTTTTTATATCTTCGTCACTGTATGTACACCTCTGTTATCTGCGATGAATATGTACAGTGTACACATGCGCGCGTGCACACTTGTACGTACATACAACGTCGTCTACTACCTCGTTTTTACCTCGAGAATTCAGACGTTATCCGTCAACAATCGTGAGCAAGATGAATTTTCGTTGTACAATATACGGATATTATGCGCGGCATCGTCCTCACACGACAGATGTTTATTATCAGTCAGGAGATTCTGAAAAAAAAAAATAAACAAGTTATAAAATTGAAAAAATATTTATTGTCTGCATATGTTAGCTGCGGAAAGAAAAATGTGAAGTTTTTATTATCCTCCGACTTTCGTCCCTTTTTTTATTTATTTATATACACGGAAATGTGAACACACGTGTAAATATTTTATCGCACATTTATGCGCGCGAGAGATATTGAAATGTTCGCGGTTCTGATAACTTTTGCGTCGCAAAACGTACTATAGTGATACACATATCATACGATTATATACGTGCATAATATGATTTATTGTAATGAGAAGCTCTAGCGCGCGATTTTAAGCTCTTCTCTTGTTGAAAGCTTCTATTCAACATGTGTGAAAATCGCATTTCCGTAAGATAGCGAAATCGTCGAAATATCCAAATTTAGCGTATCACAGAACGGCAGAAAACACGTATGAAATACTTGTTGATTCCGAGTTTATTGTAATAACAATATTTGTCGTTTTGTTTCTCTTCTATCACAATAGAAATAAAAATATATTCTGTATGGAGTACTTTAATTTTTAACTCTGAAACTTTATATTATATTACCACAAATATTTTTATATTCAGATTGGTGCATACAGTTTTTTTTTTTTACGTTATAACATGCGAGAAGTCTGTGTGGCATGAAAATGTTCACGACACCTTGATGTGAGTCGCGGAGAAAATCGTTTTAATGCACATTCTGCTCGGTTACATCATATTACAGACATGTGTTTCGTAATTAGCGTCAACTGATCGTTAATTAATGACAGAACCAAATGTTAGTTCTTCGAAAGATAAATGTATTCACGTGACGAAGTGTATTTTTTTAGACCAACTTGTAAACGACGAGCGTCTTATCTCGAATTGCAATTATATATCGAGCGCATTTTTATCAATTCTCTGTCACTACGATTGTAATTGGTAAATTCCAAGAAAGAATGTGTAGTAAGTTTTTTGAGTAGTCCACTCCACACATCTCACGTACGCACACACAAACGTACTTTAGTAAAAGACGGTTCGGAAAGACGTCGCTAATTATAACACGTGGTTAATAACAAAAGATCAATATAAAATATCTCACGCTGAATAATTTTTCCCCGAAGAATTTACCGCTCGATTGCAGCCAACGTGTATTTTTCTTCTTTTGTCGTGTGTTGTCACATCATGTTCATCTACTATCTCTTCCGTACAAAGTGTCCTTAAACAGTTTTAATGTCGATAAAAATTTCATTTTTTTTTTTCCTACTCCTCTTATTCTGATTTTAGTATGCAAGTTATATCATACGTATATTTTTATTTTATTTTAAATTTATATTATATACTTGTATATATTGATGTAATTTTTACTTCATCTAATGTTTTCATAGTCGCTATCTCAAGTTTGTCCAAAAAAGCAATTGCAGGCCGATATTACACTGTAGACAACAAGAACAATTACATATAGGTACGTACGTTATATAAGATACGCATTTTTTTTTTTGTCTCTTGGTGTGCATATAAATAATAATAAATTTATCAGACTTGAAAGTAAGTTTTCTGTTTCTTTCTTTTCTGGCCATTTCTCTCGCCGCAATCCGTCTTTACCCTATCCATCTATCTTACTTTCGTCGACGCGATCTAGACGCGATAGCTGTAGCCGTCGGTGGGTTTGACATCGATACGCGAATTCGCATATGCGCGCGCGGTCGCGATGTCCAGGAGTGGCGCTGCGCTACGTGAAAGCCGCCTTTGCCAGTCGCTACGTTGCTGAAAAATGTGGCAATGTCGCCCACAGAACTTGAGAAGGCCGATTTAAAGATGGCCGCGTCGCGGTCGTCCGATCGTCGTGTCGTGTCAATCTCGAGGGTTTTTTCGGGATTGTAGAGAGTCGATCGAGCCGCGGGGCTCGCGAACGGCGTCCCGGTGATACGTTCCTCACCTGACGACGTTTGTAATTTCGAATCCGACACGATTGCGGGAGTGGCGGACCTCGCCGAATGATGATTCAACATCTCGCGTAATAAAACGTGTGTGTGTGTGCCAATCATGAATTGTCATCAGATACTGAGCGGCGCCTGCAATGCGGGCGATCGCTGTTACGCCGTCGGTTCCGTCGAGGGAATTTCCTTCACTGTAAGTCCCATGTCGTATATGTACGTCGACGATTGATCGTCGTTACGAAGCGAAACGTGTCGCTCGCAATTAGCCAACCAGCTTCGTAATCGATGTCGTACGAAATTTTCGTGCGCGATCGCACGACGAAAAAGTCGATACTCTCTTTCTCTCTCTCTCCCTCTCTCCCTCTCTATCTCGCATTATGGAAGTCAGCTGATTGAATGACATTTCGAGTAGACGAAAAAAATTCCAATTCGTTCAAGTTTTCTTAGGGTCTGTCACGTCCTTCTTCAACAAATGATGAAAATATATTGTTATTAAATGTGCTGTATATATATGTACTCGAATATGTTTCGTAGCGACGATTGGCATTTAAATGTTAAAAAAAAAATAATTGTCGAGTTCTGTCAAGCGGAAAGATCTGCAAAATTTCGTACTTTGAGAGAGAGAGAGAGAAGCAAAGTTCTCTTCATAAGATGTAATAATATAATGCGATATGACGGATACATGTAGAAATAAAAAAAAAAAGTATCGAATAAAAAAACTCTCAAATCTCCTTTAACAAATTACATCTATTCTACTGTATATCTAGGCATATGCGGCTGGATGCAATATTGTGATCTTAGCCAACAACTTTGAGAGAGTTCAAATAATTCCTGGTGCAGTGCACAATTATATTAGAATCAGCTGTTTGGATTGCAGCACAGATACAGGAAAAATAGCCGCAGCTTATGAAAACCAAGTCTGCATCTTTGAGCCAACACCACTTATACACAGCACCTGTTCACACGTTTGTATCTATCTATATACACATGAAATATATATGTGGTTCACAATTTTTGATATAAATTTTCTTCAAAATCTCTTTCTCTTTCTAACAGCAATTAGAATATAGATGGGTTCAAACCGGAAGTTTGCAAACAGAATCGAACATCACTTCCTTATCATGGAACTTGGAAGGAACAAGATTGTTAACAGGTGGAGAACTGTTGCAATTATGGCATCAAAATATTATGCCATTTCAAGAAGAACACTGTAAGTAAAATATCTCACAAATCAGTTTAAAAAATAAATTTTGTACAATTATAAAATCTATTTCTTATTTATTTGAAAATATTTTTGTGTAACAAATTTAGATTTGCTATAAAGAATTCAATTTGTGCATGATATGTACATGTAACAGAATAGGTGAAATCTATTAAAGACACATTGCTCATCATTTTTTTATATTAATTTTAAAATGTAAGAATGATGTCATATTTCTCGTTACTTGATACAGCAACATTGCCTACTGCTACAAAACCGAAAACATTACAAACAGAAGAAGCCAGCACAACTGGAAGCAATCATAATGTTACAGCAAACGTTTCTCAGGATCGTGAGTTCATTCTTCTTGAGAATGAACATTATAGCATTGGTGTTATGTGCATGTTAACACATACCATAGCTTTGCTATCGCACTGTGCATTTGTTTAACCAAAGTTTAACCAAATTGTTTCTGCAATCAATGCTATTACGATTAAAAAAAATTTCAATATTTATTTTGCTATAAATATAATAGACACAAACCTAGATAAAGAAAGGTACTTTTTTACATTCTACCGGTTTAAGTGCTTAATGTTTACACTTTGTCACATAAGAAAGAGTGCATTAGTGTAAAATAAACCACATAATACATATTTTACACACAAAAATGATAACTGTAATGCAAATTTTTATTTTTTTTGTTATTAAATCACTAGGCATTGTTATCAAGCTTCTTTTATTTGCATTTCAAATATATACATTGTTTATGGTCGCGAATATTGTTGTTACATGTATTTTACATATACTTCTTTTTAACAGCTGGCGCGGTGACATTTTCAATCGGAGGAGAAGCCGAAAGTCCCGGACCTGGGGACACATCTAGTGCAAATGATCCAGGTGGATGGAATTGTGTATGGAAATGCCGCACAGCCACACCAGTCCATCTTATGAGTTTCAGTCCTGATGGCACTCTATTCGCGACAACAGGAATGAACGATAGATTGGTGAAAATATGGTTTGAAAACAAACAACGTATGTACTTTTTTCTACTTAACAACGATAAGCCAATAATCTCACAAGAGATTATATTATTGAAATCTATTATTTGCTTTTTCAGTGTTTCCAGCAAGAAGCATGGATCATACGAGTTTTTGTCAGTCTATAGGTAGTGATAATTTTAGTTTCGTCTATATTGCACACCCACGTGCCGTAACGCATCTTTCCTGGCGCAAGACAAGTAAATACATGCCGAAGTAAGTGAACAAATTCGATAATTGATTTTTTTTGTGGATATAAGAAGTGATATTTATTCTTAATATTTCGTTTTTCCCTGTCTGACAAATTAGAGGTTCTGTATCTAACATGTTGGTTACCTCTTGCCGTGATAATATATGTCGAGTGTGGGCGGAAACAATACCGCCCGAGATAGAAGGTTTAGCTAATATGAGCCAGTATGAAGGCTCCGACAGGCATGGTCATCATGGCAAACATCGTCATCATAATATGCACAAACATCGATTTATGCAACGGCTGAAACATATGAAGTACGGAGATCTTAAATATATTGTTTATAACTATCTTAAAATCTAGAGAAAGAAAAATTGTGTTTTTATTCAATTTTTTAATTTAATAAAATAATAAAATATGTAAAATCTCAACTTACAGAACATGTTTTCACATTCGGCGACATGCTAAGCAGCAGCACCAAGCTGGTCATACAGCGCCGACTCTGCCAACGCTTCCGTCTACATATTCTGTACACGATTTTCATAACAATTACCAAACGTCTGGTCATTATCCAGGAATGCATTTCCACCTGGCAGCTAGCATTAATGCAGAAACCGGTATAGTACTTTATTCTGCATAACACAAGCAACTTAGAGGTTTTGTTTTTTTTTGTGCTTTTTTTTTATGTTGGAATTACAGTTCTATACTGTTGAAATATTGGTAATCGTTAGTGGATAGTATACGTTCATGTTATAGATATACCGCTAGTACCGAGCCTAATTACCGGAGATCCCGAAAGAGAACCGAATTTTATCATACACTGGCTAAATAACAAAGAAATGCATTTCACCATGCAAGCCGAAAACATATTGCAGGAGTTGACTCGTAAAGTAGTGGAAAAAGAGGAAGGTTTGCAGCATCAAGATGCTGAACACGTAGAACATGATTCTGAGGATGAATGTGCAAGTATGCATTCAATTGTTTCTATATATTTTACATGAATAAACATATGTTGAATAAAAAAATACAATAATAATGATTTTTTTTCGTAGAAAAGGGAGTCCGAGTCCAAACAGTTCAAAAACCAGCTGTTAGTGGTCGATCGATGAGCCAAGAAGATCACAGTAGTGATGAACACCACACTACGCATACTACCTCATCTCATCACAGTTTAGCGCACAGTGCGCAGTCACATCCGAGTCTGAGGTAAACATTTTTGAAATTCTTTCTTGTTTTACATATGATGTTAACCCTATCGAATATAAGTAAGTTTCGTGTATGTTGGAATTTCCTGTTGCAGCAATACAACCTCCATTAACTCCATAGCGACAGACGCGACGTCCACGATGAACCACGTGCCGGATTCGTTGGATACAAAAATCGAAACATTGTTGCGCGATTGGCATCATAATCCGGACTTGCTGTTCTCGATACATCCGATAGACGGAAGCTTCCTGATCTGGCACATCGAGTGGTTGGACGAATATCATCCCGGATCTTTTCGACAAGCGCAGATCTCATTCTCCACTCGCATCCCGAACGCATTTCCGCTCGGCGACGCGTCGACAATGAGCCACAACGTATCGATGTATTCTCACAACACCGGTGGACCTTTGCTGAATATACGAGAGGTCGCGAAATCGTCAACCAAAACAACCGATCCTGACGTCGCGACACCTCTGCCCAGTCTTATAGAGCAGGATGAGGAACAATCTACTTTGACTTCAAAGGCGGGTCAAGAACTACTGAAGAACATGGAAAATACGCACGATCAGAATCAAGCGAAAGCTGACACTAGCGCGGAAAGTAATAAAAACGGTCAAGACGCGGATTTGTTAGGTCATCCTAGTCCGATTGTTTCTATGGTATCGAAACACTCGAACGGCACTTTGAATTTGTGGCAGTTAACCTTTGCTGACAAAACCAAGTTTTCACAAGTATTGAGTATAGGACATGCGTGCAGGGCTTCCGGACACCGCTTCCGCGTGAACGACATCACTTGCCATCCCGTTTTACCTCTGCTTGTGACAACTTCTCATCATAATATACCCGAATTTTCTGGCTCGATAGAATCTAGCGAGAACATCGCCAGCAAACACGACACTTGCAAAGACAAAGATGTGATGTCGCCCACTGGCTTTTGCAGCGAGTTGATATTGTGGCGGGTAGACGCGGTCGGGCCGCTATCGAAGAGCGGCGGAGTTTCCGAATTGGCGCGTATTAATTCGCCCGAGATATCGGCGTTTAGTAACGTGGCCTGGATACCGACGTTATTACCGAGCACCACGCTAGGCAATTTATCCAATTCACCCAGCGCCTGCTTCGTAGCTAGTGATGGTGAGTGTCTAAGAGTTTATCAAGCTGTTATCGACGCCCGAACGTTACTAGCCGAGGTTTCGATCAGCGAGAGAAGAAGCAGGATGATGGATTCCATGGCCAGCCTCTCGACGGACATGTCATCGGATGACGATGTCAGGCACTCCATTCACGATAGAATAAAAATTGTGTCTCAGCAGTCGACCGCGAGACCGGGATGCGTCATACAGCTGGACGCTATCGCCGATGCCACTCACGATTGGCAGAACACGCAGTTCCTTCATGTCTTTCAGGAGCAATTGATCACGGGCGAGAGAAGCGACGAAAAGCTGCCCGGTATCGATACGTCGAGCAACGATCTAGGACTGATGGAATCCACTCTGGACGCAATGGTGGATCTGCAGCAATCGGCGATCTTCGAAGAACCGTTTTACATAGTTGTTCTTGAGCGCACGCAACAGGGCACCACTGTGCACATGTGGCGATTGGTGATAGCGTCGCAACCCGAAACCACCGGCTTGTCGGGTTCGATGATGTACGTACCGGATTCCCATTTGGTTCAGGATGAAGACGACGAGGGAACGCCTGGTAGATTGAGCCACGCGGAAGGCAGACGATCGCGCAGACCTAGTCAAACGGGTAATCGTAGTCGTCGCGAGAGTCAAGCCGACATGGACTCCACGTTTTTGCCTCGACGCCATCAGAACAGCCACGTTCTCATCACTACAACGAAAGTTTGCACTCAGGAATTACCGTTGCCGGACGGAGTGGAGGTGATTCACGCCGCTCCCGCCGCGGGACACTTAAGTAGTTCTTCAATATATCCAGCGTGTTTCGCACCGTATATCATTGTGACAGCGTGCAGCGATAGCACTGTACGTTTTTGGAAATGCAAAGTGACGAAAAAGCTGGACGACAAACTCGACTACGAATGGTGCGAGTGGGAGATGATCAGAAAGGACCAAGAATCCACTATCGACATTACCGGTCAACCGTTGAACATAAGCGCTGCTTACAGCGGACGTATCGCCTGCGCTTACAAATACGGAAAGTCGTTCACACGTCCGACGAAAAGCGACCCGGACTCGCGCTACGTGAATCTCTGTGTTGCTATATACGAGTGCGAGAGCACGGGCGGCAGCGAGTGGATTCTGGAGGACACGATACATCTGAAAAACATACATCTGCCGCGTATACCGGTGGATCAGCATTTGGATCTTAGTTATTTGTACGACAGCAGGTTCTTGCAGAAGAAGCAACGGCTTACTCAGGTACTGCAGACTCTCAGTCACGAAGACGTGAGGTCTTCGAGGAACGGGGAAAACGGTGATTCCACGAAAGCTGGCTTGCTGGCGGTGCCGTCGTTCAGTACTCTGCAATCTTTGCGAAAATCGATCATAGAGAACGGCAACACTTGCCCGCTCACGCAGAAGCATCTTGTTCAGCTTGATTGGGTGTCCAAAGAGGATGGCTCGCATATATTGACTGTGGGTGTCGGTTCCAAAATCATGTTGTTCACTCCGGTGTGCTCGGATCTGGCGCAAGCGAACATGAAAGCGATGAAGGAATCGCAGAGCAACAACAGACCGATACTGAGGAAGACGTCGTCGTTGGCTCAACCCCAATTCGTCGACGAGATCCGATGGATGAAGCTACGCAAGATCGAGCTCACAACAGCGGACGGTTTACCGCCACTGCCGATGCAAATATCTTGGGTGCGCGACGGCATTCTGGTCGTAGGCATGGATTCCGAAATGCATGTGTACTCGCAGTGGAAGCCGAATCCCAAAAACGACTGCTTCCATTCGAATCTGCAACATCAAGAGTCCGACGAGTTTCAGGCGAGTCGAAATTTGCGCGACGAGGATCTGCGCACGTTGGCACACGAAACATCTCAGAGGCGACTGGCGAACGTGTCTTCCATGCCGCATTTGTCGCGCGTCAGCAGCATCAATCTAACGATGCTGGACGCCAAAAAGAAGCGCGGAATACAGAACGAGAACCTGAGTTTCGATTACATGCCTGATTACGGATTGTTCGAAGCGTCGCGAATAGCGTGTCCGGTTTTACCTCAGTATCATCCCAAACAGTTGATGGAATTGTTAAATTCGGGCAAGATCAGGTGGGTGAAAGCCATATTGGCGCATTTGGTTCGATGTATAGGTAGTTCCTGCTCTCTGCGAGCCGACGACGAGAATTTGGTGAAGCAGCGCGGTGGATGGTCGCGATCGCGAACAATGTCAGTCAGCTATGTGGGCACGACGTCGCCGCTAGAACCAAGAGGCTCGACCACACAGATACCCGAGGAATTGACGCTGGATTACGCGGAGATCACGTCTATCTCCCCGTTACCGTTGTGGACTCTACTGATGGCTGACAAAGAGACCAGTCTGCCACATCAGCAGAACGAAGACAAGCACGATTACAATGAATTGTTCGATAGCAATGTGGACGAGGGAGACTCGTTGGATGATATGTTGGACGAGGAGTACGAATGTTCGCGCCAGAAGGACAGACGATCTTCGGTGCCGGAAAGGCAAGGCATATCTCACTTCGGCCCCAGACAAGGTCGATTGCTGTCGCGTCTCTTGACGCACACTCATCTTCCCGGACTGTCCAGTCTCGATCAGATGCATCTGCTCGCTTTGGCGGACACCGTGTCGACGTGTAATGTCGATTTCGCGGAGAGATTTGCGATCGATGCGGCGAAGAACGCAATCGCCAAAGAAAATCTCACAGGTATTCCGGACGGCGAGACCGTGTCCACCGACTCGTTAGACGACTGCGGCCTCAGATTTCTCCTTGCGATGAAACACTACAATTACTTGATACGTTGCTTGCCGCTAGTGCAGAGAGCACAGTTTCAGAAACAAGGCATCGCGTCAAACAATCTCGTGTGGGCGTTCCACTCCGAATCAGAGGAGGAACTGCTGGGTTTGATTCCATCGTACGCAAAAGGTCAACCGAAGTGGTCCGTGCTAAAGGAACTCGGCGTTGGCTGGTGGATCAGGAGCAACACGGTGCTGAAGAAGTGTGTGGAGAAAATAGCAAAAGCTGCTTTCCAAGACAAACAAGATCCCCTGGACGCAGCTATTTATTACTTGGCGATGAAAAAGAAGAATCTGGTGTGGGGTCTATTCAGGAACAAGCGAGACGATCGAATGACCACCTTCTTTTCAAACAATTTCGCCGAGAACCGATGGAGAAAGGCGGCTCTAAAGAACGCTTTTGCTCTACTCGGCAAACAACGATTCGATCACGCGGCAGCATTCTTTTTGCTAGCTGGTGCGCTGAAAGACGCCATCGACGTGTGTTTGAGCAAACTGAACGACATTCAACTAGCGATGGTGATAGCCAGATTGTACGAGAACGATACCTCGTCTCCCAATATGAGAAGATTGTTGTACGAAGAGATCTTGGGTTGCGACAAGGACGGGCAAAATCAGGACATGAGCAGAGTGCATCCCGATCCCTTCTTACGTAGCATGGCTTTGTGGATTTTGAAGGATTATTCCGGTTCTCTCAACACTTTACTTTTGACCAATGTTGGCCACATGCATCCGCAATATGACGACGAGTCCGACAAACCGGAGGGAACAACAGCGAATCCCAATGTCTTCAACTTCTACGTTTATCTTCGCACACACCCGTTATTAATCAGACAGTACATTGCGTCCACAGCACAAGACAAGAAGAAAGGACATTCGGTAGTAATCTCAGGATTCAGTTACGGCACGGAAACCAAGAGTCAACCGGACAAACAGTTGTTATTGGAAGATAGTATCACACCGTTGGAAAGACAACTATATTTTACAACAGCGCACGCACATTTCAAAGCCGGCTGTCCAGCTCTTGCTCTCGAAGTTTTGTCCAAACTGCCTAATAAAGTTTTGGATACGAACGGCGAGGACTCTCCGAGCTTACTAAACAGCCCGAGCAAGTCCAGGGCTCAAGATACTCAAATAGATACCGGTATTATTGATTGGGGAAATGAATCGAAGGCGGTAAACAATGATAACGAAATAGTTAGCTCAGTAGATTGGGGTGCGTCATCATTTGATTGGTCCCAGAGCGGCAGACGCATGGACGAGGATAAATTAGAATTAAATTGGGATGATGATGCGGGTGAAGATGAGGATGCCGATAGTCCTCCTATGAGTATGAAACTTGATAAAAAAGAGGAAAAGAAAGAAGAAGATAACACACAAAAGGATATTGATAATGGTAAAATAACTTGTGTTTTCTTAAATTTTGCATTTTTTCATTTAGTTAATAACATTATCAATAAAAATAATGACTATTTTAGAGGACTTAGCAAAGACGGCTGGCCAATTGGATATTATGGCGCAACAATTAAAATTCGTGGCTTGCCTGAAAATTTTAATGGAGGAATTGTCGACTTTAGCTACGGGTTTCGAAGTAGATGGAGGCCAGCTGCGATATCAATTGTACGTGTGGCTGGAACGAGAAGTAGACGCATTGAGGCAACTTTGCAATTACAGTACCAACGTAGACGGAGATATGAACAACGTAACAGAATGTAATTTTTTTATTTTCTTTTCTTTTTATATATTGGGACAATTTTAGAAAATTATAAAATTGGAAATCGATAATGTTATATAACAGAAGAATGATTTTGTTCACAGATGAAGGCGGTATGGTTGACGATGTGCCGCCATACAAGCCCGGTGAACAACCAACATTACATCAAATATTGGTGGCGGAGAAGTTGGACTTCGAAGCTAAAGTGCAAAGAGCTGCTAAGAGAAAGAAATGGCTGAAAGGTGAATTACGTTAATTTTATCTCATTGTATTGATTACTTACTGCTAAAATCGCCTTTGACAAATAATAAATTTGTAAAAAGTAAAATATTAATACGTTAATATACATGTAAAATTTTAAAATATACATTTTACGACTTTCAGCTAATGAAACGTTGCTGAGAACATTACTGTCTTACTGTTCATTGCATGGCGCATCAGGCGGTGGCCTCGCGTCAGTGAGAATGGAATTGGTACTTTTGCTACAGGAATTGCAACAAGAAAAGACTCAACAGCAATTGCTCAGTCCTCTTCCTTTCCCTACTACCCTACCTCTATTGAGTGCCAGCGTTGCTTGCAACAAAACCGTCGTAGCTGATCCAGTTCGACATCTGCAGTCTCTCGCGCATGATATGCTGCAAACACTAGTAGAGCTCCGCAACCTGCCGATGCCTAACAGAAATACGCATTATTGCGAAGTATTTATTATGAGAGACTTAGCAGTGGCGCTCAGTGCCTGTATTTACCAATCGCTTTGTGATTCGGATACATTCGTAATGAAGCATCATCAACCAGATAGGTAAGTCATTGTCTTAATTTTATAATTATAAGTCAGTCAATTGTTATATATCAATTGTGCTCAGCTTCCCGACGGTCGCAGAAGTGGAAACATTTTCGGGTGGTCACTTGGTAGCCTCAAACAGGTACCACCGACGATATTCAACGGACGATGGTGTATGCATAACTACCTCACCTTCCAAGTGGCCGGGAGTGACGAATTTACGAGCGTTGCTAGCTCGCGAGAAAGACGAGGACACCCCGAAACTCAATATTCTGCTCTGCGAAGCTTTTGTAGCAACATACATGAGTCTGTTTATTTACGCTCTGTCAAGTTGCGACAGCCACATTTTGTACAGGCTGGTCGGACATCACTTCGACAACAACACATGGGCGAGTCTGTTTGGTGGTGGAGTCAAGAAGCTGCTGCGCGTTGCGAGCACCACCAGTAGCCAGGTATGTAATTTAATGTTTCGGTGTATGTTTTTTTGAAAGTATTGGTTTTATTTTTGCGTGTGTTTTCTTCTCGTAAGGGTGGTAACTCAATCAGCGTCGAGCGAGCCGACAGCGTGGCGAGCGAGATTCAGAACACCGCCAGCGGCATGTGGAACACCATGACGTCGCTGACGAAACAGCGCGTCAAACTTAACATGAAGCTACTAGGACAATTTACGGGTCAACAGCCGAATATGAAGGAAGATAAACCTACGTATAGAGAACAATTTGTTTCGCCGCAAATGAGTATGATTTCCTACTTTCTCATGAAGGTTAGATATCAAGAAATCTTCTCACACGCTACTCGTCTTTAGTTTTGTTCTATCATTGTAACAAATATGCCGGTTTTTAGCCACGCATAGAGACTGAATACGCCGACGATATTGATTATGATTCTTCCGATTCCGCCGTGTCGGACCTGGACTCTACGGACGACGAGGAAGACGTGTTCGAGACGAGTTCGAAACCAAAGAGCAAACCAAAGGATAACACGGAACATAGTAACTCTAATTCGTACAGTTGGAGCGTAATGAGATTAGCGATAGTTAAAATACTGCAACAACAATTGCAGGATTTCCTAACTGTTGCCGGCATAGAAATGCAAGGTACAATATAATAAATTGTATTATCTTTTAAACAAAGGTATAAATCAGTCAAGTATAAATATCGCTCGCGGCATTATTAATAGTGATGTTAAATAATGCAACGGTTATTCTAGAATTACCTGTAAGTAGTCCACTGGTCCATGGTACGCTAGGCATTGTCGCACAATGGCAAGATTCTTTACGCGAAGAATTAGAATTCAAAGGTCCGCCACCAGCGAATTACATACCAGGCTGTGCACCAGATCCCTCTCCTACGCCGGGAAAACCAGCTATACACAAATATCGATCTTTGCTAGAGAAAGGAAACACACCCTTTAAGTGAGCAACGCACAATTTTTCATTCAATTAAATATCAAAAGTACAAGTGGTGTCAAACAAAAATATTGTTGTGTCTTTAGCACGCGATTGGCGTCCGCAGCGCCTGCGAATCGCTTATGGTGTTATTTAGTCAGACAAGAGTTGGTTCAAGATATCTTCATTCGCGCGGTATTCGGAAAACGAAGATCTCTGTCGACAATACTTGAAAGCAATCAGTCGGCCGTTGATGGTGTGCACCGTGGAACTGGAGAAGACAAGGGTAGTGATAGTGGCACTACAAGCTTACCAGAACCAGTTAGGATCATCCATAAAGAACAAGATAGCATCAGTGCCTTCTGTCTCAATCAGGTTTCAACATTGTTCTTAGATTCTTGTTTTACCTATAATAATATTTGTTACATCTTTTAACACATTGCCAATGAGAAACGATAATTGTTGTTTTTATAAAAATATGTGTTGAAAAATTATCCATCGGCAATGTGTTAAAATCGATAAATTTAAGTATTTGATTCTCCCTCGATTTTCTATTACTTTCGATATTAAATATCACTGATCATGCGTAGGTAAATCCAGGTTTAATGGCCCTTGCTACGCCTCGAGAAGTACAGGAAATGAATATTTCTCTACTACTGGAACTTCCGTCGTGGTTGGAAGATGAATGCGAATTCGACATTATTAACTTAAACAAGCAGCCTGATCCGGAACCTGTACAGCCAACTAGTTTCCTAGTTATACAAGTATGTTTGAAAGATACTATTATTTTAGAATTATATGTGTGATTGAAAAAATAATTCATATTGTTTAGAAAAACTATATTACCTTCACAGTTAACATACATTTCATTTGCAGACAGCAGCAGATCGTCCCTTGTTAGCACAAAGCCCTCAGCAGAACAGTCCCCAACCACATTCAGGTATAGCCAGTCAGAGTGGACGTGGTGCAAGTGTGGTAAGTTTCTAATTATATCATAATTTACACATAAAATATATAATATAAATAATATAAAAATGTCTCGCTTTCATTACATTTTCATTTATCAAAAGTTTTGTCTTTTTAATGAAATATCTCATAACTCACATTATTAAATATAAAACAGTACATCATTGAAAAAATTGAAGGATAATAATTTACCGAAAGCAAATCAGTTTGTGTAACATCGTAAATATGACGAGAAATACACAAGTTTGAAATAAAATATTTTATGAATAAAAATTCAAATCATGTAAATACAATTCACATTAATCTTACGTAGAAAATTTGATTCACTTAATTGGTTTGGTTTTTTTCGCACTACTATTTAATGCTGAGGTTTTTCTCAGATTAAGTAAGAATAAAATGCATTATGAGCGCTCTTTCTCTTCTGTGTTCAATTGATATTTGTTTTACTACATATTATTCTATCACAGAGAATAGAAACAGATTATATTTACTTTTGTTTTGAGTGCAACGTATACATCTATGTGTTGTTTTTTAAGATGTGTATGCGTGCGTGAGTGTAAAAATTGTACAATTAATTATTATCGCAAAAGAGATCGTATATCTCTAAGAGCAAAATAATTATTCCACACGTATATAAAAAGCTTGATTTTTATCACAATTAAGAAGATATTTATAATTTTAACTATTCCTTGCAAGTATCCTGGCAACGAGAACTCTCTCCGGTAACACAGAAGATTTAATAAGAAGTTTCTAATGTGCTTTTAAAAAGTGAGAATGTATGCCGAGATATAGGAAATGTGTGCTGTCCCACTCGAAATAATGAAAGAAAATCCATATGTGTACCAAAGTTTCTGTAACGCATTATATATTATATATATTGTATATTTGTTTGTTTGATATCACTTCACCCTATAAAGAACGTCTTTTATGATTTTTTTTTTACTTTTACGTACGTAAAACAGTAATATTCTTGCGCAATATTCATGCATTTACGGTGAGAATGACACAAATGTAGAAGCAGTAATTTGCACCAAAAATAAGAGAAACATGACTATAAATAAATCGTACATTGCATGATACATATTTGAGACCAAAAGAGTATGCACTGTGTCTCACTTATCAGGATACGGTGAGATTCAAGGCTTGTTTTATCTATAAATGTTGCAACTAAATTTATCGATTTGTTTAAAATCAAAAAAGAAGCTCGTTGATGACGAAACATCTTGATTATCTCTCGATTATTTGTCCTTTTAAACAATTACCTAACAATAAAGTTATTTGTTGCTTTTTTTGAAAAACTGATACAACAAAAAAGTATATGTATATTTTGCGAAACAAGCCTTGCGAACCGTGAATGTGGTGTATTGGGTTAGGGTAGCACAATTGGTGACGGAGACAATGTTGCTTGTTCAATGCTTGCCTAACATCTAACTCGGTCTGCGTCACTGAACTGGCGGCTCATTCGCTCGCTCAGATGAAGGGGATGCCTGCTTTTCCTGGCTCCCACGACCTGCGTTTCTGTCAATTTGTCGCTGATAGGAGCAAACACTTGTTAAAGCCGGTGAGATTTACATCTAACAGACCCTAGTCTATCCTAGTGCAAATTTCATGTTAAATTTTTTGGGCAACAAACAGATTATCTGACTTGTGATAAATATATAATCCACGTGCAAAAGTTATTATATGTGCAATTAACAGAATCAAAAGATTGTCCAAAAACGTATTAACTTACTGAGACTTTTCACTACTTTTGCAAGTCAGTTATTACAAGTCAGATGTATCTTTCAGAAAGAACACAGCTCAACCAGAAGGCCTATTGTTTTAGAAACATTTGTTATTGTTATTTTTGTCTAAGAACTCATAGCGATATGTGCACAGTGCATTGATATTATATTTTCCTTTGCTTTCGTATAATCGTATCATACGAAGGAAGAAAAATATCAGTACATAATATATATATATATATACATACATGTATACAATATGTCCTTTAATTGTACACACATACATGTTTACATATTCTCATTTAGCAAATCTGCTCCTAGATTTTCATATAGACGTTTAATTGATGAGTGAAGCTCACTATTCTTATCACGAGTATTATGTTGAATGTATTTAAATGAATATGATTGGAGAATGTGGGTAATATATCTAACTGCATGTGCTATTATATATTACTTGAATTTACATGTACATGACGATCGCGCGCGCGCACGCGCGCGCTAATCGCGTTTTTGTATATTTACGTACACTCTTTGTGGTATCATAGATAATTTATTTATAGTTTCAATGTTCTCTCTCGTACATTTTCAACATAAAGATCATGTGAATTTCGAATACGTAGAGCTCCATTGACGTTTCTTACATGTACGTTTCATGATATGTACAAAACTCATGTATGTACACGTTTTTCACATGTGTTATACCTCAAAACATCTGCGATATGCTCATTGTAGAGAAGATAAATAGTTATAGAACATCTCATTTCGCAAGCCGACGGGTTCAAGAAAAAAAAAAAAAAAGACAAGCCAGCCTATAGCACTAGTTAATTATTTTCTTGACGAGAGAAACTCGCTGCAATGTTTGAAACGCATGCTACATGTTTATTATATGCAAATCTATCAAAACGTAACTTTGCGTTTATAGCATAACACCCGCAGAACGTCGTCATATACTTTGTACGTAAATCAATAATTTGCCGAATGTGTTTATGAGAAATTATGTTTTACTCTTCTGCTGGAACATATTTATATTATAAATGTACATATATCTTTATTTCCCTGGAAAAATTTCTTTTCGCGCATTAATTCAACCAACCGTTTGCAATTTGATCTCGACAGATTCTGAAGCACAAGATCGACGGGATCCGAAGAATTTCTTCTCATCCGCTCTTGCCGCTATGTGAGTTAATAACGCTCGTTATTCCGACGTTTGTGCGCGTGAAGTTTCGAAGCAATAACATTTATTCATTCGTTCGCAGATTTGACTGGATCGCAAGACGGTTCCGTTTCGTTGTGGGAATGGGGACATCAGACGTCGGTCGCTACGCCGCGGGCACCGGGCACCTTCGCCAAAGTGACTCGCGTGCGATTCTCCCAGCACGGCAACAAGTTTGGCGTGGCCGATTCCGACGGCCACCTGAGTCTGTTTCAAGTGGCTTGTCGGGAAGGAACGGCTCGACCATTCTTTGTAAGAACAAATTTCTTACATCAAAGTCGGTACGCAGAATATGCATCCGTAACGGCAATTTGTTTTTCAGACTTATCAGTGTCACAGTAAAGTGACCTCGGACTTCGTCTTTCTCGGCGCGTGCAGTCTCGTGGCCACCGCGGGTCACGGTTCGGAAGGACGAAATGTCGCGTTGTGGGACACGTTGTTACCGCAAAACAAGTCTCTTGTACAAGGTACAGACACGCTAAATGCGTCTCTCAAAGTTGCAAGTGACATCTTTTTTGCGTTCTTTTTGTAATTGTGTATACGATCGTTCAGGATTCACGTGTCACGAGCAAGGAGCAAGCGCATTGATCCTGGCACCGCAGCATCAGTTGCTAATCAGTGGCGGCAAGAAAGGTGATATTAATATATTCGACGTACGACAACGGCAACAAAGACACAGATTCCAGGCACATGAGTCGGCCATTAAATGCCTGGCGCTTGATCCGCACGAAGAATTTTTCGTTAGTGGGGCAGGTGATGGTGATATTAAGGTAAAAACGAATCACTGATACATGTTAAACATATTCTTAAGGAAAATACGATGTTGTTTTTTTTCTTTTTTTTTTATAACAATTGGTTTCTGATATTTCATTCCTAGATATGGGGTTTGACCGTCCATTCTCTCCTCTATTCGTTTCCTGCTGAGCATCCACGGTCCAGTTTCTTCAAAAATATAGGCCAGGTATTGCACAATGACAAACGATTTTTTAACACGTGAAACGTGTAAAAAATGTAATTTTTTATGTTTTGTCACACAGGGTGTTACTCAGTTACACGTAGACTCTGCGGGTCGATTGTTCTCGTGTGGGGCGGATGGTTCGATGAAAGTGCGTCAACTGCCAGAACGCGATTGTGTAATACAAACGCTTTATTAGAATTAAAAAGCAAACTACGTGAAACACGATGAAAGAGAAAATAACCATGTAAGTATATATTATAGATTACGCGAAAGAGTCGATATTTATTAATTATATATGTACATATATAATTATAGTTTATATAATCATATATGTACATATGTATGTATGTGTGCACAAGAGAGTGAAAGCAAATCGTTAAAGAAATTTATGCAATTCATTGATAATCGTTGTTGTACAATATACCCCCACTACTTGTACATACAAACACTATGTGCAAACGTTATAGTTAATCGTTTGCATAGTTGGTGTTGTAACAAGTGCGCTATATATATATATATGAAAACTGTTATATTTATAAATATATATATATATATATATATACACATAGTTTTGTTTCGAGAATTACTTTACTCTTATGTAAGTAGTGAATTCTGCACGAACATCGTTGTTATTGTCCAAACTTGAAGGAAAAGCTGAAATGTACGTGTATATATTTTATGTATACACACAAATATACATGGATGTCCCAAATCTACCAAAATTATTTTAATGACAGATTTTTTTTTGGAACATCTTAAAATGAGAAAATGTCACATGAATCCTATATTTATTGAATCATCTTTTAACTGCTTGCTGCTTCACCTTACTCCTAACACGCAAGTGTCAGCTTTGTGAGTTTTAATTGCGTACAATTCGAGAACTCGTGACGAGTCTCAACATTTTCGTATTAAGGTGTTCCAAAGGCATTAAATTACTTTCTGGTAGTTTCGGCACAACTTGTACACAGTATACACTCTTAGGTGGCTTATTAAAGCGTTTTCCTTGTTTAAAAAAAGAAAAAAGAGAAAAAAAACCAAAGCAAATAATCGTAAAAACGACACTGTATTTTTCTTTAGAATATATGTATCTCGTATGAAGCAGCAGCAAATAGTACTAATGATCATTCCTTTCTCACATGAAAGTATAATAAACTAAATGATTCGATGAAGAGATCACATGTATAATATATAATAATCTTCTCGTATTTTAATATATATATGTAAAAAACTATGTGTATTTTATAAATAAGTTGATGAGGTTAACTATTTAGCTAATGATGTCTAATTTTTGAACGACGATCAAGCTGATCTTAATTACGATCACGATATTGTAGTGAAATGAGTTATTTCGTTACGCGCTAGAGAGGGAAACCCCGGTTTTCTCGTGTATTATTTGTCGCAAAATATAGAGAGAATGTGTGCAGACGTAAGTTATTGTGTCATAAATATAGTTCGATAAATTCAAACGAGTCCTCGTGTATTGAAAGTATTCTTCTTCGATGCTTTCTCCCATCGTCGGTATTCTGCAGAATTATAATATTATATATATATATATATATATATATAATATAAATATGATATACAATAATAGTATTCGCGCGTCACAGAGGTGTGTAATTGTAAAGAGGTGTGTATCCATATGAGCACGGGCATTTTCGGATCAAAAATATAGACCTTGAAATCTGTGTTGCCTTTTGATGAACTTTTCTCTCTTTCTATCTCTTTTTCTCTTTCAAAAATCTACGGTACTTACATATAGCTGATAACGATTACAACGTAACACCGCAATATGCTTTACCTTAGTGTACATACAGACATGCATTGCCGCCAATAGCAGAAATGCCGAATTATTTAATTAAGTAAATGTTACCTCTGACAAAAAAAAAACAATTGATGAAATAACTGACTCAAGAATTTGTTCACTTCTTCAGATGATTCACTTAAGCCTATTTTAATAAACAATTTCCGCTATCTCTATCCACACACGAATGTCTAGAGATATATATATATGTATTTTTCTCGTATACAGAGTTTTGTAAATATTACCCAAAAATTACTCGAGTAAGCCGTTTAATGTGAATTTATTTGTGTATGGATAAAAAATGCCAATTGTAATCTTAAATTAATATCTTTTCCTCTCGTTGCGACATTTTTCTGAATATAATTGTTGCAAGAATGTAGGATGTGATTTTTTTCTGTTAGAAAATATACATATGTAAATTAAGTTACACGAGAAGATTTTATTTTTGTTAAATGTGCGTACGCACGCACGCGCGCGCGCACATACACACACACGTTGAATAGCACTTAAGTTTAAATTTGTCATTAAATATAGACAATGCGTCATCCGTGTAGTGACATTTTCAATTTCTTGCATTTCAAAATTACACGAAATATCAATTAATCTATCAAAAGTATGAAGAAATGGATAAATTTATATTGTGTGAAGTTGCGCCTAATGATTTTTACATATATTTCTTTCTTCTGTTATGTGCGTTAAAAAATAATGATATAAAAAACTTCTACGCGGAGCCAGTATTTTGTCCTAATTGAAGGCTGATAATAACAAATCTGTAATACACAAGTGTTTCTAAGAAATATTAATAAATATATATATATGTACGATTATATATACAATATTTCTGTGAATCTGTTTGAACTGTTGTAAAGATATATATATGATATTGTATACTGAAATAAAAAATAAATATATTGCAAATTAATATATATATATATATACACATATTAAAACATATATTAAAAATATTTTTAAGAATACAGTTTTTTTTTTAAACACAGTGTAAATAGTTTTCATTATAAAAATGGTTAAATATTTGCAACGTACGTGTGTGTTTCTGTATATACGTACAACAAACAATACGTAGGTGTAGAGTTTACAGGATGAAGATAAGGAAGAAGAACAAATAATCGACACTCGAGAAAATGGATTTGTGAAATCGCAGATCTATTTGTAAGTAGATTTTCATCACGTGTCGAGCATGTGACGCGAGAACGTCTCTTGATATATATTACTATTATTAATCATCTTTTGTAATTATATTTAAATGCATATTTTTAAAAGTAATCTGCTTACTTTGTAAAGAATATAAAGCAAAAAACAGTTTTGCTAAAACGTCACTGATGCGAACTCCATATTATTATGGAATGGTTCTTACGGGCGACAACGTTCCAGGAAACGCGGATATAGGCATACTTCGCGTATGTGGTATCTGTTCAACATCCAACAGAGAAATCGTTCCAATCCCAATCCGTAACCTCCGTGAGGACAAGTTCCGTACTTTCGCTGTAAAGCCAAACACACAATGAACAAGTAACTCTTATTTTGATTTTTGCAATTTATTTTTATCTCGAGTTTTCCTTGATTTTTACCTGGTCCGTGTACCAGTAGTACGAAGTTGGATCGATATTTTCGCGTTTGTAACCTTCCATCAATTCTTCGTAATCCCAAATACGCATTGAACCGCCAACGATTTCACCCACGTTCGGTAAAAGTACGTCGACGGACTCGGTCAAGCGATTATCTTCCGAACAACGTTGCATGTAAAACGATTTAATTTCAGCAGGAAAACGGCAAAGCATTATCGGTTCGTTGATAGTATCGGTCATTTTTCTTTCTGGCATTTCTGGAATGTCCTGCAAAAAACGGCTGCATGTTTTATTTTCTTAGAAAAGACAAAGCACACACAAGAGAGAGCACGTACTTCTCCAAATTCGTAAAAACTGCCGTCTTCTTTCGTGATGTTGTGCTCTCGCAAATATTCGATCGCCTCGCTGTAGTTCATTCGCTTGAAAGGTTTCTTCGGCACTTGGAAGTCGGGGTTCAATTCCTTCACTATATGGGCATAAGGCGATTTCAGAACTCGATCGACTACATCGCAAATCAAGTCTTCTAATCGGTCGAGTAAATCATCAAACGAAATAAATGGACATTCCGCTTCGATGTGCGTGTATCTAAATATGAACGTAACAATCAAATATAGTACGCCAAGGAAAAAATCTTAATGTGAAACGAGATGCGTTCAATTTGTATTTACTCGGCAAGATGACGACGTGTTCTCGATTGCTCCGCTCGATAAGACTGAGCGATACAGTACACGTCTCCCATCGCAGGAATGCAAGTCTCAAGATACAGTTGAGAACTTTGAGTGAGAAAAGCGGTTTCTCTGAAAAGAAGCATGTTTATTATAATAGGTACTTGTATTAAATTTATCAATGATTTGTTTTTTCTAGTTATATATAATTACGTAATACCCAAAATAGTCTAATTTGAAAAGAGTCGAGCCACCTTCCACCTGTGTCTGCACCAAAGTTGGAGGAGTTACTTCGTAATATCCACGATCTTTGTAATGATCTCTGAACGCTTGTGTCAATACCGACCTCATAATCAAGATTTTCGATGTCTAAAAAATTAAAAAACTTGATTCCAATAAGAATTAAAAAAAAAAACGACTTTTAACTAGAGTTTTATATATCATACATTTTCGCCTCGGATCATAATGTGTCTGTTGTCTAACTGTACATCTGGCAGAGCTTCTTCGTTCAAAATTGAATCAGCACCGCCAGGAGGCGATGATCCGATAAGTTTCCAGTAATCAACATGCAACTCAAGTCCACCAGGTGCCTTAAATTAAGCGATAAATCATTAATTCGTGCTTGCACGTCAATTTTTTTTCCATCAACATAGTTAATAAATGTTGGACCTACATTCTTTCCTTCGGGAACGACGCACAAGGTTCCAAACAACTGAACAGCAGCTTCTGTGGCAAGAAGCAAGGCGTCGTACGTTTGGCAAAGCTTGCCAGACAGTACGCATTGCAGAAAGCCTGTTCCATCTCGCAGCATGATAAACATGAGAGCTTTGCCTAAGACAAAATTGTTCCATAAGTTATCACACAAACAAGAATAGATTTAATAATATTGCACACCTTGTCGTCTCAGTCTATGCACCCATCCAAATACTTTAATCCTTTCATCCTTGTGACTTGAAGCTTCTCTTAGTTTAATCTGTTTCGCCTCAGGTAGAGACTTGTCTTCTTCTATCACAATCGCTTTAGCTTCTTCTAGATTTTTCAATCTTTTCTCTTCATCTTCTAATACTTTGTTCTCATTTTCATTCTTTTTATACTGTTCTCTCACCCAGATTTTTTGTACCTTCTTTAACTGAGACTTGGATGCCGGCTCGTACTTCTTACCATCTTCCCGAGAATCCTGGTAAATAATCGGGAAAGGTTCTTTGCCAGCATGACGCATTGCTCTTAGAACAGTTTTAAATGGTTTATTCTCAGAGCCATTTCCCGTTTCATCGCTACCATATTTTTCCGATGTATAAATACTTTCTAAAATATGTTGTATACATATTTATATAAAATTACTTTTCATACACATATGTGTATTTGAGCAATCTGATGCAAACTTACCTGTTATCGTCTCTGTTTTGCCTGACATCTTGAATTTTTACCTGCAAAAATATATCTACATATTTATTATTTTATAACACGTTTAATATTATAATAAAAACATAAATTATAATTAATATATTGTACATAAGTTACTTTCTTTTTATCTATACACTTTACAAAAGAAAAGATCTAACCTCCTTCAATTAAATAAACTGATGTAATATCGAAGTTTCTTACAACACCGATGTGACCATGAAAAATTCAAAACCTATCGTGAGACTCCTCAAACCGGCAACGTTAGCCAACGTCAGCAATGTGTGTTCTTTAGCCACAAATCGTTCGTTCTGCTATCATCTGCTATCAAGCAAATACCAAGTCTCTCTCCCCCCTCTTCTCTTCTCTCCTCCTCACTCTCCCCCTCTCTCTTTCTTGCGTACTTGTATTGCAAAGAATTTAAAATAGTTGATATATGAATTTATATATATAACACATTGAGGACGGGCATGTAACAGGAAGCGGATACGCAGATTACTTAATTTGCATTTAGTATTTTTAAATAATAGTATACATATAGTTCATATATCTGTATATTATTAAGATAACATTTGCAGCTCCTTGCTCAGTTGCCGACTGAATAAAAAAAACATGAAAACGAGATATCTCGTGACCCGTCCGCAATGTGTTAATATAATTGATATACAAATTTTTAATAACACACACACGTTATAAAATGTAAAAAATGTAAATTTTGTATTTTTTCTTTCTTTCATTACATATATATTTTACAATATTAGTATATGATAACAACTCATCACACATTACCTAACAAACATTATACTATTATTCAACAACTAAACATTATGTATATCTTAGAAAACCATATGAAAGAAACCTACACCTTCTTGATCTCGAGTATAGTTTACATCTTATGTAAGATTTGATTACAGTAAATTAATAAAAAGTATAATGTTACAATACACAAATTCTAAATATATACGTTTTTCTCTATACAAGATCCAGTTTGCCGAGAGTCATCATCTCTTACGTGTCCTACCTTTAACGTTCTGTTCTGGCGCATAAAATGTGATACACTGAAAACAAAAATTTTAAATTATAAGTTTATGCATTTACACAGTTCTTTTTAATATACAAGATTGCATAAGATAAAAAAAAAAAAGAACAGAAAAAACGCACCTGTTCATCGAGGAAACTCATAAGATTCGAAAGTTTACATTTAAATCCACGTGTTCGCAACGTACAATGTAAGCTTTCGATATTTACAGGTTCGTATCGCAATATTTTGTTGTACAAATCTTGATCACTATCAATCAGTCTCGTAAAGGCTTCCGCGATATCCGACGAATTCTCTTGAGGTGGCAATGATTCGGTTTCGTAAAATTCCATTTCCTTGCTAATCGCGCCTTTCGCAGAATTTAAACTTCCATTGCTATGTAACATACATAAAAGCTACGTTATCATACATCTACATGTGTGTGTGTGTATGTGTGTACATATCTCATATACTGTTTTAACATTTGATATACCTCTCTTGAGAACAGAGTAATTCATTATCGCTTGTGTCATCCACATTATTCGTTTTTTCCGGGTTGTTCACATTTCTTTTCTTCACCGGTGGACCATCGTCCTCGTCACTTGAAATTTCCGTGATTTCCTTCTGTGCGGTCGTATCAGGTATTAAAGGATGAAGCTCGTTATAGATATGCATCAACAATTTTACAGCTCTGCCGCGCTTCTGTGCTTTCAATCCGTACTTCTTCATTTTTTTCTAAAGACGAAACACGCTCGTAAGAGAAAAAAAATATAGAAGAAAAGAATTTATACAATAGACTTATCATCGTTATATTAACTTACATGTAGTTCAGGCGTTTGCATATCATTGTAATCGGGCGGAGGTGTAACATCTTTTTCAATTATTTTAGATGCAGGTTTTGCAATATTCTGATCGCTGCAAATTTGCACGGATATGTGTTTAGATATACCTTGATTACACAATCGGTTCATGCTAATTTGCCCCTCGGACAAAGATTTCTTTCTCAAGTTCCTGATACTCGCGACGTTGTTTTGCGTCAAAGACATCGCAGCGCTATTCAAATTTTCACAAGTAGACGGAACACTATCCGTAATTGCATTATTATTTTTTCTGTGTGCATTATTCTTTTTGAATTTTGTTACGTTCAATACGCCAGCTGACCGACTTTTCTCTAAACTGTGTTTCTCGTATTGATTGACGTCGACGTTCGCGATATATATGTCATCTTCGAAATTTGGAAGAGAAAAATCTAAGGACTCTCTTAACTTAGGACTGTCTGTCGGAATACTTGGACTGCAATGTTCCGTATCGGAAAGCAAGCTTTCAATGTTTGAAGCATCCGGACTGGAAGGCACTATAATTGGACTTGGGACGGATTCTGCTTTCTGATTATCATCTTGTTCATTTAATTTGGACTGCTTTTGCGTGAAGATCATACCGAAGTCCGTATCGTCAGATGTCATCTCTGTATCACTGCCATTGAGCTCATCTTCGCTCGACTTAGTTGCGTTATTAACGTCTCCTTGTCTTTCCAAATCTGTTGTTATAACTTTTGCAATTTGTTCACTTTCCGACAATTGACTGTTCTTTTCACTCACCGTATCTTCTTCTTTATTTTCTTTTGTCCTGTCAAATACGGAAGAAGACAGGACATCTTCATAATCGCGATCATCGTTTTGCAAAACAACTGGGCAACTAGAAGATACGCTTTCGATCTCTGTGTCCGATGAAACGATCACCTCCGTGTCTTTCTCTGACAGAGTCGACTGAGTTTGCATTTTGCGATTCTCAGTCTCGTCGATGTAGCTGGTTTTATAGATTAAATCGGTTGACGTACTTTTGTGAGACAGATCGCTAACTGATGCGCTTTTCACAATTGCCGCGCGATACTTCGCTATGCTGTTGTCCTTGTGATTCCTCATGTATTTCGAATACATCGAAATATCTTCGTTGTCCTCTTCTAAATCATAGACGGTTGTGTTGAACGATTGATTAGTTGTCTCTGTATATGATGAACGCGCTGCTATAGCAATTGTTTCTCTCGAGGTGTCAACATCCTTAGCCGGTGAAGTTGAGACGCGTACGCGATTTGACATATTTTTATCAATTGTTCTTTCAGGTGATACGTCAGTCTCCAGTGAACTGATATTTCGCTTAATAATTTTATTAGAAAAACGAGAATAAAATTCTGGATGCTTATCTGCGTACGATCGCATACACTGTTCTATTTTGCTCAATCTACCAAGTTTCTTCTTGCCAGGCGATTGCTCAGTATTATCGTTGTAGGATTGTGAATCTTGAGTATGTCTATCTATGAGAAACGGGTTTTTGTATCTTAGAGGAGACAGTACGGAATGTTCGATATCGAGATTGGAATCCGACCTTGCGTTTTCTCTCTGTATCTTCTCGATAAACAACGTGATATCACCTTTTCGCTTTGCTGTATCCGAAGCGGATTTTGATTCAAAGCGTTGGGGAGTATCGATTGAAGAACTCTTGCGCGTATTCTGAGTAAACGATTCGTGAGAATCAGAATCGATCTCCATTACATCTTGTTCGATATTTTTCACACAGATGGACTCGTCTTCGTCTGGCTCCACACTTCCCGTATTCCGAGATTTACTTAACGGTATCTGACTACAAATATCAATATCAGCATCTTGTTTAATTAAACTCAGTAGCATGTGAAGATTGGAATTTTCGTAATCTTTAGAGCATACTACAGATTTATCATCGAGTTTCGTTGTATCGGACGTATCGTCGAACATGTCGGGAGATGCGGTACGTTCGAAATTTGAAAAAGCGCTAGTTCTAGAATGTTTTTCTTCCGATAATTTCGTTGAAACAACTTTGTCGTGCTGTACAAAACAAGAATACTGTGTATCTTCAACAGAAAGTAAATTAGTGATGCTGTTTTCTTGCAATAGTGTTTCTTGGGGACGCTGAATGATCTCCGATGTATCATCACGCTCGTGTTTGATTTCTGCTGGATTAGGAGTAAATTCTCTTTGACGTAAATAAGCAAACATATTGTGTACTTTATATTTCCTTGCTAGAGATCGAATATCAGACAGCGATGTATCGGAATCGAGCGTTTTCGAATACTTTTCGATGATTCCGCAATAGACAAATTCGAAAAAAGCCAAAGCAACGTCATAATCCACATCGGTCCAACACAGCTTTTCTTTCGCGGCGGAAAACTCTGTATCGTTCGCCACTACATCGAGCAAAATATTCGTACAACGCACATAAAAAACCAACTTGTGAGTCCAAATGTGTTTGCCGTCCCTCACAAACACGATAATGTCACTCGCAGAACTATCGTTCAATATATTTCTCCAACTTGATGCGAGATCGTCAAGAAATTTCTTTTCTCTGCAACACGTCTGGACTGAGCTCGAGAAATTTGTCAATTTTTCATTATCCGGTTTTTGTAGAGTTTGTATTTCTATTTTCTCTTCTTGCTGATCTAAAAGCCTTTTATCGTTCACAGTTGGATCCGTAAGTTTTCTGATATTTTCCTCTTCCTAAAAAATGTGAAAATATTGTTTTTTGTTTTTGCAAGCTAGTTAATAAGTAACTTACATTTGATATTTGCACTTGCTTCTCCGATGGCGCTATCTGAGGCAACAGTTGTTTCACGTAAAATAGATTTTTAGTCGGAGTTAATTTTGTCTTGTCCCACAATGTGTTCTCCTTAAAAACAATCAAAAATGTGAAAACCTGCACTCACAGATGTTGCAAATAATTTCTAAGAAAAATTAAATTTACTTACAGTTTGATATATTTGCTGAAGGAATTGATTCTTTATAACAATTTTCTCTTTAACATCATGGTCCTCTTCTTCTTGAGGTCTTTGAGTAAAGTCTTTACAGCCCATAAGTATTTCGGCTATTCTTTCTGTTAAAATACTTTCTCTTTCCACAGCGGTACGTCTTTGTAGAATAGTTGGTTCCGTGATTTTTTCTTGTGTAAATAAAAAAAAAAGATTGAATATAAAAATAAATTTTTCTACTTGTGTAATTTATTGATATTGCATATATATATATGTATCGAATAAGTACTTTTCTTAATTTTAGTGGCAGGCCAGCTGTTCACAGGTGACACGTTTCTATTGCTAGTAAATCCAAAGTTCTGTAATGTTGTTTTGTGACAATATTCTGCGTTCGGCAACGAAGACGGGCTAGATGAGATAGCCGCGATTTGAGCTTCATCCCAGTTTTCCATTTCTTCTTTCTCGTATAAAGATTTGGAAAGCGCTAAAGCAAGCTGAAGATCGGGATCATCGTGAGATGTCTGGAAAAAATTAACAATCAATGTAAATCTATCTATCTTTCATATTGTTTCATTATCAGACACTTACCATTTTACGAGGAACAGGTTTTTTTTTCTCTTGTAACACAGGCGCGGAAAGCAATCCTAACGACTTTCTTTCCGCAGCTTGTCGTTCTTGAAGTTCCACGGCGACCATTAATTTTTTTGTAGACACATTATTCTTCGTCGCGCAACTCTTCATGTGTACAGCTTGCGAATTTTCATCTTTGAGAGTTTTGAAACATAATGGGCATACGTGAGCTATTTTCACATTAGCCAAACTCTGTGGCAAATTAGTCTCTTTTTTGTCAGACTTGAAAAAAGATGACTCGATTGATGGCTGCTGTACATCATGTACAATCTTTTTATTCTGCAATAGTTTGCTGCTTTCCGCTTTTCTTTCTTTATTAACCTTGGATTTTGAATGGGGGAGTTTTTTTTTCGACTTATTTGGAGGCTTGTAGCTGTCAATGATTCTTGGTTGTAAAGGATGTTTTTTTGGCGATTTAAAATCTAATATGCTGTCATCATCATATCCAGATTGAGATGTACTAGCAGTTCTATTTTTTCTATTATCAATATTAGAATCATCAGAAGCACAAGCTTTCTCATCTATATCTCTGAATGAGACAGAAGATATTGTATGTATGTATATATGTATTGTATTTCACACAGCTTATGTATAGTTAGTAAAGAATATAAACATCTACTTAAAGGATATCATATTTTTAATAGGAAGAAGATATAAAAAATAGTTTCTAACATATATATACGTATATATTAAATATATTTTTATACAGTTTTGTTTGGAAAAGAATACATGTCATTTTGAATCAAACTACATTATCTATAAAGATAATATATATGTGATATAAACAAGAATACCTTTCTTTGTAACTTTTTTTTAATCTTAATCTTCTCTCTGGACTACTGGATTTATGCAATCCATCTTTTTCAACATCCATTTTCTATATGTATTTTAAATATGGATGTTTCACACTATTATTTAAACTTTGCAAACTTAGTTTGTTTGTATATTTCTTAATTCAGCTTCTGCTTTTAGTCTTTCTTCTTTTCTTGCTCGTAACCGATCAATAACATTTTTGAAAACTGGATTTGAATAATCTTCTGCCATAGCTTTCTCATCCTCAGAGAGTTCAGTGATTTGATTATTTTCGGTATTTAAATATGGAAAAACACTGTATACAATAAAACATATACGTTTAATATAAATTATACAAAGAGCAAACAAAATCTTAATAATTTTAGATATTGCATCAAGATATGTATTAAAGTTAAGGGCAATTAGTCAATTTATTAAATTGAAATATTTTATAAATATATGACGATATAAAAAATACCTACTTTTTTCTCAGAGAATAGTACATCACACCCATATAAACAAGTGTTACGCCAGCCGCAAAGCCGTTAACATATTTGTTCGACGGCGTGTTTCTGAATTGACGTGGTTTTCTGTGTGTCTTGTCTGCAGGATCGTGCTGCATTTCATTCAGTTCAAACGAGAGAAAAACAAGAACTTAATAAATCCTAATGTGTGCGATAGTTTTACAATTTTACAAGTTTTACAAATTCTAACCTAACCTAACCTAACCTAGAAGGTGGAACAACCGGCCCTGGGTGCGTTCACTTTGAGCTTACGCGAAAACGATGTTTGTGAACTATTAGCGAAAAAGTGTTCAAGACGAACGCACCCTTTTACTCCAAACTTACTCGTGTTCTCGGAACTTTATCGTACTGGAAAATTGGAATGACAGAGCTAATTGTCAGACTGAGATAGATTTTAAAAAATTTTTCATCAAAATATAAATCACAAAGTATTAAACGATTATGTTCTCATCGAGCGCAAGTTTGTTAGAAACGTTACCATGGTGGGAATCGGACATTGTAAAATACGGGTGAATATTTTTGTTTTCAAGTAAAATGTATAACAACGATTTTGTTTGCTTGTTTTTGTGGTTCCGATTCTAAAACAGTTTTTCGTTCGTATATGTTTATTACAGCATAAAGCAAAATAAAAATTCTGATTTTTTCCCCGTGGCAAAAACTTTAAATTAAGAGAACATATATACGTAGACGTCTAAGATTAATTATCATCTACAATTAGATGTATAAAATGTATAAAAAAAAAACTTCGTTAATTATAAAACGGATTTATCGATAACAGGCTCAGTTACGCACCTGTGAGAAAGCGAGTAACAACGGTAATGGGAAATCATATAGTGCAATTAACGAATCGTAAGTACATGACGCAACTCGCGGCAAAGATACAGGAAGATTACGAAACGCAGCAAAAAGACCGTATTGAACGGAGAAAAGTTAAAGACACTACGGTAGTACCGGAATTGCGTAAATTTTTACCCAAATCTCAGCTGGTGACACGAAAACGTCATCCGTGCGTGCCAAAATTTTATCCAGAGGCGGCTAAAAAATGCAAAGAACTTCATCTGCGTCTTTTTACCGAATGAATCAAGAATCAAAGGGATTTTCGAACGAGATCGCAAAGGAGGGTGTAATAATTTATATTTATTTTGCATTTTTCTTCGGCACACTAACGTATATAAATTACGTTGTTACAGAAAAAAATTACTTTTTACTTTGAACTTTTACTTTTTTGACGTTTTTATTTAAGGAATGCGTGAGATATGTTCATTATGTTGAAAATAAATTTAAAAAATGCTCATATGTATCAGATGAGTCTTAAAACCTAAGATATGATTCTTAATTGTATCTACATTAAATTAATTGAAATGTTTGATAATGTAATTTTTTAATTACAATCGTTACAGTTATGGAAGACTTAAAAACCAGCAATGTATAGCACCTTGCGGTCCACCGTCGCGTTGTGAAAGAATATATTATCGATGTATATCACATACTAAAACGATAAATGCGTGCATTCGCGATTCAAATGAAATTTGTAGTATAGTGTAATCGGAAAATTTTATCGATCACGAATTGCGAAATTACGCATATAATTCCGGTCCTACTTTAATGCTTGTAATTTGTGTTCTCTTTGTAAAAAAAACATCGTCACACACACATACATGCATACACTAGACGAACTTACGATGAAGAAAAAAAAAAAAAACAAAATCCTGTGACAGATATCTTGATATCTTCTTAACCCTTCAAGTCCAGACGTGGGTCTCCCAGACCCACTCAAAAATTGCGCATCAGCGTTTCTAGAAAAAACTAAGTTTTTTTTTTAAAAAAGCTCGTATCTTCGAAACTATTAGAGATTTTTCAATGGTTTTTATCGACGCAGAATCGTTCAAACTTTCGATTAAAAAAAGAAAAAAAAATACAAAATAGAAAAAATATTGATTTTTCGCAGAGATATTTAATCTTAAAGTCGCGTGGGTCTCGCGGGCCCAGTCTGGTCAACTTGTCATAATTTTTGAAGTCTGGTCACGAAGGGTTAAAATAGGGTGTTAAGTTGCTCTTTGTCGCGGTTTCTTTAACAATTGCAGTAGGAATTGCTGATTAACAGGAACTTGCACCAATATACCCTTGGCGGTGCGATCGATAGAAGCGTCCTCGGGTTCTGCAAAAAAAAAAAAACAATCTCTGTTATTAATATCATCTTTGATAATACTCATGATTTAAAACTTACCTAGCAATATCTCTTCGTCCCACGGCTCGTCCCATAGCTGTTGAAGGCCCGATGACATGATCACCGAAGGCTCGGGTGCAAATTTGAAACGGAAATCCGACCATCCAAACGATCTCATAGTTTCTCTAGAAAATAAAAATTTGGATGTAGAAGTGTACAATCTGACGTCTGCTATTAAACGTTCGCAAATAGAGCAAACAGATTAACCGCGCGATTTCAGATTGTTTTCTTTAAAACCGTCATGTGCTAATAAAAATCTTTAAACATTCTCAATGTATCACTTTCTCTAACGTTTTACACTTATTTCCAGAATGATTCTCGATCTCTTTTTGTGGACTCACGCAAAGTGACGATCGGTTTTGCACTTATTTGATATTAATGAAATGTAAGATTGCGCCAGTAACGTACTCGTACAGTTTTTCAAGATATCGTTTCTCCGGCGCTTTCCTCAAAGCTAATAATGGGACCGGCATTGGATAATAGTGCACATGATAATGCTGTATGTTATTCATCGTCGCGGTCTTGGGTGGCTGCTTCTTTGCTTTCAGAGATTGAAAGAACTCCGTCAGAGCCTTTTTAGGACTGAAATGTGTGAGAAAAATGTATAACTAAAAACTAGATGTAAATGATTTGATGGTCAAACAAATAACGAATGTGCGCGCCACATGCAATGTTTCATATTTGTTGTTTGATTCAATTTGTACATTGTATTTCTATCGAGGGAGACACGGTAGTGTCTCGTTGCGATTTGAAAAGTAAATTGTTAATTCTTTTTCAAAAGCTTGAAAAAATCGCACTCACTATTCAAAAAAGAATTCTTCTGAGGATCCAATCAGTAACGTCACGAGCAATATCAACTGCAAATAATAAGTATTGATTTATATACTTCGTTTTAATCTTCTTTTTTATTTTTTTTTAATTAACATTTTGATCATGCTTTAGTAATGCAAATTGTTTGTTAGAAAATAAACCTCCTCTCTCATAAGTGAAATAAATTATTAACATAACGATTTATATATCCCAGAAAATGTACACTCTCTTTTCCACACACTCACACCCACCCATTTCTCTCTTTCTTTTCTTTTTACGAATAAAACTATCGTGAAGTTTGAATCTATAGGTTTCATGTGTGCGAGTTAAAATGGCGTCGTATCTCTACACTTGGATAACTATTGATTATTAATTACTGATTATTTACTTGCACTATCTTCATATTGCAGCACTAATAAATTTATCACAACCGGATCGTGTGCGTCTGCTGTGCAACACATATATACAACAAACTGAGAATTTCGATGAAACTAGATCGCTTTATATCGCGCGGACTCTTACCCTCTTTCTCCACGCGCTCGTGCTCTTCATTTTTTCCCTTCGATTCACACGGTGCTGTCTCAGAAGCGACTTCAATTATTTTGATTCGGTAAATCGGTATGGATTCGCGCTCGCAATTATCATGCGTAATTAAACGATCATTAGAAACGGACAATGCGCGTGGGAGGAAGGGGAGAAGAAGAAGAAGATTCTCAGTATAGAATTTCTTAGAAAGGAAAAAATAAAACTTCCACGTGTTTCCATCGCTATATTGTATGCATACAAATATTGTAAACCGCCGGGAGGTTTTCAGAGAGCTTAACAAAAGTCAGAAAATGTAATTTTATTTGCTATAGTTAAAAGATAATTAATCTAGTCACACGATTACGCTTCGATAACAACTCGATACCTGAAGAAATAATTTTCGATTTTCAAGTTTATTTTATGTGAAAAGCATGCGCGATTTCGCTTTTCTCTAAATTTCTACATGATCAGACATGATGTTCTCGATTCAACGCATAAAAAAAGAGGAAAATGCACGAGAAACAAAGATCTATCGATAACTAAACTGAACGTTTTACACAGGATGTTCTATATATGCTCTATATATGCGATTCTAATGGCCAAGATTACGAGAAGGATTATGGCTTACGGGCGCCTTTCACATAGACGCCCATAAAACACAAGATGAAGAAAGGTGAAACTAAACATTGTCCGAAGATTCCAGACGTCACAAATACGCAGTAACTGTCATCGTCTCGATTTTTTTATAATTAAAATTGAATTGTTCATCGTTTAGCAGTATATTTTGCACAATCATACATCTTTTGTATAATTAAATAAAATTAAAAGTGTACTTACTTGCGTGTACACATGTTTATATGTTTCTTTCTTTGCATACAATTGCCAAAACTTTCCGTTGTACGTATGACAGACCAAAAAATGTCAAAAAGATCAACCTTTTTTTTTATCGATGCACATATACCGTTCCTCGAGTGTTTCTTCCCAGATAGCACAAAAATCCGAAAAATATCTTAAGAAAATGTTCCAAAGACATCTAATGCTCAATTCCTTCACATATGATAAGTTCTCGATAACTTTATCTAAAAGATAAAGTATATCTTTTTGCATATCTTTATCTAGAAAATAGCTATCGGGAGGTATGAGGAAATTGTGTGGGTCTAAATTATTTCAACTATTTTCTAGATATCTTTATCTCCTCTTACGACGTTTTTCGGACGTCTTTTGTGCTGTCTGGGATAAGATAATTGTAAGAACAATCGATTACTCTAAACAAAAAAAATAAAAAAGAAGATAAGCAAGAAAAACTACCCAACAGTACAGTGTTCAAACATATCCACTGAATATTATATAAATATCGCATCAATATCTCTCTATATTAAATATACGTGAGACATTCTTGAAATAATGTGATATAGGCTGTACACGCGGTTCGGTAACAACCATATGACAATATAATTTAGCTAACTACTTCGATCCTCGCTTTTTCGGACAATTCACATCATCTTTCACAGTGTTTGGGTACACAGAGAAATTTTTGTTCCCTCCTCAATTATTTTCTTACTTCTTGCAAATTGATACTATTACCGAAGCATCGACGATAAGCTTGACAAGATTTAACCGATTAAGCTAATCAGTTTCGCGAAGTATCAAAAGCCGTTCCACTAGCACGATAATCTCTCGAACCGAGTGACTGAGTAAATGCGAAAAAAGATGAGAAGACCACTTTCGCGGATATAGGCTATTTTTCTTTTCTTTTCTAGGCGTGCGACAACGTTGACGATGACAACGACAATGATGACGATAACGGAAATCAGCGATTTCTATTCCTTGTAGTACATGCGTACGTTATATATGCAAATACATGTTGTTGTTTTAATGTGAAAGGCATATGATACACGAAGCCGGATCTTTATGGATGATCATCACCGTTTTACTTCACAACGAGAACACTTAAACAACAATTATTTACACTTTCCAGTGCGTTTCACATGTATACAATTATCACGATCTGTGATTATAATGATCGCAATTCTTTCACAACAGGAAATCGATCGCGAGTCTGATTATATTAATCTACTTTGCTTTTACATAAACATGCCTCTAAGCACAGCAACTTTTTTAACACCCCGACTATATATCAAATATACATTATGCAAAAGAGAGTTTCTTTTCTTTTCTCTCTCTCTCTCTCTCTCTCTCTCTCTCTCTCTCTCTCTCTCTCTCTCTCTTTCTCTTTCTGTACTACAAAAACTTAAACAAATATAAATATTATAGAGCAGGTTATTATACCGTTACATAACATGTTACAATCAAGAAGCAGTTTTGAAAAAAAAAAAGACAGACAAACTCGATCATCCTTTTGGATTCTTCAGTATGTAGGTCTCTCGTAGGTTTTTTCCAAGATTCTCTTGTTACAATTAATACATGAACAACCCCTTGTGCTTAATTATTTATATATGTACATACATGAGAAAACTTTCCTGAGGAGAGAAAGCTGCGCAAGGTCACGGGTGACAGTACAGTCGGAAAATGATCGGACAAACCGGTTCTCCAGTTCCATCGATATCATCGTGTCGTTCTCATCGATATATGTGCGACGTTTTGTGCCGTACGCCTGTTTCTAGGAACAAAATAACTAAACAAAACGTATTCCACATCGCATGTTGAACGATTTCTCTCGCACGCGATTGCTATCGAGAAATTAGTACGTGCAATTGTGATGGATGGGGAAAACGAACAGAAAAACTAGAATACTTGTCAAACAAGAAGTTAGATTTTTTTTTTTTTTAAGAAAAACGTTTAATTAAATTCACACTATAGTTAAAGCAAGAAATATCTTTCCTGATACTCTGATAATTTTTCAAACCGATAATAGTTCTCTTTACATAACGTCGATATTTCTTGAAACTTGTAATCACATTTGTTTTTTGTAAGAAAAGTAAGAGAAGAACAGGTGCGTATATGAAATATAATATTAACTTGTTAACGAATCTTATAAAATTAATCAACTTTTCATACCTTTTTCTTTTTACATGATTTTTTAGTGTTCGGTATGAATCTTTATGCATTACAACGATACGTGGTAGTTCCAAATTTGCAACAAATCGTACTCCAATTAGCCGCCACTGCAGCCATTTTGACAAGCCGTGAAAAGCCAATGCACATGAAAATTTCTATAGACAAGTCTTTAAACTCGTATTACATTTGCGGTTGAGTTTCCAGTTGGCGATTGCAGACTGACCAACGATCGAGCTAGCTTCTTTGACCTGATTGGTCTGCAACCATCAATCATTGTAGACTGGACTTTATTGATTTTTGTCCACAGAACGTGACCAACACTTGCCGGAAATCGGCTAGGGAATAATAGCGCCGTGGCCAATTAACGTTCAGCTTCTCCGGAAACATATAATAATTTACGCGCGCTGAAGCTCCGAATGAATCAAAGCTGGTCCAACCGACTCCGTGAATTTCTGGAAGAATTCCAGTGAAGTCTCGAAACCAAATGGACATCCTACACATGCGCGGAAGAGATTACGGATGAATTTGTCCCTTGTGACGTCTCATCGTCGCCGTCATTGGTAGAAATGAGACGCGTGCCGAGCAACGGAGCACAACAAGCGCAATGACGAAACTTTACTCGTTTAATTCTGCGTGCGAGTGTCCCCGGCGCAACGAGTGGTGTTGTTGATCGACGTCGGATCGTTAACGCGCGTCGCGTACGAGCGCGTGGGCCCTCGTCGACGTCGCGGTTACTCTCCCGTCCCGAGTTTCGGGATCGGTGTGTGTATATATATAATAATACTTACGCGCGCCGGTCGACGATGTGAGTGTGTACACGCGAAAGACGAAAACAGGGCGCGAGAGAGGAGTGAGACGGAGAGAATACTGCTTTTATATAGTCACGGCAAAACGTGTTAACGACGTAGTCTCTCGGCGGAAAACTCTAAAGAGAAAAACTCCTCTTCTCGGTTTCGACGGAGGAGAACCGGACCTCACCTGTTACAAACATGCGGCGACGAATCTCGCTTCTGATCATCTCCTCGACTGCGACGACCAAGACGACGACGACGATAACGACGACATCGGCGACGACGGCGAGGAAAACGTCGCAGAAGACGAATAATCGACGACGACGCTTACCCGCGACGGCCGCGTTCCTCCGCGAGTGAATAACAATTGTAACGCAAAACCCATACAGACGCACCGGTGCGCCTTGCCGATGAGCGCGAATATATGGCGGCGCGAGTACTGTTGCTGAGCGTCTTGATTACGGAAGTGTTGAAGCCTGCTTCTGTCGCAGGTATGGCACACGCTTCTTAATCCGTCCACGATTTTGTCATTGTACACGCATATTGTAGACACGAGCTATGGGTGCAAACGAAGAATTGATATTGGAAGCGCTAACGAAGAAAGACCAATATATATATATACACATATACGTGTATCATATATTTATATATATATATATATAAATATATATATATATATTAAATATTTGTTTGGATGGGTAATTTACATACAACTCGTTTATGTTACGTATAATGATGTGCTCCAAATTTATCTGATTTGCTCTTTTCTTTACACTTTTGAGCGCGGAAACGATTACGTTCCGGTTGCAATGAACACACGCGTTTATATTCGTCGATATTCTCGAGAGCTTGTTTCTTTGACATCGCTAATGTAGATAACAATTATAGAGAACAAAGTAACACTGATTAAAAATTCTTATTAGCTTGCTAATTAAGATTTTCCTCAATACTGAAATTTGTTGACACATTTGGATGTTGACACTTTTTCACACATGTTATTGTTCCTTTAATTTGCGTAAATAAATTACGCATTTATAGTGGATGTTAAAAGTATTGGAGGAAGTATCAATGGGAAAAATGTGTCAAAAACCGACGGCTCCGACACTGGTCTGACGAAAGCATCCGAGTTCACATTGGAAATTCATCCTAGCGGTCACGTAATACTAGGAAAAAAGGGAATCACGCTCACCTGCGTGGCTGGTTTGAATAAAAACATTTCCTGGTTGCATAATGGAATACCGGCGCCTCCATGTGGTCTGACTCGTTGTGTTCTTCTTCACAATGGTTCTCTTCATTTTTACAAGGTAAATATCTCATCAATTTGACTTCTGATTAGTATAAAAATATGACAAATGCAAAAGACTTATATTGTGTCAATGTTGCGTAGAAACAAAATTTCAAAGAAAAGGAACGGAATAGTATTGTTAGTGTTAGAAATCATAAAGATGAATATCGCTGTGTAACACGTACTGGTTTAGGAGGATCGATACGCTCAGCTCCTGCAATTATTCAAATAGCAGGTATTGTTTTAAAATTGCAATAAGTCTTAATATTCGTCAGCTTTAAAAATGTCACAATTACAATGACTTTTTCATGTTGCAGAACTTGCCAATGTATTTAAAGAGTTTCCAGAAAATATTATTGTTCAGGAAGGCGAAGTTGCACGATTGTCATGTTTGATAGACAGCGTTCCTTTTCCACCCAATATTACTTGGCAGCATAATGAAACATTATTATCTTATCATAAATCAAAGTACTCTGTGGTACCACCAGGTGTTCTGTATATAAGTGCAACAAAACTGTCAGATGCTGGCTCATATAGGTATACAATTGTATATCTCTTCATAATAAACTAAATTTCATCACAATTTTAGTAAACAAGCAAAATGTGCAAAACTGATTTTATTTTTAGATGCATAGTCACTAATGAATTTTTAAAGAAGACTAAAAAGAGCAGAGAAGCAAAATTAACAGTTATTCCAAGAGCGGAAAGTAACAAATCGCATATTTCGTCGTCCTTGTTTCCGCAAGTTTTGTACAATCATTGGCTGATTGAAGGATCAAATCTTAATTTGGCGTGTGCTGCATCTGGTTATCCATCTCCACTCATAACTTGGTCATTTATTCCTCGTTATAATAGTAAGGAGTTTTATGAAGAATGCACATTTAATGATATCAATTTCATTACATTAATAACGTGTTTATTTTTAGGTAATGTTACGCAACCTCGCGTTCTTCTCAATTCCACTACCGGTGTCAGTATATTGTCACTAACAAATGTAAATATTTCCAATGCCGGTGTTTATATGTGTTCTTCGAAGAATTCTATTAGTAACGATTTAGAAGTACAGGTAAGCAAAGAGTCAACACACTGTGCACAGTGCTTTATTTACCGCTCTTGTAAATTTGTTAACAAATCTATCTTTTATTTCAAATCGTTGCAGAATATAACTGTGGATGTGTTGATACCTCCGTCGTTTATAAAGACACCGACAAACCAAGTCTGTCCAAATGGAAGAACTGCAAGATTCGAGTGCCAGGCGCAAGGATTACCTGTACCTCAAATTTATTGGTTAAAAGACTCGTTGAATATTACTATTAATGGTAATTACTTTTAATAAGAAATATAAAAAATGTTTATTGTGAGTATTATCGTAGAAAATTATATAAGTGAGAATGGAATGTCATTGTTTTAACGCACACTCACGTGTGTACGTATGTTGACAGGTCGTAGAACAACTTACGTTAAGAATTATAATAAAATAGAATTAGCAATATCGGCAACTGTACCGTCTGACTCCGGCATATACCAATGTGTGGCGGTAAATTCAGCGGGTGAAATCTGGGCCGCTGGCCGGCTCCAAGTGAACACATCGCGCAATAGTCCTGCTGCACCAACTTCATTGAAGTGTCAAGCTCTATCACCAATTAAAATCTTAATTTCATGGGAACCACCAAAGTCTCTACCATATACCAGTATTACAGCTTATACCGTCCATTATAGTGCTGTCGGTGAGTTCGATGACATGATTTTTTTTTCTTTTTTTTTTATCTTTCTGCGTAAATTCGGAAAGATCTCGCGACGCGTGTTTGCACACCTTGTACATTTACTTCTATGATGTGATCAGAAGGTGGCAAGGAAGAAGTTTCTCCACCAGAACCAGGGAATTCTACGTCTGTAGAAATAACAAAACTACTCGAACCATATACAAATTATTCATTTTACGTACGAGTGTGGAATAATTATGGTGCTAGCGATCAATCGGCTACCATTCTGTGTTCCACTGCTCCGAGTGGTATGTGATTTTACTTGGTCTCGTTAAAGCGGCTTACTCGTTACACGTTACGAAAAATTTTGCACGAATGTTTAAATCGCTTTATAATCGCTCGTTTGCAGTTCCTAAAAGCGCACCGAAATTGAATGTGGATATAATAAGTAGTACAAAACTAAATATATCATGGGAACCTTTAAGTAAGAAGGAATCCCGCGGCATCGTGGTCGAATACAAACTTCAGTGGAGGCTCAACCAATATCCATATTCCAAAGTAGTTTATTTACCCGCTACTGTCGAATACTACGTACTCTCCGGTACGGCTCTACTATCGATTCGTTCTCGTATAATGTGAAAGCAGATATAATCGCGTAATCATGTATCATCCTATATCGTAGATCTCATACCCGGAGCACAATACGATCTTCGAATGTTGGCAAAAACGAAGCAAGGCTGGCCGAATATTAGTGAAACACAGTTTGAATGGGTCACTGTGACTATGCCATCTGAACACAATCAGTTTATTATAAAGAATGTGGTAGATATCGAAGTATTAATCGTAAATGCTTCGATAATCAAAGTTAGTATATTCATCAAAATTTTATATTTTACTTGTATAGTAGGTTTTATTTATTTCAACGTTTTTGAAATTCTACTCTTGACAGATGAAATGGAAGATCAACTTTAAGCAAAACGATCAAATTGAATCCAAGTTCGATTCTTGGCAAATTTATTGCGAAAATCAAGATGGTGAAAAATTAGCGACCATTCTTTTACCGCAAAATGTCACTGAATATCTGTTCAACGATCTTGGTAAGCATGCACAACTGTCTGTTTGACAAGTAATGTTATATATAAAATTTAAAATTAATTGTGTTTTCGTCCAGATTTAAATGTTTCATACACCATGGGTTTGTGTATGGTGAGCTCAGGTGAAGCAACAGGTTGCTTGACAAAACACATACAGACTGTACAATCTAATTCTAGTAAGTTTACGAGATGCTTAAAAAGTAGAACATAGCAATGCTTTCAGACACAAATTCATTTTCAAGTTTTATATCTGAATATTGTCCAGATAAAGTTTTGTTTCTGAGATATTTGCGTACTTATTACACTTACTTCATTTTTCTCTAAATTTATATCGAAAACAAGTTTATGCAATAATCAATCTTAATTTAGATGCTGTACCAATATCTTTGGAAGCTATTCCCGTCTCATCTACGTCCATTAACGTAACATGGATATTACCTGAAGCGCGTGACGTGGACTCGTTCGAACTTTGTTATTCCACGGTCCAAAATACAAACGAATCTAAATGCGTTATTACGTAAGTGCAATCTTTTTGCTGAAAAACGGTTAATGTAAACAATAAGAAAATACCGAAAAGAAACTGTTAAGTATACGAAACATATATTGTAGAGACGATATGAAAATGAGTGTCGACAAATTGAAGCCTTTCACCTTGTACCAGTTTAAAGTAAGAGCCAAACATATGAATCAAAGCAGTCTCTTCAGCGAATCTGTTGAATGTTATACAAATGAGGATGGTAAGATCTAATTTGTAATAACGTATTGTCAGACATTTATATCGAGTATTATTCTAAGCAAACATTACAGTTCCTGACCAAGTCGAGGAAGTGCAATGGTTTTTGGGCAACAATACGATGCGAATCGCGTGGAAGGAGCCGAGCAGTATAAACGGCGTCATACAAAATTATTTTGTCGCTTACACAATGGACTCGAAGTCGACGACGACGTGGAACAACGTTACTGTGCCCGGTAACAAAACGTCGACGATCTTACCGGGTTTAGCGCCGGGAAAACGATATTTTGTCAAGGTACAAGCGGCAACGAAAGCTGGTTACGGAAAGCCGTCGAATACTATTGTTATTATTACTGGTGGTGGTGGAAGTAACGGTGGAGGAACATCGGTATCTACGCCGTCCGGTAATCAGAAACCGCCGCACAACGTGAAACCTGATCCGAGTATAGGTAAAAAAAAAATCCATAGCATTTTGAATTCAAGCAAGTTTAGATCTCCGCGATTGAGTTCAACTTATTACGCAACAAATGGTTTGTTAAATAGCGATGTCTGAATCGTCATTAACAATATTGCGATTGTGACTACGTACAGGTATAGTTCTTGGAGTGAGCATAAGCATCGGATTTATCACGATATGTCTATGCAGTATATACTGCCGAAGAAAGTTCGAGAACTCTCGTTCGTCAAGAAATAACGTTCAATCCGCGAAAGGACACATATTATCGCGGAACGGAAACCGATGTTGCACAGAACAGTCGTCTACTTCGGTGTGTCAGCAAGCGAATGCGACCGGTGCCTCAAACGAAATCGAACTGGCTGTGCTGTGTCCAACGTCCTCGATCGAGACAAATCCGCAGTCTGATTCAAAGGTAAAGTCTTAGCAATACACTAAGAAGAATTTGTGCGAATTTATTTCAAATTTTCTGCTGATAATACTTTATACGCTTATAAAATAATAGAGATAATACGTGTGATGTGTATTCGTACATGCAGGGTATACAATCCAATGGAATCTTCGAAGTTTGTGCAAAAGAACCTTTGTTATCGTCGTGGGAAACAAATGGAGGCTCAAAGGATGTTCATATTATGGAGAATCCTCAGGTAATTACTACTAACTTTAACATCGTAGATAGAGATTCATGAAAGACATTAATTTTTATATACAATTAATAAACAAGAAAATTCTAAAAAAAAAAAAAAAAAAATGGTAATAAAGCCAATAAAATTGTTGTTAATCTTCTCTAGATCCTATTTACTATATTTATTTTTGTAATTGCAGTACAAAAGAAGAGGCAGTTCCGCCTCAACTAATCAGCAGAGAGAGGAGCAAGATCTAGAAGACACGCAGCTCACAATAGTCAATTGTACTTTAGGCAGTAGCACTAGCAGTTTAAATAATAACTCAGGATGTCCGAACGAAGAAGCTTCATCATCACCAAAGGCCGCGTGTGCGTCTGTCCCGGTACTTGAACCGAATGGGTGAAAGTGCGTTCAACACTTGTATACAGGTACGCTAAAGTGTTCAAATATTGGTATCGAGGTGTAGCAGGTAGGAATACGCAAAATCCTGCGCTGTGTTTCCTCTCTATGCGTGATCTTGATTGGCGAATCAAGATGTGAAAAAGTGCGTGACGTTAAGAAGATGCAATTCTGGCACCAACAAAACAAAACCAATGCGAGAAATTGCAACAAATTCTCACGCAGTTCGCCATAATTTTTGCTTACAAGAAGAACTATTAAACGATCAAAATTATAATATTGGTTTGGAAAAATTTGTGTCTCATTTTAAACTATTAATCGCTATGTTAATTACGAATATGTAGAAGATAATCTCTTTTACACAGAGAACTTGAGCGCGTCTACGTAAACGTTTCGAAAGCGAACCGGCAAATTTGTTTTTTTCATTCATGACATTGCGCACTGATTGTGCAGATAATATCTAAAGTGTTTGCTGGACATGTGTGTGTACATATAGAATAATACAAAACGACATTGACAACACGTTTAAGAGTTAATAGAAGATGAGAGACGAAAAAATATTTTCGCTATAAAATTAAATTATAAAATAAAATTAAGAACCAATGTGGGGTATGGTAGCTCAACCAAGAGAAGATTCTGTTCGATATTTTTCTCTTTCTTCTCTCTTACATGTCGATGTATTTTTCTTTTATTTCTTATGTCATCTTCTGTTATTTCTCAAACAGTTGTCTGTAATTATATATTTCAAAAATTAAATGAAGAGTCAGAACAAAAAATATAAAAAAAAGACAAAAATTTAGAGACACGTAAATTCGAATAAAATAACAAGATTCTAATGCCTCTGTGTGTATATAGAGTAAGCTAATTAGTGAATATCCACAAAATATCTTCGACGATCCTGATGGTAAAGAAATACAAGGATGTACATTCCTTTGTTTAGAAACGCAAATGTTGTGAAACAGTTTGCCCGGGTGAAGCGTGGCCTAAGCTCAGTTGACGAAACAATTTCGAGAATTTACTTAATTAAAAAAAAAAAAAAGAAAGCAGATATTGATCATTCCACACACACAAATAAGTGTTTTCCATTAATAATATTTAAACAAAAAGAACTTTTGTAGTATTAATGAAAGCAGGGAAAGGCTCTAAACAGATGCTACGCATTTAGAAATATGTTAAGAAAGTTCTTTTTCTCTCTTATCTTCCGTTGTTCTTTTTCTCTTTCTGTTTTTTCTCTTTTTATTTTAACGTATATATATGTGTGTGTTATTTAAGTATATTCTATACACACAGAAAATCATTTATATAAGTTTATCTAAAAACTAAATTTGTTTTTGCATTTAGCGTTAACATATGTAACAAATGAAAGAGTATTTATTTTATACGTGAATAGTTTTTAAAGCATTTAACGTGAGTTTGTATTAGTTTAAAACTGATTTATATGCGATATATATATATATATATATCATATTTTAAATGAGAAAGGATCCTATGAATGGGAAGAGTATTCAAAAAGGTAATTAATAAGCTCAGATTTAAAAGGACTATACATATATATGTATATAGAATTAAACTTCGGAGAAGGACCAAAAGTTAAAATTACTCAGAAGGAGTAGAATAACAAATATTTTATCTTGTTCTTGTTTTTCGTGCCGAGAAAAAGTACTATTCATCAAGGGACACTATCAGGTATTTTTTACTCCGTAACAAATTTTTTAGATATTTGTAGGTTTAAAAAGACGTTTTGTCATTTCACCATATGTGTACAATTTCTATTTTGATTCGAAGACATGAAAAAATTATGACTTACATTTTATCAAATTGGAAAAAAGAGCCTAAGATTATTTTGTATTGCAGTAATGATTGGCTTGTAGGTCACCGATTCGCTCACTGACCTAAACGAGAACATTGGATTTATCTCGTTTTTCAATAGGTAGATCTTCAGCTGCTTTGCGCGTAATAAAGAGCGTGATAAGCGCGAGCGAGACGGATAATCTGGCCGCTCGATATACATATATATATATATATATATATATATATAAAGATCTACCTTTTCTACATGCGATGAGGATAAAACTCACTTGATCTACGAGCATTCAAATCCACTGACCTAGAAGCGATCACCGCTCTGTATGTACGTTATTCAAAGCACTACATTTATCTTGTACACACAACTGCTTTTCGTCCTTCTTCGAATTTTCACGTATGCTCAGAGAGTATCATATAATTCAAACGAATAGCATACAAAGAAAATAGAAATTACTTCATTTTCACAAGTATGTACTTTGATAAGAGATCTTAAAGACTGTTATGTGATAGACGATATTTTTATAACGGAAAAAAACTTCCTCAGAATTTACATAAGAAAGTTTCATACGTTTTTCGGTTTTCTCTCCGTTCATAAGATTGGTATCGCTCAGAAAGAAAGCGATTAGATTATAAAAAACAATTATATATATATATATATATTATATATATTATATATATATATAATTATATATATATATATAATTATATATTATATATATATATAATTATATATATACATATATATACATATATATATAATTAACGTGAACGTTCTGTTGTGTACGATATTAGCGTGTTAACTGGTAAAACAGTTCTGTGTATTACACAAAAAAAGCAGCATATTGAGACAAAGCTATAAGACACATTTCCAGACTGGTGCATGTTACCATGACAGAAGAAACCCAATACAGTACCTGAATAGAATAAGCTATATCTTTTAGAGTGAGACATAGAGAGATGTCAATGTTGTTACTGTACCTCCACTATTGTTATTTATTACATTTTTCCATTCACTACATACTTTAGACGAATACATTTACACACACAGAATCATGCAATAACAATCACCCATAGTTACAGTATGAAAAGCTAACATTAGAAGTAACCTCGGATTTGCACATATATTAAAGACTAATCGTACTTTTATTCCATAGAAATATTGCCGCATTTTTCATAACCAGAATCCTCTAGAAGCCAGACTGAGAGTGTTTTTAAAGAATATTTTTTATTTTATACCCAAGCCGTTACGTTATTAATTATTAATACTACTCCGATACCTCGTGTGTTTACTGGAAGTATGTTTAGTCGACGACTGTGCACCATAATTTATTTATTTCTGTTTTATCGATTTCCGCAAATCATTACAATAGCTCTATGTTTACAGATCAGATACAGCTCTACAGAAAGATTTATTTACACATGAATACATGGAACTTGTTATTATTGTATTATAAGTATAATTTTGAGAATCTCAGATCTTTAGATATATATAACATACATATACAATATTGAATTTATGAACTCTTGCACGAGATCCTCTCTTCTCGTGTAACAGCCTCTATGTTGCGAATTATATTCGCGCATACTCAATGTGTTTTATGCTTATAATTTCTTATTTAATTCGTCTGACTTGCGTTTGTTGTCACATATAATGATGTAATGCCTGTTATATTTTGTATTATTTTCCACATTTGTTGAGGATGTATGTTTATATGCTTTTTTTGATAAATTTTTGTGTTTGTTGACAAATGTATTTTGACAAAACTCATGTAGCGTGAAAAACAGAGTTGGCGTATGATGACAAGAAAAGAGTCAGGATGCTAAAACTCCGATCGTTCCTTAATCCATGTTGTTGACATCGTGCACCAGAAAGGTACATTCATGTTACACCCTTGCAATTTTGAAAATGTAAATATAGTAGGTAAAAAAATATTTGCACATCCTGTTTTGATTGATTTACACAGACGGAAATGAAGTATGTGTGTGCGTGTGTGTGTGAAAGATGCTAAGAGAAATTTACAAAATAAAAAACATATGTAAATTTACAGAAATGTTGCGATATAAAATATGTCATTTAATATATTATTAGTATGTACAAATGAAAACGATTATATCGACACGGCGCGCGTTAATATTCTCCTGTTTTGTGTGTACGATTATTTCTAAAGAGAGAAATAAAGTGTGCAAATATTTTTTGTACTTGGGAGAATATTTTGAGAGACAGCTATTATTTATGAAAAACCAAAAGCGTTCGAACGACAAAGGATTAATTTTAAGAGAAATATGCGTTGAACGAAGTGTAAGCAGCAGAAAGTATGTAATAAGTAATGTTTTTTTCAGTACATAATAAGAGTAATGATTTTATATTGCTTTCCTACATGTTGTAATAAGTTTGTAAATGGCAGTTGTACAAGTTTCGTAAAAAAAAAAAATAAGTTTACGCTTATTATATACATATATAAGTTTTTTTATATGTACATATATATATATGTATGTATAAACTGTTTTCATTCATTTTTTACACTTTAAGTGAATGCTTGTAACAAGTTTATTCCAATCACATATATTACTGCTCGAAAGTGTGCAACATCTTACTATAAAAACTTATGTTACATAGATTCATCACTTTTATGATAAAACAGCAACAAAAAATTTATATAATATATAGTAACAAATTACAGTTGTGTAGCTGACAAAATCCTCCGATTAAATTTTATTTTTATACATAAAAATACATAAAATTCTTGTTTTTTCTTGACTGTCTGATACAAACCTAACATTTTGGTGACAAATATTGATCGTCTTACTTGTATACATATATTTGTGAAGTTTTGTTGTTGTTTTGTATACTATTAAAATTTAAGGCCCGTTACTCTACTGCCGTATCTTGAGTGAACTTTTATAAAGATATATTTTCGATACGATGTAATTAAAATATCTAATTAAAAGGTTTTGCAAACCTTTTGAATGATTGATGGTACATAATTCTGCTGCTACTTCTGATTTTATGTTACGATTGTATGCAGAAGTAAACAAACCAACTCCAATAATCAGTAATTTAATCATTTAATTTTAAAATCTAATATATATAAAAATATTCTCTTTTATATATATATGTATACATCTTTAGTGAAAAAGATAAATGTCACAATTTCTTTACGTTCTCACATTTTTAAACTAATTACACATTGGCCACTTTATATGAATCACACACATACACGCCGCCTCAGAAATTTCTTCATTCACTTTAATAAATGCTAGATATACCTTTTCAAAATAGATAATCCATCTTTTGTTTAACACCATGTATGTGTGTGTTTTGTGTATATACAAACACTTGATTAAAATAAAAAGGTTTCTCAACTTTATTCGCAGTTTGTGAACAGATACATTGTTGGAATGTAGCGACTATAAAACAAGTAGCTTCTTCTTATACATGTACCTAACAGTAGGAAATATAGATATTTTTATTTATTTATTAATATATAATTTTTTTTAACAATTTTTAATTGATGTAATTCACAGTCTTGAAAAAGTGGTTTATAAAAAGTCATCTTTTCTCTATGTTTCTAAAACTTGTATAAATTGTTATACAATTCAGGAGCATTCTTTTACACATTTATATTATCTTTGTGTCTAAGATCGTAACAACACATTGTCTCGAAGTTTAGTGCTTGACTAGCAACTTTCAAAGTGCGGGAGTTTTGTCTCGAGAACTAAATGTTCTTTTTATTAAGAGTAAGTACGCTAATTGCTAATTTATCACATTGACGATAGGCTTGTCCACGAAATTCGATGTTGATGCGAATTCCATACACACGCGTTTCTATCTAGACTTACATTTATATAAATGTTTTTTTGTGTCTTGGAATGTATTAAAAAAACCACCAAAAAGTAAAGACGTTAACATACATATATGTATATATATGTATAATAGAGTATATGTGTGTGTGTGTATTAACTGTATAGAATTCGAGAATCCTTGTATATTTTAGGCACAAGATACTCATGTATCTATAGGTATGTATCTATAGTCATCTTAAGCTTGTTGTCGATACTAGAATTTTAGCAGTCCATGGATATTGCAACGCTCATAAAAGTAAAGAATGCGGGAAGATTCGCATGCTTACGTAATCGTTAAGTACCTGAAAATTTGAAATTTATTATTTTGTTTTGCAGTTTTTTATATAATTTTTTTTTTCAAATTGATCTGCAAAACGGAATGTCTACTGCTTGGAAAAATCTCTGAAGTTCTGTTTTATTTTTTTCTTTAATGAAAAAAATCAAAATTTTTAGAAAATTTTTCATTGATATTAAAATATAATATTATCGCCATTCTATAATTTGGTCTTTAGTTTTGGAAAGTTTCTGGACAATCAGAGACGTGTTCGAAAATTGTACAAGTAGACGTTCTGCAAAAGCGAGTTATTAATTACCTCCTTGAGAGCAGTTTTTGTTAACTTAGGATACAAGTATGTGAATCCTGTTTTCGATAGCTTTCCGGGTTGTAAGTACAAGTGTTTATTATATAAAAGTTCTTGATCTATATACGGCGATAAAGGACTGTTTTCAACACCGTCTTTACGACACGCTTCCGCCCAAGGACCCATGTGTTTGTCGTTAACTTCTTCGACAACAGAGTTCATATCGGCCTGAAGCATAGAGACATGACTATTGATTTCTCGAGACTTTAAAATAACACTCAAATATTTCACTGCATCGAAACATGCAATACCTTAGCCAGTGTAGATAGCGCAGTGCCCCAATAATCGTGGTTGATGTTGAAGATTTCGGACACTACAGAACTTATGAAACCTTGAGTGGTATCTCCTTCGTCAACGAGGTTGTACGTCTGGCCTATCGTTTCCGGCTTATTCGCGACGTGCCAGATAGCTCTGACAACGTCCGTCACATGAACGGTGTTCATGTGAAGATCTGGTCCCCAGAGTAACTTCATCATCTCTCCTAAATACTTATAAACTGCACCTACTACCAATCTTGGTGCTGTAAAATTGCGAAATTTGTTTTTTTTTTTGTTGGAAGTGTAGTTCCTTATTTAGTTAGTGAAAAATAAGAAATACATTAGTAATGATATTAAAATAAATTCCAATGAACTGAGACAAAAACTTAAGTTTATATGAAAGAAAATTAAAATGTCAAGAACAAATTATATTCTTAAAATTACCTAAACCACTTCTGTCACCACAGCCATATACAATAGCTGTTCTCAATATAGTATATTTTAGGTCTGGTATATCTTTTAATTCCTGTTCTACTTGTAACTTATACTTTGCAATAAACGTCCATGGTTCTCCAGTATCCTCTTCTTTAATAGGTCTCTGAATCCAATATGTTTGTATTATTATTGTTGTTTTTATTATTCTTGTGTTATAGAAAATAAATGCACAGTACTCTCTCTCACCTTTTCTGAGGTGGTAAGGTTACCAGAAGATATCTCTACATAACGAGAAACTTTGATCTTGGCTGCTTGTTCAGCACAGTTCATGCTGAGTTTATAAATACCTTCTTTATAAACAGGATCTGTGAGGCTGCTCTTAGTCTCTCCGGCACAATTGAACACATAATCAATAGGCTCATCAGATGCAAATGCATTTTGGCAGGATACTGTAACAAACATCATTATCTTTTTGTTTATGTTTTATATATATATGTGTTACAATCAAAGAACAGAACTTGGTTTATTAATACTCTACTGAAAAGTAAATCTATACACATGTACTCAGAGTTTTGATAAATGTATAGAAAAATGGATAAAAAAATATAGTTACCTGTATTAATCAAATTAGCACTTCTGAACTCGAGCAAGGGGTGTTGGAACACATGCTGGTGCTTCGCGTTAAGCCAAGCGGTCTGCGGTGGCACTTTGTCGACAACTCGCACGTACGACACCAACTCGTTATCCAGCAGATATTCCACGAGATTACGACCAATAAAACCGCATCCTGCGCGAACGTTATCCGCCTTTTAATCGTCATCGTAACAAAAGACCGTTTGTTTCCGTTGCATTTTTTGTCAATTTTCTTTTCTACGCTCTCGATTAAAAAATACAGTTTTAAATATAGAAAAAAAATGCAACGGAAAAAAAGCAGATCTTGTTTTCTTATCATTCTCTCGTTTCTTCCTGTGTCGCAAGAAGAAAATTAAATTCGCATGTGAGATACCTCCTAGAACGATTACCCTCGCTTTCTTATCACAAGTGGGCGTTGCCATATTCGCTTGTCATTTAATTTTAATCGCGTCACGAAGAGATAGCACTTTTGTCGGATCCTTCAACAAACGGCTTGCAAATGTTCGATGCCACTTAAGACGACTCTTCGCGGCGTACACATGTACACGTATATGTACATGCATACATACACCTGGATGTATCGCCCACTTGCCGGTTTCGCTACGGTTACACACGTTGACGTTTTCCTACAGTGTGGTATCAAGTTGTCAAGGCACAGAATGTACAGATGATATACTGGAGTACACATATGTCAAATGTATGCGAGTTCCACTTGGCGATCGCAACGCGCACAATAAGCCGAATACGCAATTAGACCCGAATTAGGATTGGTCGATTTTATCGAATTCAGTTTCGATTTTTCATTGGTTTCCGCGACCATTGCGAACTCGATCTAAATAATGAAAACTGTCAGTGGTGACCTCTCTGCCGTTTCCGTTCCTTTCAACCCACGTTCTTCTAGGCCTCGTGTCTTTTCCGCTTTGTCAAAATGGTAAGACGATGTGTCGATCTTTGATTTCGTTGAAAAATCGAGCGATATCACGCTGTTGTATATTAAATCGCGACAAATACGCTCGTGTTCATCGTGTGTCAGGTTGTTTAAATTCATTTTATAATAAGCATTTCTTTCGCAGGGTATTGATATTAATCATAAGCATGACAGGAAGGTGCGGCGTACGGAACCGAAGTCGCAAGATGTGTACTTACGACTTCTCGTCAAGGTAGGATTTACATTCAATATATTTGTTAGAAATTGCGTTATTATCAGTTAAATTTGTCTGTGTGTAAAAAACCTAAGCATGCACGCATAGAAAAAATTAAAAAAAAAAAATTCTGTCTGTGTGTCAGTGTTTTCGTTTTTGCACATGTTTTGGTTTTCAAAATTTTAGTTTTGAAATAAAAGATCGCGACTGGATGAAATAATAATAATTGTATACTTAGGATTTATTATAAATTAAAACTTTAGTAAAAAGATTCCACTTCAAATCGTAGTAAAAAAACACTCTAAGTATTTTTAAGCGTTTTGGTTGCAAACACAAGTTGAGGTTAGTTTTCCTATTTGGCTGTGTATGTAACAAGTCTCTTTTTATTTCTTTTTTTTTCTATTGTTTAAAGTTAAGTTAAACAGAATTTAAAAAGTTATCAGAGGCATATTTGATAAAACATGCGAACTGCACTCTAGATCAGATCTTTTTTATAGACTGATATAATTTGAAAGTTCGCTATAGAAATTTGTCAACTATCTTTTCTCGCTTATTTTTCTTATAAAAAAAGCGATTATTCTAGTTGACACAAAGTTTTGTTTATTTAAAAAAATTAAAATTTTGTAATATTCTAGAGAAAAATCAGTTTTATATAAACCGGTGAACATTCCTTCGGATTCTTTGACCTATATGTCACTTGTTTCTGTTCTATCACAAACTGAGCCTTGTTTTACCAAGTGTTCAATTGATTGTTTTAGCTGTATCGGTTCCTAGCAAGAAGAACAAATTCCAAATTTAACAAGATCATTCTGAAGCGACTCTTTATGAGTAAAATTCATCGACCGCCTATATCTCTTGCGCGTGTTGTGCGATTCATGAAAAAGCCGAACCGAGAGAAGTGTATTGCTGTAATCGTTGGTACCGTCACTGACGATGCTAGAATTTTTGAAGTTCCCAAATTGACGGTAATTATTACTGTTGTGTCATTTTCATAGAATATAAAATTACACACATTTGATATATATGATATACCAAGTGTGTGTGCATTTTATCTAATATCACAAAAACGTACGATAAATTAATGTGATCTTACAGGTATGTGCTTTACGTGTGACCACGAAAGCTCGGGCGCGCATTTTGAAGGCCGGCGGTGAGATCATTACGTTCGATCAGTTGGCTTTGCGAGCCCCAACCGGCAAGCGCACGGTTCTGATGCAGGGTCCACGCAAGGCTCGCGAAGCTGTGAAACACTTTGGTCCAGCACCTGGTGTGCCGCATTCGCACACGAAACCTTACGTGAGATCCAAGGGTCGGAAGTTCGAGAGAGCAAGAGGCCGTAGACGCAGTTGCGGTTATAAAAAATAAACTTCTCACACTCTTATTCGACACTCAATTGCAATCTTATTTTAGACTGTTGAGTGTGAATGGTAAATAAACTTAAGTTATACAATAACTTTGTTTTTTTCTTTTTTATCTTCTACTGTGCATATATATATGTATGTTGAGAAATGCTTATCACACTTGTGAAACAATTTTTTATACATACTTTATAGTTTCCGAGAGACTTGACCAACAATCGCACATGTAGAAATGAGAATTTCAAATAGAGCATATGAATTTTGCCCAAACATGGAGTTATTGATATTTTGATACAAATTTATTGCCTGATATATCTTTTATATCACAAGAAAAAACCCATCTAAATCCGAACTGATGCAGTGCGACTGTTTTTCGTGCACATTAAAAAAGATCAGATTTTATATATATATATTTCCTTCCCCAGTTCCTAATTTGCGTGTCAAGTACCACAATAACGCACAATGTGGCACAAAAGCGGACTTAAGCAGAGCGTTAGATTGAGAAGAAAAAAATCGAATTCAATTTAGCATTTTGGAGTGAATACTAATGTGAATATAGATCATAAAAATTATAGTATGCAACATTAATCGCATATCTGCCGACGTAATGTACACAAGATACACCTGTTGACAGAAAGTGCTTCATTATTCGTTTCGACAGAAAAAAATAATTTACGTTGATACGCGATAGAGCGTATCAATCGTTTCTGATCGGCTATACCATACGGTCGGATTGCGTGCGCAGTAAAGAAGGAGAGATTCACCGATATTTCGGCCTCTCTCGGCCGTTTTAGGCGAGACACAACGTGTATGTGCGTGTACGTACATACATACATACATATTTTAGTAAAAGTATATACACACGCGAGGTGTATAGTATGTACACGTATATACGTACACACACAAGTTAGCCGCTTGACGCGGCGCGGTGTGGCTCGAGTAATACATCAGTCGCCATCTTAGCAATCGCGATCGGTTCCCTCTTCGCACTGCCGTCGTACGTTCCCGCGCTTGTGTGCGCAGCGTTGTTTCGACAGGCCAGGTAGAGCCCGTCGACGAGAATCAACGCAGCCAAACAACCGGGGAGGAGAGCTCGCCTGCAAAACGAGGCGGCAACGACGGCGGCGGCGGCGGCGGCGGCGGCGAACGACGACAGGGAAGCAGCCATCAGCGCGAAGTGGGCGGTGTACGACGCGCGAATACACAACTCGGTTTTTCTCGCTTTTATTTGTGACAACTTTGGGGTCTCGGCACGTCCGATTAATACACTTGCCTTCAATTCCGCGCGGGTGACGTGGTGTAGAAAATTACGGTACACCGTCGTCGTGACAGGACGATTAATATAGGGCAGAGAGAGCGGAGAACAAGAAGTCTCGCTGGAGAATCGCAAAGAGTTAAGCGTGAAAGAAAAAAGGAAAGATAATCTCTCGTTCGTGAGTGAATCGGTGAAATAGTATTTTTTAAACGGAAGATGAGCTGTCAACGTAACACTGGCAAAATTACGGTGCCAGAGGACTTGCGCGACGTCCTGCTAGAGTTCACGATCAGCTACTTACTGGAGCAGCCCGGCGACATTATCGACTACGCCGTAGATTTTTTTACACGTCTTCGCGATGACCGGAGGACGCAATTAATTCAGGCCGACACCTGTGGGTCCACACCTGACGAGTCCGTAGACGACGAGGGTGAGTCCTGATGATGTATACATATATGTATGTGCGTATATATATAATATATATAAGTATATATAATATATATATAAGTTGTGTACTTTCTCTTTGCTATATATTATATATATATATATATATGTATATGGAGCTAATTAACATAATTGATGTAAACTAATGAATGTGAGATATTTCAAAGATATAATGGGCAAGTGTACACAGTAATACCGTTATGAACAAGGAAGGGATTAACAGAGATTAGACTTAGGGTTAAAGTAGTACTTTGCAATAGCATTAATGTAAGCTTGTCTCTGTGTATTTTTTTACAGATATGAAAAAGAGAAGATAACAATTTCACATATAATTCTCTCATTCCTCTTTCTTGATCCCTTCTCCCTTCTGTGGAGACATCTCTCAAGAGTGATTCCATCAATGACTGTTGATCTTCCAGTAATGAACTTGAGATAACTTTTGATCCATAAGTTTAATACATTTGTAAAAAAAAGATGATCTTCCTGACGTCCAAGTTTATTAATCTTTACAATATCAACTTATTGTAACTATCCAATTTTTAGGTATCCATATATAAAAAAATCATGGTGTAAAAAAACAAAAGAATTGCGTCCGTAATGTCATGATCAATCAAAAATTGGTTCCAAATCTAGCACAAATTTGTTAACCCTTTAAGTATACACGTATCTTCGTCGAATACTAAGTACAGATATTTGAATACCTTACCGTCTTTTATTACATGTTAAAATATATAAATGTGTCTAAAACTTTAATTAATCGATTGTTGTCTATAGTTTAACTCTTTTGGGAAATAATCTAGCCAATTTATTTGCCTAAAATTTGTTTTGTTCCGATTGCAATTTAGAAAAAGAAGAATCAGTTTTTAAGCTCAAAATTCAGAAAATGTGATACTCATTTTTCTATATTTAATTTTTGTACAATTATATTTTTATGGAATATTTTAAATTAAATCTAAACGAACGCACAAAACAAACAATATTATTTACAAAATATATAAACAATTAAATAATAAATAACTTAAGTTAAATAACAACTTAAGTTAAATATTCAAATAAGTTAAAAATTAAATGTTAATTTTATAATAGTTATAAGTTAATGTTATGTTAATTTTTTTATTTCAATTTCCGAAAACTGTTATAAAAATAATTTATTAATTATTAGATGTTTTAACTCACATATTTCTTGAAATGACAGATATTGACTCGAAACATCAAACGCCATATTCGTCATATCGAATTACGGGCTAAATTTTGATTGGCTGCTATTGCGCATCTACAGGAAATACATCTTGTTTCCTTACACCAAAAAAACCTTGCAATTTACGTATTTAATATATTGTTACGTTAAGTCTGAATTATACAAATCATTTTATATATATATATATATATTTTTTATAGACTTCTTTCTTATACGCTAGTTATTATTCTTTTGCTTATTTTTTCCTCTCTTTCGCTTTGCTGATTTAAAAATTTGAAAGGTTATCAGGTGCCAAGGAAGAAAGAGAGAAATTTCCTTGAATTTTACAAGAATTGAAAGATGAATTAAAACCTATTTGGTTTCTTTTTTTTACATTTGTATATTTTAAACATTAATTATTTTAATTAGATAATTGATAATAATTGCAGATTTGTGCTACCGTATATATAAAAATATCACTTTATACACATATAATATTTATATCTTATTTTGCGTTTGAAGTTTCGTGTCTCTTTTTTTACTCTTTATTTATGCCATTTTCATTTTAAACTACTTCTTATCAGTCAAGAAAACGCAGTCGAGTTTCTTTCGTATACATTTGTTCTTTGATTAAGAGAAACGAATGTTTATGTAACTCCGTGTAATTCTATGGCTACGATTGTATATACGTTCTCTGTATTTTCCTGTGTTTTACTTTTGTATATTATATCATCTTGCGTATATCATTGAGAACATTACGTGCGTATAAACATCACGTAGTACGTAATATATACTGAAAGATAATAGATGTGTTTTCATCAATCTATTTTTATTCTCATCATTCATTCATTATTCCGTTTATTTGTGCGTCGCTCGCAATTTTAGACTCTGAAGAACATTCCGACGCCACTAGAGATTGCTCGGAATTAATAATTTATTCGCATACTTCGATTCAATCATGTCTCTCTTTATCATTTATCAGACCCGTATCTTTTAGTTCCGCTTGGATTCAAGTCGATAATCGATCAGCAACCCTCTCCTCGCTCCCATCAACCCTCTCACGTGGTTTCTTCGTAACACTCTGCCATCTTCCATGTATCAACTCGCTGGATAAAGCCTTCGGGGTAAAACCTTTGGCGATATATTAGCGTCGCAAATACAGGGCGAGCTTCAGTCCTCGAGTTGCATTCACGAGGGATCCGTTCTGTGTTCGTATCTCGGGAAAATTTACAAGTAAAAAGTGCGTGTGGATATAGTCACTATCGTACGTTAGAAAAACTTTTTGTGAAACTCACCCTTCGCGCTCGTTAGTTAGTTTGTTGTTTCGTCGAAAACTCCGTGCTAAAAGTTTCGTGCAACTACTTTGGCAGTCTTCGGTTCGATCTGGCTGAACTTCTCGCGAGACCTGCGCACAATTTAGGAAGCAACACCGTGTCCCGCCAACATCGTCCGGTCAGGCGCTCTCAGAGAGGGTCGAGATTCTTGGGTGATTGGCGGTTTCGACAGTTTCACCCGGCGCTTTGCTGGTGCAGCGAGACGCGCTCTCGCTTATTCTCTTGTCTTGATTTTTGCCTGGTTTTTTTTACGCGTCGCGGAGTTTAAATCACGCCGGGAGCAATTCGCGCGCACAACATCGGGAAATCAGTCTATAGGATCAGAAAAAGTGTCGAACTATGTTTGAGTCACGCGATCATTGAGAAATATTTTTTGAAGACTTTGTTCGTTTATTTTCTGCGCGATTGTGGATGTGTATATAAGAAGATACACGTACACACACACACACACACACACACACACACACACACACACACACACACACACAATATGAAACAAAAATAATATATTATCTGTTCCAAAGTCTTGTACAGCAGTTACACGTTCATATGCACAGTAACGCGCATATTTTAAGATAAAGAAATGTTTGAGAAAACGCAACTCTTCGTAAAAATGATTCGTAATACGTCAGTAGATATTATTGGCAATGTTTTATTTAAGTTTTAATCATTGAAACGTCTCAGACGCGTGCCAGTAAATATTTCTCTACTTTCGTGCTGTAAGTTTCGTGTGTCTTTGATTTCTCTCGCACACACACACAGATTCAATACTTCCTGGTATACATCTTCGCGGTAAATATTTATTCATGCAGATTTAATGAAACGCGTTAATACGTCGCGGTGTGATATATATCGTCAAACTCGACATTAAAATTTCGTTCCTACGTCGAGAGCTTGTACCGTGCCAGCGATTTCGAAACTGTATCTCGCGGTATCGTGATTGCGTAGAACTTTGTGAGAGATGCGCGGAAGAGATACTAGTTGAAGATATTTTCCTCATGCTGTTTTCTTTTATTAGTGTATGAAATAGCGCAAATTCACGCGAGTCGGTTGGAACGTCGAAAATAACTCGCAAAGTGGTCGAGTTAGTTTTGTCTTTTCTCTTCAAAGTCGAGTACGGAGGGTGGGTAGGTGAAACATATATCTTCGTCAGAATTATCCGACGAAGAACTCTCCACAACTCGCGCACGGCACAATTGCTAATTGACTTCGATGCGCTGTTTCACCGTGATTTCAGTTCTAATCCAACTCAGGCCCGTGAGACCACATTTCTATTCGAAACATAAATTCGTGGCAAATTGGATTTTAATCGCTCCCGGAGCAATTCAAACCCGCTTCATCCGCCATCGGTTCGTTTTCCGACGTAATTGCGAATCTAAATTTTAATGCGTTTTGTTTTTTTTCTTTTTTTTTTTTTTTTTGTTTTTAATTATGTGTTTTCAGTTTTTTAACTACAAAGAACAGAAAAAGATGCGCGTTTAGATTACTAGGTAGACGATATATCTCGTAAGTGCATTTCTAGTTTGTCACCCGAGATGTGGAACGATCGCGCTGGCACATGTTAAATAGGCGTCCGGTCGTTTAATTGTTCGTTTCACGCGTGACGTTATGTAAAATATGTTTGTACGACAGGTCGATGGAATGCAGAAGAAATATCGTAAGAAAAACGCTGAGTGATTACGATTGCATCGCACAAAATGTGTCTTACAATCGGTAGAGAAAATACGCGCAATTATCTTTTTTTTTTCGTGAAAATTCGGCTTTTTTAGCAAACTGTGAAAACTGTGAAAATTCAATCTTGGTCTTTATGTACAAAAGATAACAAAAAAAAAAAAAAAATACAGAAACGCATTTTTTATACATATATAAATTATAAAACAACTAGAAAACATAAATATGCAATTGATAGATAAATGTAGAAATTTAATGCAAATCAGGTATAAGTTGAAATGTAAATGTAAAATCGTTTTACAGAGAGATTACATTATGTTCGCGCGTTCGGTTTATTTTTTCTCCGGAACATTTTGTCTGTGTATTATTACATACATATTCAATATATTTCTCTCTCTGTGTTTCGTTGAAATGTCTCTCGCATTATCAAACATATGTCGACACTTCTCTTGTGTTCAGTCAAATTAATTTTTTTAAATTTTTATAATAAAAATATGATACAAGCAGATGTAATAATTTTTTAATATAAGTTATAAACTATATTAGTGATTCGTCTTCCCCTCATGTGTGTAAAAGTGTCAGTCATATTTTATACAAATTTTATTTTATATCATTACGTTGTAATGGATTTACACGTAAGCCGTATATTTATAAGTAGATCGAGGTACCTCGGTGAAGACAACAAAACGTGTAAACTTTTTTACCGAAGTGCAGAGGGTGTATTGCACGTGTGCCTGAAAAGGAAAAAACTTGTGCTCGTCTTTCTTGTGTTTCCCTTTTCTTCACGGACCAAATGTCGCTCATCTCCGTTATTGAGCCAATGGATGATAAAGGTGCGCGAAAAGAGATACACACGCCCTGTACATACATATACATACACACGAACACATGTAGTGCCTTTTATTATAAATTAATAGCTAGACATAAAGGGGCTTCTCAGGTACTCCGTTCTAACCATATTGAATTATGTGACGTCACAAGCGAGAAATACACAAATTTTTATCGTGCGATTATTCAAGTACTTTTTTTTTTACATGGCACCGTACCAAATATTCGAGAATACAAATATAAGATTCACAGAAAAAAAATATTTCCTTTTTGTGAAGAAAAGAAAAAAATTCTTTTTTTTACTGTCTGTGTTTTTAGAATTACTATTCATAAATCTTGATGTCGATTGTCGCAAGATCTATTTTCAATGTAAATATACGATAGATAATACAAATATTCGATACATGTACATTAGATGCGCGTTTATCAATGCGGAACAATAAACCGGACGGGTTTTCGACGCATTTTTTACTAATCTATACTACCGAACGCCCGATACTGGCTCGGTAAAAAGTAGTTTATTTCACTTATGTAAGTTGCGTGACGAAAATGTATGACTTTTTATAAGAGAGAATTTTCTCACTCGAGAAGTTCATAATTTAGTGTGACTGCAACGAGAGTACTTGAAAACTACACGTATACGAATAACAATATTGTTTTTATTCTAAAACCGTTCCTTTAGCATATACAAAATTTATATCGATTCAAAATTTTATTTGTTCTAAAAAGAATAGTAGAAGAGTGTTGCAAGATAAGAAAGAATAATAGGAAAATGTTATTCTGTTGAATAATATATACAGAGAGTTTTGTCTTTATATACGTATTCATCTATTTTACATACATATTCTTTCACCTACTATATTATTATTATATGTATATATTTTATTATTTTTAAACTTCGAAAAATTTTGTTTTACGCGCAAACTATTTGCTCATAATCAAAGTGATATTGAACAAAAATATTTCTTTATATTTCAGAGCCACCGGTCGGTCGGTTTGCTTCTAGAAGAAAGAGCGTTTTCGCAGAGACTTATAATCCCGAGGATGACGAAGAAGATGACGGCTTCAAGGTACATCCTATGTGCGCATTGTTCGCAAAACCGTCAATTGCGAGTTCGTTTATCATCAGTTATTATCAATTTTCCGCAACTTCTTGCTTTTTCAACAACTTTAAGAATCTTTTCGATAATGATAGAAAATTATGAAACGTCGTTATACAATATTATATGTCTCCCCCGTTATAGTAATGTGTGTGTACACGAGGGGTATATATAATATTCTGCAATCTATTAGGGCACATTGCGTGTTCCCGCCTTGCGTTCCTCCCCCTCTTTCTTTCTCTCTCCTTTCTTTCCCGACATGCTGCCGCGCGAATGACGAAACGCAAGCGAAGAGGTTACTTTGCTCGACGATGCGAGGCCGACGATGTACCTTTGTGACGTCAGGCCGCGTGTTCGATAACCTGGCACGGACATGATTTACATACACATACGTACACTACCTTGTATGTACACAGACCGCCACTGAATCGTTCCGCGAGAGAGGAAGTAGGCAGTCCCCCTTCTTGTATGTACAATATGCTGACCTACTCGTCGGTCTCTGCGGCCGACCGGGCCGACCGACAGCGGCTAAAAGAGAACGACGCGTAGAAGGAGATGTCCTCCCCTCTCGCGGAACGAATCAGTGCTGGTCTGTGTACATGTGTATTTAGAGAAATTCTCATTTTATTAACATTTCTTTTGCTAAAAAAAAAAAAATGTTTACAAAATGCCGAACACCAACGTTGCACTCGTGCAATAATTTTTTCGAACTAATTTTTAAAGAAGTTTATAGGAAAATTTTAAAGTTCCTTGAATTCTTCGTTCCATGGTCAACCGGCGCACTTATTCTCGAAAACTTGACCGTACGACACATGAAACTCTTAAGATTCAATTGAAGCCAATGCCCCAAAATGCAAATCCGATCAGCTTTCTCTGACCCAACTTCATGTTTTTAAGAGAGAGAGAAAGAAGCACTTTTTATTCGAAAGACAATGTCTCAATCGGAAATGTGATAGTTCTTATCAAGTTGTTCCATGTAGAAACAAGCAGTTCCATGTAGAATAGATTTTACCGATGTTTTCTTTTTTCACGTACGCGAGCTGAATTTTTTGTCCAAAAAAAGCGTTTATACGGTTTATTAATTTTCAGATGGTTCATCCAAAGAGCGACGAACAGCGACAAAGGCTCAGCGACAGCGTCAAAAACATTCTTCTATTTCGTGCTCTAGATGTGGTGAGTTGAATAAACTGATGTGTTCATAATTTGAATGAATTATTTACGTGTCATGAATTTGTCACTTTATGTTGCTATGAAAATTACATTGGATTGCTGGTATTATTATTGATTAAACTAACACAAAATATGATACACGATTTGGACAGTTATCTAAATATTTTGTAATAAAAATGAAAGAAAAAGTGACAAATATCTAAAAAACCAGTCAGTCGTATTTGGTATTTATTTCAGCCACATTGACATCAGAAGCAACGTGAGAAATCACATAAAATTTTTATTTCGGAGTTTACATAAAACAAACTAAAAAAAATTTTTTTTTACTTGCATGTTACCACTTTGGGATATTTCGAGGCATAAGTCGATAAAATTTTTCGAAAACTTCTTTTCCGGGTTTGCAACTTGATAAATATCTCAAATGTCGCGTAAGGTCTATTTTTGCTGAAATAACGTACGTAGATTGATATACGTTGACTGTGAGTTATGTACGTGTTTATCAATGCGGAAGAAAGAAGGAAGAAGGAAGTGTCAAACGGATTTTTATCAGTTTAGAGAGTTATTTTTTTTAATTTTTTAATTTTTATTTTTGTCTTCTCTCGAATAACCAATACCATTGCGATATTGACATAACTTCGCAGTTATGAAAATGATGACGAGTAAATTCTGAAACGCGTAAGACAATATACATTACACATATATTGCGTCCTAAAACGTTTATGCACGTCTGATAAAATTACTTTTGCAGGAACAAATGGCGGACGTGCTGGACGCAATGTTCGAAAAAACCGTTCAACCGGGTGAATTTATTATCCGACAGGGCGACGATGGTGACAACTTTTATGTGATAGAGAGGTAATACTTTTTCTTTATATACTACAGTTAACGTATCGATAAGCTTCTCCCTTCAGCTGAAAGCTCCAGTGAACCGAGATGGGATATATACACACACCAGTCACCAGTTACTGCTTAAAGCTGAAAATATTCGAGCGCAGTCGCGTTCAATAATCCAGTTATTCAACTGTACATTTTATCGCAGTTTGAATTATATCAAAATACATTGTTTTATAACAATATATTATTCTTAGTAATATGTCGCTTGAATTGCTCGAATGAGACGAGAATTCTTGAATTTTCTCGAGTTATCTGTCGATCGTCACCATCATTATTGTCACTTCTCACATTTCAGAGGAAGATTCGAAGTTTACGTTAAAGACGCCGTCACAGGAACAGATAATCTTATTCACACTTACGATAATCGTGGCGCTTTCGGAGAATTGGCTCTTCTATACAACATGCCCAGAGCAGCCACCGTTAAGGCCATCACGACCGGCACACTCTGGGCTATGGATAGGCAAACTTTCCGACGTATTCTTCTCAAATCCGCGTACAAAAAGCGTAAAATGTACGAGACTCTTATAAACAAAGTGCCGATGTTGAAGTCCCTTGAGGTAAGTACTATGTTATATTTTCTAAAATAATATATACTAACTCCCTTCCTCTCGCAAATTGGGGACTCGTGAGTTAAAAACAAAAATTGATAGTTCAACGATTTTTATGATCCGAACTATATTGAACGCGGAAATATCTTTGCAGCCTTACGAACGTATGAATCTAGCAGATGCTCTTGTGCCGAAACACTATTCCGATGGCGAACAGATAATTAGACAAGGCGACACGGCGGACGGGATGTATTTCGTGGAGGACGGCGTAGTCAGAATTACTATACTCGGCGACAACGGCCGTGAAATCGAGGTGCATTTACGTTACTTAACTTAGTCCCTCTTTCTCCACGTTGTAAAACGATCCGATCGCACAACAATGTCAAACGTTAAGACAGCTTGGTGTTGAATTAATTCAGTATCTTCAATATCTTGTAGATTAATCGTGTTCCGGCTGGTGGTTACTTAGGTGAGTTAGCACTCGTGACGCATAAACCACGCGCTGCTTCGGCCTACGCTGTAGGGGACGTCAAACTAGCATGTAAGTTCATTTCATTCTCGCTCACGAACTTCAAATTGGTAGATAGCCAGTGACGGTAATACATAGATAGCTTGAAGCAAAAATAACGACGCTTACTGCAATAATTAGACTTGACTCAAATTGTATTATTAAAATTTTGTTCTAAACATTTGTTTGTTTTTTTCTACATGTCATGTGTTTATTACTAAATTCACGCGAAAATAATTTATATTTCCCCTTTTTGAAGTGATTTTTTTATTTATTCAACCGAGCATATTTTTGCGCTTACAGTTTTGGACGTTGAGGCATTCGAGCGCCTGCTCGGTCCGTGTATGGAACTTATGAAACGTAATATCGACGATTACGAGGATCAACTAGTCAAAATTTTCGGCAGCAAAAATAACATCTCCGACATTCGATGAATACTTTACGGGAGACAGCGCTCGTCATTGTCGTCGTAAAGAGGACACGACATTTTTCGTACAGTATAATGAGCACAAAAAAAAAAAAAAAAAGAACTTGTATCACCTACTTCTGAATCTCATCTTCGTGTATTTCGAGCGTCGTCTCGAAGTAAACAACTATGACTGTTCATTTTAGACATATACCAGTTAAGATTTGTCGATGATAGTTACCAAGTTTATACCTACCTACGCATTGAACAAAAACTAATAGGCTGCTCGACTGTACATGTATATTACGATACATGTATATTGATAAAACTTCTTTAAGACTGTGCTAGATCAAAGAGAAATGGAGTTACTACAATTTTATTATACATATTCTTGGTCGTTCTGCGAAATATTATCTTTCGTTTATGTCTTTCGAAATTGCAGTTGTAATACCGATACAAAGTTACATTATCATTTGACTTGTCCCCCGATTAATGTAACATCATTTATCTTCGTAACGTATGTACGATTTTTCAGTATTCTCGCGCATCACTCAATTTTTAAACAAAATCGTGGGGAGGGAGAAGCTTACATTTGTAAGATAATCGCAAAAGTCCAGAATAGTTAATAGAAAGAGAATGCTCTCCTCTGACACGTATTCCTCTCTCTCACTCTGTGTCTCTCTCTTCTGGTGGAAAAATAAATTAAAATAACAACTACGAGAATATTATCTAATTGATACAAATCTTGTAATGTTTCTACGAGATACACACACACTTACACGTGCATATCATTTTCCCAGATAATGAAAGTACTGGTATCATTATAATATTATCATTATTGGTAATTACCGTTATTGGACGTTGCTAACACAGACACGGAGCTATATAATATAATATTCTTTGATACACTCCTTTAATAGCATTATATCTTCATAAAAGTAGGTCAGACAATCAAGACTTTATTTATAATTTGCTGTGTAACCTCCACTTTATGAGCACGCACGCGCGCTACGCGCACACACACAAATTTATACATAAGCGCACATATTCGTAAGTTTTAGGTTTATTAATTTAATTTAAGTTAACATTCTCTTGCTCCACGTTACTGAAAAAAAATCAAAACTTTTTTAAGACATTAAAAAATTTTATTTAAACTAAAAAATTGAATAAAACAATTCACATAATTTCTTTAAATAAAATAGATAGATGATTAATTAAGTGCCAGATTTGTGTGTAGAAATGCACTCTATTCTACTAAGTTTTAATCACATTTTTTAACATTTTTATCAATAATTCAATTGCAATATTTTTACTCAATGATTTTGCACAATTTTAATGTCTCGAGTACGCCAGACTCGTGTAGATGCATTTTCATAAAATGGTCTCTCAAAAAAATACAGGAAGTCCCGGAATAAGCGAATCTTCAGGATTGGCTTAAATGTGCGGAAATGACGTGATGCAACACGCGTAAAGAACAATATATATTTTACACGGATATATGTACAGTATGTACATATATCCGAGTGTTCATCATCTGTGTAAAACTCTAAAAAGTGGAAGTAGAAAAGAATTCTCAGGGAATTCTGTCGTATTAAAAAAAATGAAATACAATTTCTCACAGAAATTTACATATAAAGTTTTCTTTTTTAATTAAAATTAGGATTTTTTTCGGTGTGTGAGAACTGCGCGTTTAAGCCAATCTTTTGAAATGTATCCTGCCGACAAATCGTGTTAACTAACTTATAAATTACCTGTCAACTTATTTGTATTATACATATGTATGTTGTGTATACATGTACAATACATTCATCATCATGATTAAGAATCAGTTCAATCTAGTGAACTCTGTACTTGGAATACTCACTTTTGCGCTTGGACATCGGCCACAACTAAAGAGCAGCTTTTCTATTTTTTTTCTTATATCTCTCTTTAGTGAATTTTTCTTTGGTCCAGACGTGAATAATTTATCATTTATTTCTAAAACACGCGTGAATTCTGTAGTACAGTAAAGAGTTCACTGATTCGAAGTCAGAAAACGATTCAATTATTGTACGAAAAAAAAGCGAATGCTAGTCAATTTCTATGATCGCGCTGTTCTCATATAATAGTACTTTTCTCTGACATTTGCGCTTGTTTCAAAATAAAAAAGAGAGAAGATACTTTTTATTGCTATTTATTATTTAGGCGATTGAGATACGAGAAGATAACGAGAAGAGCGATAGAGCTTTTTAACCCTTTCACTGGGGTCGCGCGGCTTTAATTGAGTAATCTCGAACCTTTATTTTATTTTTATGCTCTTAAGAGAATCTCAGAGAGGTAAACTGACTTCTCGTTAATAACTGATGCTACTTCTCGCACTGCATGATTAAATATGCATGGATTTTACAAAAAAAAAAAAAAAAAACCGTCGATATAATAAACACGATAGCGTCTACAGCGAAAGGGTTAAATAATGACATACTTGAAAGAGAAAGAAAAGACGGACGAAAAGTGAGACAAAAAAAAAAAAAAAGAATAACGTATTGAATTGTTGCTAAACAGTCGTGTTATATTGATTGCTTTCTCTTTTTTCTTCAGCTAGTAAACAATTTAAAGGTTTCGCGAAAGTGTTTAAGTATATATATGGAATATATATATGGAGTATATGTATATGTGTGTGATGGATACGAGCATATATGAATTATAGTTAAAAACAAATATCCAATATCTTTCGGCAATAATTCCACAATGCCCTTTTTTCAACGTAATGTCGACGTCTTTAGTCTTCCATTATATCCATTATGTCTCTAGACTGGGATGTTATTTTTGACTGAGTATTCCATTCCTTTCTTGTAGTCTACAACGGAAATAAGAAATCGGTGTATCTTACGCAAACGATCCATAAATTTCAATATGATTGACAGAAATGATATCTCGATCGTTGTTAAGTTTATGTGAAACTCTATACGTACGTATCACAAAAAAAAAAAATCACAAAAGAAAAACGTTTAGTGCATTGAAAGTAAGCTCGATACGCGTATAAGTACTTAATTGTGTTAGGCTACATTTGATGGATTAAGTGTAAAAGCATTGAAGTTATAGAGAGTCTGTCCATTCGATTGCTGTGTATATATAATATCTACAATGTGATTCGTCTTACGTGTTGCGTGTTGACCTTTGTGTATGCGTGTGTGGTATGTTGTGTGTATATTTGTACGTATGGCCGGTATTCACACATTCTTGTAGTTAAGATTGTCTTAAACTTATCGTTTTTAAGATGCTATAGGGGCCATCTCTCATTTGGCCACATAGCATCTGAAAATGAACATAAGACGATCTTAAATACAAGATTCGACTATGAATACCGATCTATGTGTGACAATCGAATCTAATTTGTTAGTTTATGTTGTTATATTCTCGATATAGTTTACTCTCCTACATAGTTATATACATATATATATATATTTTACGTGTTATTGTCATTGAAAGTAATACAGTATACCGAAATATGTTCTCTGCGTAAATATTGTAATATAGTTGTATTATTTATAGTTATTGTTTGTTTTCGTTAGAGATTCTCGCTTTTCCATTTTGAAACGGATATGAAAGATCTGAAAAATTTTGAAGAATTAAATTTTGTTGATTTTTTTTACATATATATATTTGCGATCTACATTGCTGGACAAAATTACACAATGTGTTTGTATTATTTTATATATTATATGTTTATGTATATTCCCCACATGCGCAATGAAGGCTGTTCAATTTTTTGTTGTGCTAGATTTTAATAGATAATACTAAATTAATTTAATAATAAGCAGTTTACAGCCACAACATAGAAATTTTAATTGTTCCTAATGTTATTGGAAATTTATAAATTAAACGTTGAAGAGTTAAATTAAAATACTATAAATGTTTCTTAGATTGTTTCGAAAATTTTAGTTGAAGTCTCAACAATTATCATATCTCATCAATCGTTTTACGAGATCTTTCTTTGACGTAAAATTATTCGAAATATTTTTGTTATGTGCGCTAACGATACTGAATTCTTTCGCGAAGGAGAAAGAAGAAAAAAGATTCTCTCTTGCGGAACGATTCAGCGTCGACCAGCGTGTGCACGCGCATTCGAAACAACGTAAAGCGTTTGCTTTTGATCCCATCAACTATTTCACTATTCTAGTCCAGAGTGACATGTAACATAGAAAATATTTCCGACCAAATACATAGCGTGAGCATCAAAATAAAGAGTCGATGAAAGTTGACTGCATTAAGAATAATTTTATAACGATTGCAACGTGCCAGAGTAATATGTTTATTTTCTATGTTTATGGTCTTTCCTTACGTATATGTTTCCTTACGTATGTGTTAATTTTTTCTTTTGATTTATGAAATATATATTATTACACAGTGTGTGTATATACAATAGTAACCCGACGTACACAAAGATGAAATAAATCGATTCCGCGAGAGAGAAAGAGTTGTTTTCTCCTTTTACATACTGTTTTCAGCGAGCGATCGACAAGAAATGGACAGCGGAGAAAATGAAATGCGTAGAAGAGGAGGACTTCCTCTCTCGCGGAACGATTCGGATGCCGATTGATGAACTCACTGACATAGTTGCGATCTTAGGATCACTGATATGTAAGTGTAGTCACTACCGCATATTGTCGCGCGCGGCAATATACCGTTGTGTATGTAAACGGACCAATTACAAGGAGCAATTTCGATCCTTGTCTATCTTGACGATTTTCGAGAGAGAATTTGATAAATTCTTTTTCTCTCTCTCTCTTTCTCTCATATGAAAAGAAATCGAAAATTCTTCAACTAACGTCGAAACTCTTAAAACTCTTCCTAATCAGAAGAAATTGTCCGTTAAATTTATTTGATCGATCTTCAAAGAAAATTTTTATTTCACAATCGAGATAATTCGAAGCTTTGGCCTCACACATATACGTTTGAAATAATTTTCTTTCTTCTTAGCTCTTCGACGAATCGCGAATTTTTCGCCGGTCTTACACATTTCTCGTGTAAAATTTTCAAATATCATGTAATAACTTTGTAACTGCCTCCCTTACTGTAACGCTTACAGTGATTTTAAATATTAGTTTCGTATTATATGTACATCACAAATGAAACTTTATACGAATCTAAATCTATATACGTGTAATATATACATATGATTCGAGAGAGAAGAATTTTCGCGAAATAATATCTCTATAAATTCTCAAGTCATGCTTAAATGCACTGAGAAAAGCAATACGAGTTTCTCGAACTCGATTGCGTGCTGACAATCGTCTGGTGTCACACACAAGAACGTTTGTTTTTGTCAAGAAAGTGTCATATTCTATTCTTATACACATACATTTTGTGTATCCTTTGTTATTATCTATAAAATCTTGTTATTTATGTGCGCGCGCACGCGCATATAACACCCGTCTGTTCCTGAGACTTATGCCCTTTTTCCATTCTGTTCTTAGATGTCAATAATATCAGCAATTTTGCTAAACAACAGACATGCGCACTGTTTTTATTGTTAAAAACCAACCGAACAAGAATATCTCCATTATGAGCAGTTGTAAACTTGTAAAGAAAATTCACAGCGTGCAGTGCTGGGAAACAATAGATAGTTAAAAAAATTTAGAAGATAAATTTTGTTTTAATTTGTCGCCAGTCCAAAAAAAATCGGAATGATGTCTGAGATATTAATTGTTGAAATGTGAATAAAATTTTATTAGTAATATATTATACATATGTACGCGCGTTTATCATGTTGTATTGTTGTCCAAAAACATTTTCCAACATTGTACGCATCAAATCCTCGTTACATTCTATTTTTTATCACGCTTTTGATCCAAAGCTTAATAAGGAGAAACTTTCTCGCTGATTATAATAAATATTTCATAAATTTAAGATACATAATTAGCTTTGAGATATGTACATGTTGCTTGAAGCGAGATGTATTGCATGTAGCAGGTAATATCAGAACGGTTTCCTTATGTTCCATTAGTGATGTAAGAACAAAGTTGATCCTAGTGTGTTTTTCTCTGGGTGAGTTGTGTACGAGCCATTTATTGACAAAGAAAACTGCGCACATACGAAGTACATTTTATTTTATAGTCCAAATTGACGTGTATATTTTCATCAAAAATGTGTCAAAGTTGCTCGTGTAATTTTACCTATCACTTAAAAAAAAAGAAAAAAGAAATAACAAAAATGTGTCTTTAATATTTCTGATTTGAAAAGAAAAAAACAACAATTATATTTAGTTGACCAGTAATTTTATACGTTACAATGATCTTATTACGTCAAAAAGAAATTTGACAGCATCTTGACAAGATCTTGTAAGACGTGGTACAGTTTCTTTTGTCAAGTGTGCGCGTACACAGAGCGTTATTATTATGCGTCCAAATAAAAATATGATTTAGAACGCGATCTTTTCCCGATGAGATGTATCTGAACAGAATAGATTTTGTATGTACATATAAGTATGCACATGCGCGCGTAGAACGATTTCTAGCCGTAACAAGTGTTGTAAGTGACGAGATATATAGTAATGTATGTACTTAATGTTTCTTGGTTTTGCGATGTGTTAATATTCTATAAAGAAATACGCATATATATATATATATATCCATATATATATATACATATATCTATATATATATACATATATATACATATATATATATATATACACATACACACATCTAGGATGTTTGCTTTAATTAGCGCCCAGTAATTATATGACGCTATTTGTTGTAGAAAAAAAACGCCGAACAGTTTTCAACTAATCTTTTCTGCGCGATGAAACAGGAATTGCTAATTTAAGTTTCTTTAAGCACACACAGCTGTCTCTTGAACGGAAGACACACTTGTGCGAGCGTAGAGAGTCCGTATGCAGAACAAGGAACCGACTCGCGCAATTGTCGTTAATATAGAATAACGTCACGTAATTTACTGGTCGCTGACTGAGAAATACTATATACATATACATTTATATTTAGATATAAATAAATAAAAGAAAAAGAGTTGTTAGGTATTATAGTATGTATAACAAAAGTTGTGCACACACTTTGGTATACTATACTAACACACACGCAGTATAGTATATAATTATATTATTATAAATGTCGACACTCGTTTCCAGCTGGTCTGATCGGGTATTATTCTAATAATTGAGATGTGTTGAAAAAAAAAAACCTCGGCAGCAATGCGATTCAAGAACGATATCCAAGAACCGCATGCAGGCAATCCAATTTATTGTACGATACTGATGCAAATATATGTCCAAATAATTTGTTAATATATCGAAGAGAGAGGTAAATAGATTTTATTAACAATTTTGTGTATGCGCTGTAAAAAGCAACACACAAAGATTTATCCAAATATGTAACACGGAAATAATCAGGGATAGTGCTGGGAAAAAATTTTAAGCAAGGGCTTGAAATGTATCTTGAATACATTATATCAACATGTGTAAAACATCATATTAGAAGACGATTACTTTATTTATTATAGGAGAGGAGGATAACGTGTTACTAACGTATATTAAAACTGGAGAACACACACACGATTCTCGATGAGTATTATTAGATAGTTGAAATTATATTATTGTCGATTCAATTCAAACACTATAATATTGATATTTATATATAAACAAAAAATACTACATCTCTATTTGATAATATTATTTCTGCTTTAAATTGTGTACTTTTCCCAGTGCTGATTAGTGGACGAGAATAAATTAAACGAGTATTTATACATTAAATAAAATCAACGAGTATTTGTACATTTATTTATACACGCTTGTAACAAAAATTTGTAAGATGCGCGATCGCACACAATACACACGTCCAGTTTTTTTTCTCAGTTTTAAAAAACAATAAACAGAGAAAACTTTATTTATACTTATATAAAACATGTACAAAATAAATATCAGACAATTGTAAAGATTTATTGCAATGCTTTACAGTGGTATATTATAATGCTTAGTAATTAGCGGTTTGTTTTGTTTCTCGTCGATTTATTGTTATACTGAGAATCATAACACAAAGATGCTATAACAACTGACAATATTTGTAAACAGCGATTGTTCTTCGTCCATTATGTTTTAGAATTAATGATACTTGGAATTGTTTATTTAGAAACCAATCTGTAATTATTTTTACACATATTACAAATATCGATTGTTAACGTCAATTTTTTTCAACAATATTTTGCAGAAAGAAAAAGAATGTAAGTTCTTTCAACATCTTTTTTGTTTTTAATATTTCTTGTATATCTATATAAATGCTTTTTTGTCACGCGTTTATTCAAATGACTACATGAAACAAAATCGTATTTGTACCCGTAATTAGTATCATACCTCGTACAATTAAAGAAAAAAAATATCAAAATAATTATTTTTTCAATTTATGCTATCAAGCGAGAAATATTTTTCCAGAATCTTTAACTTGATCGAAAAGATATTGGAAAAAGTTTTACATCAAGTTTTGTTAAATATTTTCTATAATTTCATATTTTGTTTTTTATACATGTTCATTTTTTTCTCACATACAAATGTCGCACAATCGTTGGACGCAATTAGATTTTTAGAGTATTGACTATTTTCCTGTTGAATAAAACTTGAATTAAACTTATTTTTTTTTTCATTGTTAATTTACCGTATCAATTTATTTCTAATTTTTATGAAGTAATCTTACCGGTAACAACATCTTTTGTGTCCCAGTTGTTTCATTCGCTTTATGATAGGAACATATTTTATAGTTTACTCAGGGCTGCGAATCATCATATCGGTCCTTTGATGTACGATCAATTCCATGAAAGCTAGCGCTATCAATAACGACCAACCAATTTGCTCTTTATAAACATGACTTTGTTCATTATACATATTTCTTAAATCTGAATTTATTAACACATTCGGCAACCGTTCCTGATTTTTCATCAATCCGTCGCTCTCCTGCAGCAACTTTTGCATCATATATTGTGTGGATAAAACTTCGTTATCAAGTACAAGTCCGTAAATCTTTCGTAAAATATACTGCCGAAGTATAAAACAATTTTGCGCTACGAAGTCTATGTTATCTACAAAAAATTAGTAGCAAAATATGAGCTTTTATAAGAGAAAACGTTTTACTTTCAAGTGATAATTAAATATTAAACTTTAATCATTCTATTTTATGATTATTTGAATGTACTGTAGTAACTGTCTTACTGTCTAATTTATAACTTAACGTTGCTCGATACGACATAATGATGGCGTTTATTATAGAGTGTTGCACGTAATGGTCATAAGATTTGCGACTTAACAGATAACCGCGAGTGATTTCTTGCATTATATATCGATCAGCTTTCGGTAAAGTAGCTGCAATCGGTATTGTCTGGAGAAAGAAAAAAAAACATATGATTATATACAAAATCTCTTAACTCAAAGGCATCTTATGTCTAATTGACATCTGTTACCATTTGAAGTAAAGAATGAATATTCTTTCTCGATTCATTTTCGGGAAAGGATTTGAAACTCCACTGTAACACTTTGCAATCGCGATTCAACAGTGCCCAGCTGACCATGTCCTGTCCTACGTAAATACCCAATACTGTATTGACGTCCTAAAATATACACTTGATGTGTTTGATGCGTTTGAAAACAAAATTTAAAAAAACTATTTTTTTTTTTTACCTTCTGGTCATCCCAGGTCGTTTGTGGCGTTAACACCAAACCCTTTTTAATTTTTTTCAAACCTTTCTTCTTGCCACTTATAATCGATTTGTAAAACTTGTATAAACATTTGTTGTTCATACCTTTCACTTTCAGTAGATCCTCTAGCGAAACGTAAGGTCCATTGTCTGTGCGATATAATTCTAAATTCTTTACACGTTTCTCAGTGATAGAATACCTTTATATAAATAGAGTGTTTTTCAACAATAAAAAATAATCTACATATAAAAAAATATATTAAACAAAATTGCACAAATAAGATTAACTACTCACTGTAACAGATCTTCTTTACTTTTGCGATTTATAATATTGAGTATTTTCTCTTTATCTTCCTCAGAAAAGATTAAGTCTGAGCTATCAGTTTTGGAGTTTTTGCTGCTCATTTTAGATCCGAGTATATTAAAACAACAGTGTTTATAGATCTGTAGAGATAATAAATGTGGAAATAAATATTATACTTAACATTTGGCAAACAATTTCTGCCAAGTATATGTATGAAATTTTTACCTGTGTTAATGGAAGTTTAGTTAAAGGACAAAACACTTTTCTCAGCATCATGATTCACAAATTATTGTACACAGAAGCATCAACATTTTATAAAATATATCGTCTGAGTTTTTCAATAATTTTATATATTTTTATAGACAAGTATATATGAAACAGTCATGTCCTCATTTACATGCTTCAAGATTTATACAACAAAATTAATATAATTAAATATATTAATGTAATTAAATATTTAAAACAGCTTAAATTTCTAAAAAAAATGTTTTTAACATTATTTCTTACACAAACATCGTTGTATTTTAATAAAATATATTATATAACGTGCTCATCAGCTAAAAAGTGAACTTTTCAAACATTAGTATTCCTCTGGAATAAACTTTTTTTATTTTATATTTTTATTTACTGTGCATTTTAGCCAGTATTCAGACACGTCGCAAGAAGACACGTTTTAAGGTTAAGAACAGCGCAAATTTTAAGGTTAGACTCGCAGTTCGTGTACAGATCATAGAGATATATTCATATATGTAATACTCCTATATGGCTAGTTGAGCCAGAGATGCCAACTCGGCCCCGCTTACAGCAAGCAACAGCGAGTGGAGGGGATACGCACATAGGCGAACAGCCGTGTACGTGTGCGCTCGGCGCTTCGGTCCGCTTCGGGCGGTAGAAGAGAGCAGATATATAGAACCGCTC